TTAAACAAAGTGAAACAAGGGCCATAACTCTAAAAGTAATAAACGGAAATTGCTGAAATTTAATGTGCTTCTTCGTTTCCCCAATTTAAATATTGCATATAAATTTCACAAAGATCAGATGTTAACTTTTGGCATTAGAGCATTCACAAGGTTCAACAAAGTGAAATAAGGGCCATAACTCTAGACGTTATAAATGGAAATTATTGAAATTAAATAGGATTCTTCATTTCACTAATTTAAATAATGCATATAAATTTCAGAAAGATAGGATGAAAAATTTTGGGGTTAATAAAGCATTCACAAGGTTAAACAAAGTGAAAAATGGGCCATAATTCTAGAAGTAATAAACGGAAATTGCTGAAATTCAATAGGCTTCTTCGTTTCCCTAATTTAAATATTGCATATAAATTTCACAAAGATCGGATGTTAACTTTTGGCATTAGTGCGTTCACAAGGTTCAACAAAGTGAAACAAGGGCCATAACTCTAGACGTTATAAACGGAAATTATTGAAATTTAATAGGCTTCTTCATCTCACTAATGTAAACAACATATATCAATTTTAAAACAATTGGATGATAACTTTTGACGTTTGATTGTTCACAAAAAATTGTGGACGACGTACGTACGGACGTACGGGGGCGACGGCAATATATGTCCACATTTCTATGTGGGCGTATAAAAATCACATGTCGACAAAATATTCAAATCCCGTACGTAATAAAAATTCATATTTAATTCCTGTATGGTATTCAATTCATACCACAATTATAAATCACGTCAACAAAATATTCAAATCCTGTATGTAATAAAAATAGGCGAACTTCGCTATTTTTCATATTTAATTCCCGTAGGGCATTCAAATTTATGTCAGTAACATTCCTACAAAATTAAGCATTTTCGTAATACATTGAATGAAAGCTTGCCGATGCTGCTTCGGCATCAAATTCACAACCGTAATATTCCTTCAAAATTACATGTCTTCGTTTCTATGGCAGCAAATAGAATGCAGAACTTCCGAAATAAGAATAGTTTGTGATGTCAGAACATCGTTTTATAAAATGTCAACAAAATGTTCAAATCTGTGCGTAATAGAAATAGGAACACCTCACTATTTTTCATATTTAATTCCCGTATGGTTACGGTATTCAAATGTCAGTAATATTCCTACAAAATTACAGGTCTTGGTTTATATGGCAGTAAATGAAAGAAAGGCGTTCGAAATAATAATACTTGTGGTGATGACATAGCTAACTTCAGCGTCTGGCGTACGTGACTCACAGCTTCATAGTAAGCACTGCCTTATATGTTAAGCAATTTTCGTACGGCAATCGAGATCACAGGAAAGTGTATCTGTGGATGAAAATTTATATATGGAGTCTTAAAAGATGTAAAAGATATCACAGACAAAATGACTGTCCATTGATTTAGGGTGTTATATACTCTTATGATCTGTGACATCTATGACTAGTTTATAGATGCTGTCGGCTCACATCAATGCGGTTAAAATGTCCGCCAATGTGGATTCAAATTATAATCACTCTTATTGGACTGATGAATAGTCCAACAAAGGGGAAGCAATGACTTCTGTTTAAGATGAGATTGATGAATAACAGATTGTAGTTAAAGGGCAAATCCCGATAATATTTTGGAAATTAAAACGCCTTAATTTTATTAAAATCCTTAAAATCATCTACCTTAGGGTCGAGCAACTAACTCAATATATGTGATACGTTTCAAACAACTTAAACTGGTCAGTCTTAATCTAGAAATGGAGACCGGTGTCCCAAGCTGTATTATGTGGTGTCTGGATAAAACCAGACTTTTATTTTATAAAAATAATGTTTAGGTGAAATTTACCTTTCGTTATCAAGTACAGCACATTGGTCATTCACTGTAAAGACATCTAAAGGAACGGGAATCGATTATCCAACCCAAAAATTGATCTGAAATCTTAAAAGGGTTACGTGACCGGATAAGCAGTTTTGGTGTTCACGTCCAAACGGCTTAATATTTTGAGCTGAATTTTTGGGACAGGGTAAATACACCATTCCTCTATATTTTGGCGCTTAAATTTTATACTTACTCAGACTTTTATTTTTGAGACTCTGTTCAAATCGGGATAGTCCCTTTAATCAAGGTAGGTGTATAGACGGTATAACACGATAAATATGTTGATCACTTAATTACCTAATCAATCCAGCCTATTATCAATGATAATCGGGTTGAGTGGCAACTATACACTCAGTACACTATATTAATTTTGGAATTTTGAATATTATTCACCATGTCTTGATGTTCGATTGGGCATGTTCCCAGTCAGACAATTTTAGGCGTTTGAAAAATAGCTTCGGACAAGTCCGGAAAATACGGGCGAAATCCCATCCCTGGGCCACAACCCTGATACACAATATTTTGACACTAGTTGCAAATGAGGGGCGGCCATTTTGTCTGTCAGCTTCGGTCCGATTTTTACGAAATTTGAACTCAACCATCCATAGGGTGTAACGGTGATATATTCAAACGTTTTTTTTAAATCGGATAAAAATTGTGACCACAAGCTAAAAACAAGATTTTTCGTTCAATCCGGGGCTATAATTCAGGAAGTTATAGTCCGATACATGCCAATATCAAAAGGAACCGAGATCTGTGGGTTATAAACATACATTTCAAGTTTAAACGAAATCAGATAAAAATTGTGACCTGTAGAGTGTTCACAAACAATTGTGAACGTCCGGATGGACAGGGGCGGTGACAATGAAAATGTGGGCGTTTAAAAATTGGTTGGTGAAGCTAGCATACTCAAAAAAAAAAAACCCAAACAAAATCGTCCATACTGTCACTGTCTAGTTACGAATATATTTGGATACCTGAAAACGGTTTTGATTAATTTATGACTGATTTTCTACTGTTTTATGTATTTCAGAAATGTGTTTGAAAATGGTGTTATAGTCATGTGTGCAGAATTTATTGAAGATATTTGTCAATAAAGATTTGATTTGAGGAAGATCATTGAGCACAAAAATGAAAAGATAGGTTGCCAGGCAAAGAAACATATGCCCACAGCAACTAAATCGTCCGAGCGGCCCACAAGGGTTGTCGCATATTTATTCTTTTGTAGGTAATTAGGGGCATTTAACAGACAATTTCATACAGATGACATTATAATTTTCGTCGTTTGAGGGTTCACAAGGTTCTAAAGATAGATTGCCAGGCAACGAAACATACATCCACAACAGCTAAATCGTATGAGCGGTCGACAAGGGTTGTCACATATTTATTCCTTTGTAGGTAATTGGGGCCTTTACAAGACAGTTCCATACAAGGTTCTACAAACTGAAACAAGGGTCTCAACTCTGGAAGTAATTTACAGAAATTGTTGAAATTTGACAGGCTTTTTCATTTTACTAATTTAGATAATGTATATAAATTTCATACAGATCAGATGATCACTTTTGTCATTCAAATGTTCACAAGGTTCACAACTGCCATAACTCTAGAAATTATTGACGGAAATGGCTGAAATTCAATAGACCTCTGTTTCACAAATTTAAATGATGCATATAAATTTCATACATATCAGATGATACCTTTCATCAATCAAGCATTAACAAGGTTGAACAAAGTGAAACAAGGGCCATAACTCTAGAAGTAATAAACAGAAATTGCTGAAATTCAGGATTCTTCTCTTTACTAATTTAAATGACGCATGTAAATTTCATACAGATCGGCAGATAACTTTTGATGTTAGAGCATTCACAAGGTTCAATAAAGTGAAACAAGGGCCATAACTCTAGACATAATACACGGAAATAGCTGAAATTCAATAGGCTTCTTTGTTTCACTAATCTAAATAATGTATATAAATTTCAGAAAGATCGGATGATAACTTTTGTCGTGAAACAAGGGCCATAACTCCAGCAGAAGAAATTAATGAAGTAATTGAAATTAAATAGGCTTCTTCATCTCACTAATGCAAACAACATATATCAATTTTAAAACAAACAGATGATAAATGTAGCCTGTAGAGTGTTCACAAGAAATTGTGGATGACGGAGGGACGGGGCGACCGCAATATACGACCACAATTCCTTGGGGCGTATAAAAAGTAACATTTAATATTTATACGCAGTGATTCGCCTTGAGAATTTGGAGGGGGTTTATTGTCCATTCGACCACACTTTTGACAGCAAAACATATTGGCCGATACAGATACAATTACCGACAGTGACTCATTATAAAAAATATTACTGATTAAAATACCTTGAATGCCATTACAACTGATGTAGATACATTTCACTATTATTCGGGAAAGGCATGGTACTATGTTATTTTGGGAATTAACATGAACACAAAGCTTACAAATTACCGAAGGAGTAATTGGTCACGCTTCCCATGCAGTTAAAAATACACACAATCTATTGAGTACTTAATTATTGTTGCATTTCTTCATATTTAAGTTAATTTAACACAAATTCATTGTAGACAGACAAACTTGCTGGCTTATTGACCTAATTCCAATTTAAACGTCCTTCAATAACTGTGTGCTATTGAAAGGCTATGCATTTCACATGACATCGATAATTTGATATCGGAGATCATGTCGGAAAAATATATTTATTATTAAAGATTATTTATCCGGATATTCTGCATTCTGTAAAGTATTCAATGACTATTTATATTTTTAATATATATTTAACAATATCACCGATAGTATCTTTATAAAAGGAATAATATTTATAAGTAGAAAACCAACTGGTATGCCACTTTTACCACATGCACACTTGATACGTATATGAGTTCTTGATATGTGTACTGGTCTAATACTATGACAAACTTTATTCTTATTTTGTCGTGTGGTTTACCGTCATAATTTTCTGCACTGCTCTAGTATGAGAGAATCATTTTGACTTAGTGTGAATGATGGTGTATAAAAAATTAGGATTGAGGGGGTGCACTCTTTCCCTTCATATATGCTGTAGATTTTAAAAACATGGTTACCTTGTAAACCCAGCTGATTCCCAGTTAAAGTAGTTGATAGATATGTTACATTATGTGGAATACTGACAAAGTCAGTTGTTGGTTGCATTTCTACTAACATTTGTAAAGAAACATTTCTGAAATAGATTAAAGAAAAATAATTATAAAGTTGAAAGAAATACTGAAATTTAATTCTATATCTCAAATCAAACTATTCAGAAGATTTTGCTGATTTTTTTGTCTTGTAATAACCAGCGGTTGCCAGGCAAGATCCGCCCACATTTTGTAAGAGATGGATATCTAGAGAACAAGCTACAAAAAAGCCAGCGGTTGCCAGGCAAGATACATCCACATTTTGCAAGATGAAGAAATAGAACAAGCTAAAAACAAATCGATTTTTCGTACAATCAGGGGCCATAATCCAGAAAGTTATGTTCTGAAATGAACAAATATTAAAAGGAGCTGAGATCTTTGGGAAATAAAGATATATTTTAAGTTTTATCAATTCAAAATCAGATAAAAATTGTGACCTCTAGGGGGTCCACAACCTTTGTATTACATACTTTTACACAAATTGCTTCAGAGAGCCGCCATTTTGTTCTGGGGAGTAGCATTTCGATTTTCCCAAAACTTGAAATCGGCCTTCATTATGGTGGAATGGTGATATATTAAACAGTTTTAAAAACTGGATAAAAATTGTGACCTCTAGAGAATCCACAAGCTAAAAAACATGATTTTTCGTCCGATTTTCACAAAATTCGAACTCAACCAACATTACGGTGTAATCCTTGAAGTTACGGTCCGATACAGGCAATATCGACAGGAACCGAGATCTTAGGGAGATAAACCTATATTTCAAGTTTTGTTGAAATCGGATAAAAATTGTGACTTGTAGATCACGGACAAGGGCGACGAAAATATACGTCCACATGAAAATGTGGGCGTATAAAAATTGTGACCTCTATAGGGTCCACAAGCTAAAACCGAGATTTTTTGTACAATCAGGGGCCATAATCCTTGAAGTTACGGTCCGATATCGAAAGGAACCGAAATCTTAGGGAGCTAAACCTATATTTCAAGTTTTGTTGAAATCAGATAAAAGTTGTGACCTGTAGAGTGTCCACAAACAAATTGTGGACGGACGGACAAACAAACAGGGGCGACGGCATAATATGTCCACATGAAAATGTGGGCGTATAAAAAATCATAATGGTAAACGCTGTTTAGAACTGGTTTATTGAACTAATTTCCACCGATATGTCGCATGGCATTGGCATTCGGCATTGAAGATTCTATCAGTAAATTATATTATTAATGACTGTTTTCGGGGTATTCAGTGTTCTGTCAGGGGACTATATTAATTGAAGACTTAAATTTACCTAACAACTGGTCAGTGAATCCATCAATGTATGATTCAGTTATTTTTTTAATATCTACCGATACCTGGAATTCATACGGAGCGTGGAAGACGCTCGGCTCGATTGGCAAATCATGCCGAGATCGTCTTTTTTTCGCCACATGTGTTATTTTTACTAAAGCAGCTTACTGAACTTGTTATGAATAATCTGTAAGCTTGTTTTGTTTCTTTACCAGATTATGAAAATTACACTTAAATGTGCTAATTAGGCTACTCGGATTATGAATCACAAGGTCGATTCTCACTAAGGTATGACTGTTGTTGTAGCCGACAAGCAAGTTGATTGACTTCTTAATTAACAAGTAATATTTAACTTGTTGTAATTTATCAATTCTTGTCGACATATTTGGCACATAGCCATTAATCTTATAGGTATGGGAATCCCTGTGACGTCACAACGCTTGTGCTGGGTATTGTGACTGCAGTCTCACATTTTCGTTACTAGAGTAACTAAGTTTTGCATATTCTACAAACAACTTTCGTTGTGTCACCTTTTAAAAACCCAAAGTTTTCCCAAACTTTAGATTTATATTTCGCTGGAGGATTTGATATTGCGACTGTGTTTTCCACCATTTTGATTTTTACAAGAGCTACTATCTATTATATTTACGTTCTAAATTTATAAAATTCTAGAGTAAAATGTTGTTTTATGTATTTAAATATGCATGTTTTATTAACTAAGCTTATAACAAACTTTAAAATTCGGAAACAAAACAAAAAGGTGTTAAAATGTTGTTAATCTAAACTTACGATACTAGGGGTAATTACGGTTGTGCGCTAATTATAGTAACACACGTGTCAAGACTACTGGACATCGTTTGCAAAGTGTCATTGTTTCAAATAAAATTTAGTGTATATCTAAAGTTTTTAAAGTTCATAATATATTTGAGAAAACGCAAAAAAGAATCGTGAAAAATCGATTCGGCATCCCGCGATTCAATACAGGTATCGTGAGACGGTGAATCGCGATACATCGATTCAACGATATATCGTGCCAGCACTACACAACGCGAGGAATGGTGTTTAAGCTTCATAATATCACTGAAAAACCTAGTGTTATTACTTCAGATATTTTTCGCAAACAAGCAAAAGAACCGTCAACGTCCTGGTCCAACCCAGGCTCAAGACCGCTACATCCGGGTCACTCATCTGCGTGACAGATTCCACCCAGCGACTCAAACAGGTGCAGCAGTCGTCCGAAGACAAGGACCAGTAAGTGCCAACACCGTAAGACGTCGTCTAAGAGAAGTAGGACTACGTGCACGACAACCTTATGTTGGAACTATCCTCAGGTTGACATGGGATCAAGGACACCAGACATGGAGAAGAGTAGACTGGCAAAGAAGTGTGCTCTTCAGTGATGAGAGTCACTTTCATCTTTATCACGCTGATGGCCGTCAACGTGTGTGGAGACGTCTTGGGGAACGTCTTGCAGACTGCTGCATCCTTAAAACGAATTGATGGGGTGGGGGAAGTGTAATGGTGTGGGGAGGCTTCACATTTCATCACCGGACCGCCCTACACATTTGCAGGGGTCGCATTAATGCTGTAGCCTACCGTGATGATGGCCCGTGGAGGACACGCGCGCTACTGACATCTGTGTCGTACTATGGGTTTTGAACCCTCTGACTTTGTACCGTTGATTACAGATTAAACATCCATAAGTGTACAAATGTGTTGTTATTGATGTGTTCCCATTTGAATATTGTTCACAATAAGAAGCAAAATAAATAAGATATCTTTACAGGATCATTTTGTTATACGAAGAGCTAAGTGCTGCGTTTTCCATGGCGCTCCGTATAATTTAACATTCATAATTTTTAAAATAGCAGCAAACAGTCCACCAATAAAAAAAAAAATAGCAAAGAAGACTACTAAAATATATCTTGTACGAGAAATGTCTTTATATATTAAAATTTTTTTTGTTCATGTGTTCAGTTGCCTGCCCATACTGCACACAGCGATGCATCTACTTCATACCTCGAGAATACATCATTGCGCTAAATGCCTTCCATCTAAAACGCTCAAGTGATCATTTTGGGGCGGGACTTTACGGCCAATGAAGTATATATACTGCTTTTTATAACCGAAGCATGTGGTTTATGTAAACAAATATGTCATTGTCAAGTTAGCAAAATTTTGACTTCTGCTATTCCGGTAAAAGTGATATATAATATGTGCCAATGGGTGATATTGCAATACAGTCTTTATCATTGTAAACTGCCTTTAGAGTTTCAATCTGTTTATCTTTCAAAACAAGGTTACATACTCCTAAATTTGTCTTCGAAAACAATATTGAATAATTAGTGGACTATTTCGTGCTTCCGCTCTAATCAGTTTGACATCTTTCATACACACAACGGCTAAATAAACATATCAAATTTCATTCAATAAAAGAGAAATAAATACTCTAAAAATTTCTAAAGGCATACTCAGTGTTTTCGAATAAAATCATCGGTTAATTGGGTTAGGGCCTGTTCTCAGGCGGAGCTAACTGTACACAGGCAGCCCAAGTTTAGGATGTTGCCTGCCTTAATTTTCTATTTCAAAACTCCTGTACATGTAGCGGAGGTGTTTCATGGCACGCCCTAATCAAATGATGACATTTTTCACTTACACAACTCCTTCTTGTTGTTGAGTATTTGAAGGTGTAGTTGGCATCAAATCTTGTGTTAATTTACTGATCTTATTACTGCTGCTGGGTGTTGGACTGGAATTTGATTCAGTTACATAATCGCTTGAATTACTCATAACACAAAATTCCACATCAGCAAAACTCTCTAGAAATGTATTCCAGTCCTTAAAAAAAAAATTAAAAAATTTCAATTTCATTATTTAATTCGTGTTTATGTTGTATAAGCTTATTGAAAGATATCCTTCCTCATCCTATATCCTATTCTTCACCCCTATTCCTTTTTTTTTATCTTTGAAAACGTCATAGTATGTAAGTTAAATGATCATTTTTCATTGCAGTATTAGTAACTTTACCCAAACCATATCAATTTACAATTCTAGTTTGGTTTGGGATCAAACTGGTAATTTCATTTTCTGAAATTCCAAAGATCTGATCTGGTAAATGTGTCTCACACCCAAGCCGGGAGGGGAGACGAGATGGCCAGCCAAGTGATCCCGGTATTGGCTGGAAAAATTCTTAAGAATTTTTCAACAGGGTTTCCTCTTTGTCAGAGTTGCTAAAGGAGTGTAATGGCAAGGAACAGCATCTAGTCCTGGTCAATCAGATGGTAAAAACAAAAATCCAAAAGAGGTCTGATTTACACCTAGGCATGCACATAACAAACTCTTGAGAGTTGGAATTCAATTTCTGTCCAGGAAAAATGCCCCCCATTGCACACTGCATGTCTGTCTTCATTAACCTGGTTTGAGCAGAAAAATAAGACGTTCAACCCTATTTCATTTCCATCGCAGCTTCAACTTCAGTTACCTAGGATTAAATAAATAATTAAATTCGTTACTGTGCATGCTCTCAATTCATCAACAAGTTCTACCTGTAGGCTGTGCACATTAATATTGGATTAACTTTGATACAAGATACTATACATATTCCACCTACTTACCTCAGCCATATCAGGATTAGGGAAATCTTTAACTTTAACAATATAGGCAAATGTGATTAATGCAACAGCAAATGCTCCTAAGCAAATCATAAATACAACAATTGGTGGTCGACTTTGAGAAAATCCTCGTAGATTTTCCACCATTGTGATAGCCATTTTCTGTAATAAAAAAACAAATCCCTCTTAAGATCAATATATGACTAATTCTTTATTTATATTTATACATCTATAACCTCCACTCCATTGCTTGGTTGATGTTACTTTTATTTGGTCCTTTTTAAGGTTCAAATGTTTTTAAGGACTCTCACAAATCCTTCCCTTAAATACCATCAAAAGTTTAATCATTACCTTGCCAAAGATGCATCCCTGACCGGACTAGGTCTTCTGTCAAAAGATGTGTGTTCAATACAACACCGCCTTGATTAGGCCTGTTTTGGAAGGTACAGAGATAGATACTCATTGTGTTATTGGTAATCAATAACTAAATACAAGTCATGTATAAATAGCAAATGTACAGCAAATCGTATCAAGCATTCCAATTATGCTAGTGGATTGAACTGACTTCAAATCTACACTACCACCATCATTTCTTTTAAAATTACACTTTCAAAGACGGAAAAGAATTCACGATGTATGAAAAAAGATTACCTAGCGTTGATATTTTGATTATGTTTTCTTGATTAAAGATAGGTTGCCACGCAACGAAACATATACGCCAACAGCAGCTAAATCGTCCGAGCGGTCGACAAGGGTTGTCACATATTTATTCCTTTGTAGGTAATTGGGGGCCGTTACAAGACAGTTTCATACAGATCAGATCATAATTGTTGCCGTTGGAGTGTTCACAAGGTTCTACAAACTGAAACAAGGGTCTCAACTCTGGAAGTAATCTACAGAAATTGTTGAAATTTGACAGGCTTTTTAATTTTACTAATTTAAATAATGCATATAAATTTCATACAGATTGGATGATCACTTTTGTCACAAGGTTCACAACCGCCATAACTCTAGAAATTATTGACGGAAATTGCTGAAATTCAATAGATCTCTGTTTCACAAATTCAAATGATGCATATAAATTTCATACATATTGGTTGATAACTTTCATCAATCGAGCATTAACAAGGTTGAACAAAGTGGAGCAAGGGCCATAACTCTAGAAGTAATAAACAGAAATTGCTGAAATTCAATAGGCTTCTTTATTTCACTAATTCAAATAATGCATATAAATTTCAGAAAGATAAGATGGTAACTTTTGGCGTTAGAGCATTCACAAGGTTAAACAAAGTGAAACAAGGGCCATAACTCTAGACATAATAAACAGAAATTATTGAAATTAAATAGGCTTCTTCAACTCACTAATGCAAACAACATATATCAATTTTAAAACAATTGGATGATAACTTTTGGCATTAGAGCGTTCACAAGAAATTGTGGACGATGGACAGACTGACGGACCGACGGACGGATGGATGGGGGCGACGGCAATATACGACCAAATTTCTATGTGGGCGTATAAAAACTATGTGTGATTTTAAGGCTATAGAATCCCTTGCAAATAGGGCTGTGTATTGCAACCAAAAATTGTATTGCAAATATATTGCAAAGCACAGTTTTATTTTGAATAGTTTTATTGTTTTAATTTACAACTTTGGTCTTGTCTTTGGACACATTGTTTACTACAAAGCCTGAATAATATAACTCATTACGTGAATACACACTTCAGTTTATTTGAATGGATTCTGATGCACAGACCTACAGCATATATGTCATGTCAGAGTGTCAGAGACTGTCCCGAAATGAACTAGTAACATTCTTGCAAAACAAACTTTTAGAATGTTTAAGGGGTGAGGCTACCTGAAAAGTGTTTTCTGAAATTCTAATGCCATTGAATTGAAAATGGCACAAGTAGTTAGGGAATGTAATAAACGTGGGAAAACTTATATTAAAAAAAAAAGTTGTTGCCAGGGTAACACATTTTTTTGGAAAAAGTATAAAAAACGTAGGTACACCATATCTCTGGCACTAACAACAAATGTCTCATTTTCGGACTGCTTATTCTTTAGTTTAATGATAACCCTAAAACCAGACAGAGTTTTTCACTATAATTTTTATAGTTTCTTGGAAAATGATGTTTAAAACATTTGCCTCACTACAATATTTTGTCTTGGGAGAAATATTTTTATAATACTTTTGAAATATTAATGATAATTCAAATTGCTTTCTTTCTGATTCTGTGGTAGATATTAGTTTATATACCCTGCAAATTTGGTGAGGATTGTTTAATTAGTGACAGAGATATAGCATACCTACCTTTTTCATAATTTTTTCCCAAAAATGTGTTACCCTGGCAACAACTTTTTTTTAATGTTAATTTTCCCTTGTTTATTACATTTACTAACTATTTGTGCCATTTTCAATTCAATAGCTTTAACATTTCAGGAATTTTTTTTCGGATAGCCTCCCCCTTAATGAACTCTAATTCCAATAAAGACATCACAATAACTTATTCGTCAGACATATTTTATTCTTGTTTACCTTCACTCTGTTTTTCTTAGTCACAGCAAAACCAACATAGAAATATGAAGCACAATTGAGTAATAGCGATTGTCATAATTTTGAATATTTTCTTAATCATTATTTCATCGAGCCAACAGGGCCGATGTCCCCTGCCACAATCTCAAAATAAAAAGATGACACATATTAATTAATTGCACATTTATCTTTTTGAAAAGTATCAAGCAATCAAACTGATCAACTATACTTAGTCTAAGCAGAAAATTTTCACTCAGTCAAGGTTTTAAAGTACCTGGTAGTGAAACTCTATACTAAGTTTCATCACTCTTAATAAGTTCGAATCAGAGTTATCTTGTCCAAATGCATCAACCAATTTTTGTTCAATCAGATGCACACAGTATTTTACGAATAATCTCGATTAAATAGATGCACGCAATATAAACAACGATACTGGTTGTCGGCAGCCCTGGACATAGACTGGATAACCTGCTCTAATACGTCAGACTCGCTCCTACATCACTCCTTTTCTGACTTGCAGTCAGAATAGCGCAGTGACGTAGGAACAAGCCTGACATCATTTATCACTTGCAGTCAGAATAGCGCTGTGACGTAGCAACAAGCCTGACGTCATTTAGAGCAGGTTGTCCAGTCTACCCTGGACACAACACGCTGTTAAAAAATACGGCCCCGTCTTCTAACTAACTTGGTGGACATAATTGAAATCTAAATATAGGGTAACACACAAATTTACAAACTCGGCCATATAATGAAATGAAATTTATGTAGGTCTGGGGGAAAAAACTGGGATTTTTGAAAAAATGTGATTGTAAATTATTGTAATTGGGCTAGGCAAAGAAATAAATGACTGAAGATTCTCAACTTTTCAAAGATTTCAATTTTTTTCTCCCAGGCTTACTAAACTTAAATTTTGTTTTATCTTATATGGCCAAGTTCGTAAATTTGTGTGTTGCCCTATATTTAGATTTCAATGGACTCCGCCAAGTAGCTTAGAAGACTGGGACGTATTTTTTAACAGCGTGTTGTGTCGCTCATACTGACTCTAGCGAGGTAAGCAAGGTCTTATTTTGTCACTAAGATGTTCCTTTACATTGTACAGGCGTTCACACGGTTTGACAAACCACCGTTTAGCAGTAAAAAGTTGCCCAGTAAAATTGACTGGGAACTGGGAAGCGATTTCAGTTTTGACAAGGATTCAAAAGGATGGTTCCTGAACGTACAGGGCGAGTGTAATGAGACCTAAGTTCAGAGCTAAAGTTTGAACTAATACTACTGTAGACGGGAGTGTCTATGTATCTGTACAGTGTTATTGCTCTCTGTCTTTTCCTATTTCTGCAACACTTCCTAATCCTTCAAATCTTTGTTACAGATCAACTGTAAGCAAAGATCTCTGTGTTAAAAATTCACCTGGAATGAGTTTAAAAAGTCCATCACATCTTCATAAATATTGGCTCGCGCCAACATTCACACAATCATATTCATTCTCCTTCAATCTCTCGACCTGCACTGATAGTGATACATATTTAGTAATGCTTATGACTATTATGAGTGTTATAGCAAAGGACCGCACCACCCATAAAAAACAAGCCTAGATGACCAACCGGCGTCCAAGACTCACAATACACACAGACATCGCAATTTGCAATGCAAGTATTTTAATTTTAATAAACAAATTACGTATCAAATCGATCAATCAACTGTGTAACTGTAAGTGTGTTGTGTAGGCCTACTGACGTACTGTCAAGTCGTAATTCATGGAACAAGTGCAATGACCCGTAAGTTGTTATAACACCAAAACCACAGACATAGCCTACTTACCGTGGTAAACAATTACACCATTATTTGAATAAATGCAATGTCTGTTTCCAAAGGATATACGTCACCCCTATTCTAATACTTCAATAAATTGCTGATTACGACACGACAGCAGTCAACCACTCCATGGCGTCACGCGTATTCTCGCGTTGCCTTTCGTGATTCTATCTGCTCTGGATTGAAGCATGGAAACGCCCATAATTAATTATAATATTCATCCATACTAACAAGATGGAGATTGTTTTGTTCTTTTTATTTATTTGCGTTTTAAGATTACATGCTATAAAAATGTTGGATCAGATTTTAAAAAGATATATATAAAAAATGATTCGCGAACTATTCTGTCGATATTGAATCGAAAATGAAAGGTCTTCGACTGTAGCGCACGTGAGCGAAGTAGCGAACGTTTTGACAGGTGTCAATCATCAACCATGTGTTCATTTCATTTGCATAGTGCAGAGTGTTTTGATCAAGTCGACCGCCATCTTATGTCTAAGCGTAATTTTAGTACCAATTTCACCTAACTAGAACATAGCATCGTGGATTTCATTTACTTCTAGATGCAGTCTCCAGTGCAGGGATATCGTTTTTAGATTCTGATATCTTGAGATGAGTCTAGATACGTTGTTAGAAGCGGCTGAATATATTGAGTGGAGCGCCCACAGTAAACCACGTGGTAAGCTTGCACATGGCTTTACGTCGTATAGCCTAATAAATAGTAAAATGTGGCGTGAGATTTGTGTAAATAAATACTTCATTTTTGACTTTCCATTTTGTCCAGCATCGTCTTGCTTTCAAAATATATCCAATGGTCTTCATTTAGCTAATGGTTGCCTCTGATCTTGCGTAGCCGGTAGAAAGATCGAATTTATTATGAAATTATTATAATTACTTTGTGTGTCGTTAGCTCGATAGTCATGCAAACCAAAATTACATGTCAATTTATGAATATTTTTAGATGACGACGGTTCACCAGGAGGGGAAATTAGGACATTTATCAAAACAGAAACCTTGGCCGATGGAGATTCTTCTTTAGATGATAGTATAGGCAGTCAACGTGGTTATGGATATGCAGACGACAGAAAAGATAGACGACGAGCCGGAGGGTAAGTTGTCCTAACTCAACATGGCTGACACCACTTTGACATTGTAGTTATTTCTTACTTTATTTTTCTCTCCATTCATGCATGTCAATCGATAGATTAGATATTACGCGCATTCGAATGATAAGGCATTTTGTTTATTTCCTTTATTTATATTTCTTGTAGGGCCGGAACTCGCGAAACCCATAACAAACTGGAGAAAAACAGGTAAATTCACATTTCACTCACGGTCACCATACCATGGATCTAAAATGCCACTGTGACATGCGATGGTGCATCAGCTATAAATAGTGAGAACGTAAAGATGCCTCGTGGCTAGATAAAATGTTATTGTTATGCGTAAATGCCTTCATGTGAATATATATTACATTTAAGAATAATTTTTGGCTTGCCATAATTTTTCGGCCTAATTTATTTTCTCTTTTTACTGACAATACTGATAATAGATCTAAATCTATTGATATATTATTTACAATAAACTAAACACGATAATTTCTATTTATTCAACCTATCACCATTATTTATTCATTTATTTTTTTAAGGAGAGCTCACTTGAAAGAATGTTTTGATATTTTGAAAGTTCAAATTCCTTTTATGGAAGACAAAAAGACTTCTAATTTGAGCATCCTGAGGGGAGCTTTAAAATTCATACAGGTAAAATTGGACTATGTCAACTTATATCAAAAATTTGCGTTGATAACAATTATATGCAGTCCTTTTCCAGGTTAAAAGTCTTGCATGTGACAAGTTGTCAGCGCAATGTGATGTTACTAAATATAGCCTATTTACCCACAATTCTGCTGGAATGGGAGGCGTGGTTTCATCTGATTTTGGGCGTGATCAAACAAACTAACGCGTGTCATGTGTATTTTCAATGAGGGTTACTATTTATAGACGAGTCTTTGCACCTGTAAGGTTTTCATTGGTTGAAAGTTGTAAACATGTTGCCACGTGATGATGGATAATATTTACATGTGGGCGTTAGCAAAACCACGTTATTTTCTATATTCTTATCTACGGAATGTAGACTCGTGTCATCGCTTGATAGCAAAATGGAAAATAAATTTGAAAATTGTTCGATTTATGAGGTGCATTTAAAGATGCATTATTCAAGAGCTAAATTAAAATATGTCAATTGCGCCCAGGTCTTACTTTAGGCCTTGTGACCATGTGTTAAAAATGTTATAATTATTCAAATTATTGACTATTGTCCGCCACCTTTCGAAGAAAACAGGGGACTATTAAATTTAAATGGGTCTGTCTGTCTTTTTGTCACATTCTTTGGGACACAATAACTCTGCTTCTAATTAAGCTAGAATGTTCAAACTCGGTGTAGGCGTTTATTAGGTGATTGCCTTGATGGAGTTTGAAGATCAACATTTTCTGTTTAGGGTTGATGATGTGGCACACGATAACTTTAGTTCTGATTAAGTGAGAGTGATGAAACTTGGTTTCATTACATCAATACCTTGACTAAGTTTGATAATGAGCATTTTCCGCTCAAGTAAGCAGAGCGATAAGCAATTTGATTGGTCGAGACTTTGGAACACAATAACTCTCCTTATTGAGATAGAATGTTCTAACTTGGTGTAGGCCTTCATTAAGTGAATGCCTTGATGGAGTTTGATAATAAACATTGTCTGCTTAGCTAAGCAGAGATAAGCAATCCGATTGGTTGTGCTTTGGGGCACGATAACTTTGGTTTTAATTAAGTGAGAGTGATAAAACTCCGAGTAGAGATTCATTAAATCATTCCCTTGACAAAGTTCGATGACAAGAATTTTCTGCTTAGGCTAAGGAGTGATAAGCAATTTGATTGGTCATGACTTTGGAACATAACAACTCTGGCTTTAACTTATGGTGAATATTTAAACTTGATGTAGATGTTCATTAGGTGAATGTCTTGACTGAGTTCAATGATTAACATTTTGAGCTAAAGCTAAGCAGAGCTAAGCAATTTCATTGGTCGATGCTTTGGAACAAGATAACTTTGATTCTATCTGATAGAGATTGATGAAACTTAATGTATAGTTGATAATCAGTTTGATTGCTTGATACTTTTGAAAAAAATAAATGTGGCATTAATTAATATGTGTCATCTATTTATTTTGAGATTTCAGCGGGGGACATCAGCATAACTGTTGGCTCTTATTTACAAGAATTCTTTTTTGAAATATACAATTTTAAAGGGTGTACATTACTTGGTCTCTATGATTTATTTTTTTAAAACATTTTTTGGTTATGTTCACTCATTTATAAGCAATAAAATAAAGAGTTGTTGGTTTTAAGTCTGTTTCTATGTGCATACTTCTGATAATGTTCATAAATTGCTGTCATCCACAATTATGAGAACTCTAGAGCCTACATTTATCATAAATCTACTTAAAATGTAGGCTGAATTTACATATATGTGAGGCAAATTTGATTAGTTATCTTGTGAATGCTCTAGTTATGTTTTATCGTGTGAATGCTCTATGTGCATACTTCTTATATGGTCATAAATTGCTGTCATCCACAATTTCTTATGAGAACTCTAGAGACTACATTTATCATTAATCTATTGAAAATGTATATGCTGGATTTACATTCATGTATATGAGGTGTAGAATTCTATTTAATTTGATCAGTTATCGAGTTATGTTTTATCAGAAAAAAGGTTTTGTTTGGTTTTTTTTTACTCAAAGAATTGCAATTTGACAACCATTATGGACAACTTGAATCACAGACTTGTTGTGGGTATATAATGTTGCAAGCCAACCTATCTGCTAGCTGCGCTGGTACAAAGACATAGTCACTAAATTATAAGTTATGATGTATTATATTTTCCCAGAATATGAAAAGAAAGGAAAAGGAGTTTGACAGAGAGCTTCATAGATTAGTTAGTGAAAAATCAAGATTACGGGAAAGATTAGAGAAATTAAAAGTTGATTTGGCTAAGCTTAACATGGATGTTGATCTTACTAAATGGATGCCAACCCAAGAACAAGAAACAAATTCAACATCTACTGCATCAGGTATGCTTCAGATATGTTGTCTACGGACTAGGTCAAGGGAATGTTCTTTAGCTCACATGGCAGAGGTTATAGATTCTATATCTGTGGTTGCATACAGGTCAAAATAGTGATTTTCATATTGAAGAAATATAAAGCAGTTGGAAAGGATTTTTTTTTAGGATATATCAATTGTCAAGAATTTTAATTCCAGTTAAGTTATAAACTTTCTGATAATCAATTAACTTTATTTTAGGTGATGGAAGTCCTATTGTTAGTGATAATGATGAAGACAATGATAAACGACCAACTAATAAAAAGTTGAAACATTCATCTAAAGGTAAAAGTCTTGTTCATGCTTTCTTACATATATTTATGCACAAGTTTTAGATTTAATTATCTTATTCAGATCTCTGCTGATCACTGTTTCAATTACAAATGTACTTGAAAAAATATTATGAAATAGGATAACAGATAGTTTGTTAAATGTTACATGTCGGATTGTTTGCAAACTTCATATATTTTGACCCTGTTGCATGAGGACTACATAGAGTTACCTAAGGAAACAAGTTCTATGTTGTCTACGGTATCACCCTAGGTGGAAGTGGACATATAACTCTAGAAACGAAGAAACGAAATGGTGCATTATAAAACGTTCAATTTATACATGCTCTTTGTATGACAGAGTTCTTATAGTTTTGAGTGATCAAATTAAGAAAATCTCCGTACGTTTTTCTTACTCTTTCATTTCAGATAAAGGTCCATCCACACTGACTCAAATGATACTAAATACTTCTGTGCAAATGATACAGCCACAACCGACAATATCCACATCAAAGAAATTTTCACACATCAAAGGCACATCTGTTACACCAACGATGCCTACTCATATCCGAGCACCAGTGACACAGTTACTACATCAAACACTCAGTAAAAGACAAGCTTTACAGAGACAAAGAGAACAATTAGCTGTATCCCAAGGTTTGTGTGTTTTAGCATCATTTGGTTATCCTAAAAATACTACTACTAAAATCAATAGGTTAGATAAAGCGATTCAAATTAAACCTGTTGATGTATATATACTCTTCAAAAAAAGTAGGGGATAATCAGAAACAATACAAAACTGCAGAAATGCACTGCTGTTTTTATTAGAGGTAACTAGTGTATGTTAATAACAGGCCAATTGCCTACACTTGAACATAAACAGTTCATATGGGCGGCTTATCTGATGGCCCCATTTCACTCGCAAAGAGATACACTGTCAAAAGTGAAAATGATTTTTGTCTTAATAATGAGTAATTGCTCCACCAATCCTCAGACATTCAGCAATTTGTTGTGGCATGCTCCTAATCAACCGTCCAATCACGATTTGGGGCAATCTGACCCACTCCTCTTGCAGTGCCACGGCCAATTCTTGCAGTGCCACGGCCAATTCTTGCCGTGTTGTCCGTTGATGTTGACGAACACGTCTCCCTATCAAATTAAACATAACACACTAAAGCAAAGATATGCTAAACAGTAAATCTTATTTATGCAAGAACCGATAGGAAAGCAAACATGGATAGGATAAACCAGCAAGTGGCATTTTTCATCAACCCTTCCTTGAAGTGTCAAATTTGACAATAAACCCCTCCCACGTGTATGGCTATTGTGTGTCACATGTGCAGCTCAGTGGTTCTGATGGGGCGATAAGTTCTTCATCTGTGATCTATTACCTAATTCATAGTCTCTTCTTGATTTAAATTTCTTTTTTTAATTTCAGTAAATACAATGAACTTGGGCATACCGTCCGCAGCACAAATGAATCCTTTACTTCAGCAACAGTTGGCTTTCCCAATCGGAACAACACCATTATCAAGCGGAAATATTCTTACTCCTACCATGTCGATACCCACATCAACTACTGGTTTACAAACTCCCATGTTATTGACGACTAGTACGACCACATCAGCATCCAGTACATACAATCATATATCAACAGCTACAGTTACATCATCCAGATTTGTTCCTAGTGCTACTTCATTACCTGGAATAACAAATGTGCCAAATCTTTCTGCTATTGGACCAATCTCAGCTCTTACTGGCATGAGTAGAACATCAACATCACTTCCAATTATTGGACAACCACCTACTGCGTCTATAGGTCAACCCATACCTCTGAAAACAACTCAACTTATTACTACCATAGTCACTCCGTCTGTTACCAGCTTAGCCTCTATGTCGGCCATTAAGCCTATACTGGCCACAACAAATGCTCATTTTATGACTTTGAATCCACTTCTAGCTCAGTTTCCCAGAAACAATACTTTATTAACAGGCATGACAAGTCAAGCTGGTACGACACCACAGCCACAGTTAGTGTCGTATGCACATATGGGTATGGGAACATTAACACCGATGACAATGATGCCCCAAGGACTTCAAATGGCTGGTTTTGGTAACATCATGTCGTCACATCAGCTGTTAAAACAGTTTCCAATTTTACAGCAGCCATTACTGCAGCAAATGCAACAAGGTCAGGTGATTGGTCAGCCTATGGTTAAACCGGTTGTTATGGTTTCCTTACCTAGTGCAGTAACGTCTGCTACCTCAACATTACCACTAAATATTGCTACAACCTCCTAGCATTGTATCATGACAACAGGTGAATGGAGTTGTATAAAACGTATATATAGTTATATCTGCGGGATTTATTTAAAGTGGGTGATTAAAACAAAGACGCCTCATTATTTAACTGTGATGTGTAAGATACCTGACCACCAACTTAAATAGTCTTTAAGTCTTTGCATATTGTCTGTGATGAATTGGGTTCATTAAATTTATTAAATATTTGACAGGAACTTGTATTTTCATCTCATTTGTGTTGTATCTCATCTCCACATCATATTTCATCCTTACTTAAAAACACACCTGTGACCACATTATTCCTTTGTGATAAATATGTCATCCATGTCAGTAACAGTGCATTGTGTAACTTAGATTTAGTTGATAGTAAGTCAAATCAGAAAGTTTTATTCATGCACCTAAATGGGTAAAAAAATGTTTACACAACAAAAATCTGTACTTAATGATGATTGATGATTATAAGATGATAATGTGTAAGTATTGACATTGTTTAATATAGATAAAATCAAAAAAATATTTGTGTTAAATTTGATAGTATTTTATTATATTAAAAACTAGAACAAAAACACACTTTTATTTATAAGAGAAAATTGCCAAAGAAAAAATGTATTTATTGTATATTATCCTTTTGTTATTTAAGATCTTACTGAGAGTGTTTCTTGGCTAAGATTTTGTGCGATATTTCCATGACTTCCATTCATTTGCATATGCATGGCATAATCAAAGTTTTTCATGACGGTGTGATAGTTAAATGATCTGTTCATTTTGTTGAAAATTCATCAACATTTTCATTTCAATTATAAATTTATAACACATTTTTACATATAAAATTTAGTTCACAATTTGTTTTAAATCACAATAGTAATCTTTAATTGAAAATTACTTAAATTAATAGAATTTTTGTGATAAAAAAATCCACAAGAAAATCCTGTGCCCATTTTATTATTTTTTTTTCTGTTTGATATGAAAATAAGACTTTGTAAACTGTAATTGTTTGAAAAAATCCAAATTTTCTTTTGTTTTAAGTCAATCTGAACAAAACAATGTTTAGACATTGAAATACCAGAGTGCTATGTATGTTTTGTTTCTTAAGTTTAAGTATTTGTATGTACCATGTATACCAAAATTAATTTATCAAAGTTCCTAATTGGAATGGATAGGGCTATAAAGCATATTATAGTGTTTATCATTTACAATCAATATTAAACTATTTGTTACATGTATGTTTATTTTGTAGATCAAGGCAGCTATTGATATTATGAAGATATGGTAAATTATTATTTCATGTTATTCATTGTATAATTCTGTGTAGCTCCAAGCTTAATATATTGTTCATCAACAATTTACAAGAATATTACTACAGTAAATACATGAATAAAATCACATTTATTGTTAACTTGTCATCTGTATATATACCTTGCTGATTAGCAATTATCTCAAAATCACTTTATTTGAATTGTGCGTTTGTGAGTTCTGCGTAATATGTCTTGTCGGTATATTTGTTTTCGTGTAAATTATGTGTGGTGCAGTCCCCCTGCACTTACTTGAAAGAATACATCTTCAAAACCACAGAATACTTTATAAAGCAGTGCTCCAGTTGAATGCCAGAAACAACCAACTGGAGCTTAATGTGAAATGAAATGGGGTTTAACGTCCTACTGTTCTGCTCCTAAACTGGGCTAATGAAGACGGGCATACGCCATACAGTGTGCAATGAGGAAAATTTTGCCCGGGCCGCGGAACTATGGCCTACCCTTATATTGAATTCAAACTGCCAAGGGATGTTTTACGTGCACGCCAATGTGTACACGGGACCTCGGTTTTCCATCCCATCCGCACGACTAGACAGCTGTCCTTGTCAGACCGAGCTTAATGTGTGAAATTTGACCAAGTAAATCAGAAATGCCATCAAACACAACACCCCTCAAACAAATAAAACTAATCAATTGATAGGTTACTGTTATGGATAACTTAAAGGAAACTAGCCAGTAGCATTTTTGGAAACGAAGATATGAAATTGAATTGATAGTTGCATTAATTTCAATTTGCATTATGTCAATCCCCTTCTGGTTGCATTATTGTCTTTTTTTAAATTGATGTCAAAAGGCCTTCATGTAATACTCTCCTTTTTTTTGTCACTAATTGCAATTGGTAATGGACCCAGCCCAAGGCCTCTCAGATTCCTTGATAGAAAATATCATTGCAAATACTGTCTTGCACTTTCCAACTAAAATGTCTGTCATAATATGAGTTGGAAAGTTCAAGGTTTGTTCAGTGTCAAGGTTGGGGGGACTTTTCCACTAAGATTGTGCTATGATCCACTTCACATCTAAACCTTTCTAATTTGATTTTCTGTTCGGCCATTATGCTAGTAAGGTTACTTTTGTTTGGTTTTCTGTGAGTCTTTCAACTAAAAAAACAAGCCAACAGTGAGGCTGATGTCCCCCGCCGAAATCCCAAAATAAATAGATGACACATATTAATTAATCGCACATTTATTTTTTTCAAAAGTATCAAGCAATCAAACCGATTATCAAGTTTCATCACTCTCTATCAGATAGAATCAAAGTTAACTGGCCCCAAAGCATCGACCAATAAAAGTGTTTAGCTTTAGCTCGAAATGTTAATCATTGAACTCAAAACATTTACCTAATGAACATCAAGTTTAAACATTCTACCTCAATTAAAAGCAGAGTTGTTATGTTCCAAAGTCTTGACCAATCAAATTGCTTATCAATCCTTAGTCTAAGCAGAAAATTCTCATATCATCAAACTTAGTCAAGGTAATGATATAATGAATCTATACTCAAGAGTTTCATCACTCTCACTTAATTAAAACCAAAGTTATTGGCCCTAAAGCATCAACCAATCAGATTGCTTATCTCTGCTTACCGTAACCAAACAATGTTTATCATCGAACTCAATCAAGGCATTCAACTAATGAACGCCTACACAAAGTTCGAACATTCTACCTCAACTAGAAGGAGAGTTATTGTGTTCCAAAGTCTTGACTAATCAAATTGCTTATCGCTCTGCTTACCCTAAGCAGAAAATGCTTATTATCGAACTTAGTCAAGGTATTGATGTGATAAAACTATACATTGATGTGATAAAACTATACATCAAGTGTCCTCACTCTCACTTAATTAGAACTAAAGTTATCATGTCCCAAAGCATTAACCAATCAAATTGCTTATCTCTGCTTACCCTAATCAGAAAATGCTCATCTTCGAACTCCATCAAGGCATTGACCTAATAAACACCTACACCAAGTTTGAACATTCTCTCTCAATTAGAATGAGAGTTACTGTGTTCGAAAATCTCGACCAATCAAATTGCTTATTGCTCTGCTTACTCTGAGCAGAAAATGCTGATTATCGAACTTAGTCAAGGTATGATGTAATAAAACTATATACCAAATTTCATCACTCTCACTTAATTAGAATTAAAGTTATCGTGTCCCAAGGCATCAACCAATCAAATTGCTTATCTCTGCTTACCCTAAGCAGAAAATTCTCATCGAACTCCATCAAGGCATTCACCTAATAAACACCTACACCAAGTTTGAACATCCTAGCTCAATTAGGAGAGTTATTGTGTTCAAAAGTCTTGGCCAATCAAATTGCTTATCACTCTGCTTACCCTGAGCAGAAAATGCTCATTATCGAACTTAGTCAAGGTAATGATGTAATGAAACTATACACCAAGTTTCATCACTCTCACTTAATCAGAACTAAAGTTATCGTGTCCCAAAGCATCAACAATCTTCGAACTCCATCAAGGCACTGACCTAATAAACACCTACACCAAGTTTGAACATTCTAGCTCAATTAGAAAGAGAGTTATTGTGTCCCAAAAAGTGTGACGGACGGACGAACCCATTTTAATAGTCCCCTGCTTTCTTCGAAAGGCGGGGGACAAAAAGCTTTGAATGGCTGTAAATGAATCTATTCCGTGATAAAGGGAGATAACGTACCTAAAATGGAGGTCCCCTATTGGATCCAGGTCTTGGCCGAGAAAGTTCATCGCAAATAAAAGAACTCTTGACAGAAGGAATTTGAAATAAGAGGTGGCTGTAGTGCTGCTGTTCGGGCAAAATTTCCCTTCATGGCAACATTAGCCCAGTAAGTGCATGAAAGTAGGATGTTAAACCCCATTTCAGTTCATTTGGCTCAGGTAAGTAGTTTGGATCATATTGAGAAAACCAAACTGATTTGGCCAGGTCGGTTTAATATAAATCTCACGACAAGAAATATTTAATAATGGATTTATAAGATCATTATTATTATGACATAATTGGAAAAATGTGACTGAAGGCAACTTTAAAACTAATTACAATACTCTGAAACTTAAATCAACAAAAAATAAAGCCAACAGTTCATTATCAAGATAAGTTAGTATAACAAAAAAAAGCCACATCCATTCAAAGAAATATTCACAATCTCAATAGTTCGTAAAATCTACATATAATTAAAGTAATTCTGATATGCACTTGCCATTTAAATTTGAAATAACGTTATATGAAACATCCAAATACCATTATAATTTATGAACTATGTCAACTGTGTTATTATGATAACCATAGGCAATAATAATAAGTTCATGTTAACAGTTGAGTATCTTTTTTTCATGAATTGCATTGTAAACTCATGCAGCATTAAGTTCATATATTTATAGGAAAATATCAGCAGAATGTTGATTATTCTGTGTGAACACTTTTTTTTTACATCCCTTCACCATACTGACAAAATATGCATTTAACCTTTTAGTTACTGAATGACTTAAAAGCCATGTTTCAAATTGAGAGATGTCTCCTACTAAGCGAACCTGTCTACAGTAACCCTGACCACTTAAGAAAACTAATTCAACCAATTATGTTACATTTCTATCTTCAAATAGATATTTGTGCATAGTACTAAGTCAATATTTCAAGCTAAATCACATTAAATAGTTTTTATATAATCTTGAATGCTTGTATCAAATAATTACACTACTTTATGCCATTTAATTCACACAATTTGTTCTCTTTTTAAAGCAGGATTGAAATTCTAAATAAAAGAATTATTATCCACACACACATACACATATTGGGATAGCAGTTCATCTTTAAAATCTATTAAGCCCTGCCTGTTTCTGATAATGCAAACCATCACCTTGAGTAGAAATCTGGAATAAGAAAAGTGTTTGGTATGTTTAGTTTAAATATTTTAAATAGCTTTTCTTAAAAATTGACCAAAATATCTTGGGATCTATGGGTCAATTTCCACTCTGTAAAACTAGCTTATTTTTCAAACCCCATTTTCAAACATGGCCATGATCGACCTCTGCACGGAACTATAACATTCTATGGCCTTTACAGAATATTGCAAACATATAGAATCCATGTCTGCTTATGATTGGTGTTAAAGAATAGTATAAATAGTCATCAACAGAGGATTATGCTTAATGCTCTGTAGATAATTAAATTAAGGACAGATGTCTGTTGAAATAAAGGCAATCAGATACAAAGTACTGCTAGTCAAATTCAACTAACTATTGTATTAAAAACACAATACATACAAAAATTGTATACATTTGTACATTGCTATAAAGATATTCATTAGTTTTACATCCATCCATAACCTGTAAGAATATAATCATTAGATACCTTGTTTATTTCTTTATGTCGTTCTTTACTAACAATTTCTTCAATCACTTCTCCATCACCTTTTATAAGCCTAGAATTGAAAATAACAAAAACAAAATTTGACAATAGGTTTAAAAGATAGGTTACCAGGCAACAAAATATACACCCAGAGTAGCCATATGAACAGTCCATAAAGATTGTTTCATTGTGATTCTTTAGGAACATAAAAACCAAAATTTGGAGTACTGATGATAACATTCTACAACATAATTAAGGGCAATTAATCTAGAAATAATTATCTTAAATTGCTGTAAATTTATAGATTTATTGGTCATAATAACTGAAAGAAAGAAAATGAATTTAAAGTAGATTAGTTGATTTATATTGATGTTTAAGCATTCACAAGACTCTATAATGTGAGCAAGGGTTATGATACTACAAGTAATAACCTGAAAAACGATGACTGCCACTAATGTTCACAACCTTTTTAGAAAGCAGGCCTAAGTAACGCTGAAATTGTTGAAATTCATTGAGACTCTTCTTTTCTTCACAAATCTGAACATTGAAAGCCATTTGGATAATAACTGTTGAAATTCAATAGGCGTTTTTGTTCCAGTAATTTACACAATGCTTACAAATTTCAAGCACATCGGATGATAGCTTTTGTGCTTAAACTAAAGTATTCCGAAGATTCTAAAAAATAATCAAGGATAATAACTTAGGAAGTTGTTACCAGAATTCGTTGAAACTGGAGAATATATGTTATCTTTTACACCCACATTAGAAGGTTGATAAGGCACATCCACCAAAAAATTAAAATTTAGCCTTGAAAAGCTTGTGTATGAACATGTATTTACTAAGGATCTGATTTTTTTCCACCTTGAAGAAAATTTAGGGTATTAAATAAAACCCAGATGTTTAAATCATTCTCAAAAGTGTAGACATACCTTTGTCTTCCTGTGTCCGGATCATAAACTTTCCTTACAATACTTTGTTGTTTTTCCCATTCTTCTTTAGTCATTGGCTTCAAGACTCTGACAGTGGGACCGATTCCTGTCGTGTCTGGTCATATAAAACTATATTAGAATATGTATAAACTTAAAGATATTATCTACAGACAGTAATCATGAAACACTGTCAAAGTTTCTGAAGTATCATGAATTAAGTCTATAAATAATACCAAAGATAGGTTGCCAGGCAACAAAACATATGCCCACAGCAGCTAAATCATCCGGGCAGTCAACAAGAGTTGTCGCATATTTTTACTTTATTCGGTAATGAAACATTTATAATACATTAAAATCTGATTAAGAGTAACAACTCATTAAATAATTATCAGAAAACCATGCCAACGTTTAGTAAACGAAACTTTTAACATCATGGATTTAGCTGTTCAAGTCATAAAAATTCATTGAACATTATTATGTATACTTGTTCGTCTCAAGACCATAAACTCTGTGTATCAATCTGAAGGCAATCGGATGATAACTTTAGCCTCTAGAGCCTTAGAAGATTTTTCAAAGTGATCAAGGGCCATAATCAATAGGCTTCTTCGTCTCATGACCTTAAACACTGTGTGTAAATTTAAAGTCAATCGGATATTAACTTTGGCCTCTAGAGCGTCAACAAGATTTTTGAAGTGATCAAGGGCCTTTACTCTGGCAGTAATTATTGAATATCGCTGAAAATGAATAGACTTCTTCGTCTCAAGACCATAAACTCTGTGTATCAGTCTGAAGTCAATCGGATGATAACTTTAGCCTCTAGAGCCTCACAAGATTTTTCAAAGTGATCAAGGGCCATAACTCTTTCTATGGCAGTAATTATCGGAAATCGTTGAAAATCAATATGATTTTACGTCTCATGACCTCAAACACTGTGTATAATTTAAAGTCAATCAGATATTAACTTTAGCCTTTAGAAAGTCCACAAGATTTTTCAAAGTGATCAAGGGCCATAACTCTGGCAGTAATTATCGGAAATCGCTGAAAATCAATAAGCTTCTTTGTCTCATGACCTTAAACACTGTGTATAAATGTAAAGTCAATCGGATATTAACTTTAGCTTCTAGAGTGTCCACAAGCAATTGTGGACGCCGGACTGACGGATGGGGGCGACGACAATATACGACCACATTTCAATCTGGGCGTATAAAAATAAATGACTAAAGGCCTTCACACACCAAGGACCAACTGCTTGCATTTTTCCATCACCTACGATCAATCATTGTATTTGACGTTTCATTGGTTACATGTGAGCTACTAGTGGTAGACAATCTATCTGGATTGATAAAATACATGTCCAAATGATTGTATTTTTAAACATTCAATGGTGGACACTGTTTAGTTTTGTGTAACTAATCACCTTATGAATAGATATGAGGGAGATGAGAATCCTTGTGCATGACATTCTAGTCATTGTGTTTTGTATTTTAGAGGAGAGTCGAAAAAAGCTCCCCCTAATGAACAAATTGAAAAAAATCGCTCTCCTAAAAAAGCTCTCCCAGTTTCGATAAGAAGAGTGATTTAGAAATTAGGGAGAGTGATCTGATATTAAGAAGAGTGATCAGATGTATGTATGGGAAATGGTTCTGAAGATCAATAACTGCGTGTAAGGGGTCATTTCTGGTTACATAAATGATAATAAACATTGTCTGCTAAATAATAGCACTCGTAGTTGTACGGTCAAGTCAAACTTCTGCTATCGTCTATAACTACATGTACATACGGTATTCCAATAGAAATACTTGTCGACATTTCTAAATATAACTAGCTTGTATAAATTTTGTTTAAAAACATAACTCCTATTCACAATATAATCACAACGCTTGACAATTCCATCAAAATATAATCTATCTATTCCCTTATGTTCCAATTACTAAATGACATTCAAAGAACAGAATTATTTTTATTGGAAATTTTCACGTTCTACTTTACATTTCAGTTAAATTAACCAATGACGCATAGGTGCCATCTATTTTTAGCAACATATTCATCAGAATTTTATTACCATGTGCAAACACATTTTACACTAATCGAATACACCAAATAAATGTTCATAATGACACCATGGCAGCGATCGGAATGCGAGTCTTTCACACTCTTTTGAAAAAAAAAATACTTATGTCCATGATTTACAAATAAGGAGACTGATTTTCAATTTTAAGCAAGGGAGAAAAACCTCCCCTCGGTCGACATTCAGGTGCGCGGGCTTCAAAAAACAATGACTGACATTCTATATCCAACGAGACCAGCGATAAGTATCGTTAGTGTTGTTTGCCCAACAGTTTATCAATGACCTGATAGTCCCAGAAAAGTATTTATCGGAATGTTATTTCCAATAAAAGTATGGCAATTTTGGTATATATGGAAAGTAGAAATATCCAATCTTTAGTGCTCCTACGACTAGTCGGATAGCCGTAAACGGTTAGAACTGGACGGTTAAACGGTTCGAATTCAAAGGTACGGTTATTCGGAGATGTCCCCCATTACAAAGAGTTGTGTCTGGTTATATTCCTCTTTATAACAAAACTTGCCCGTTGTCATTTTGTATTTGATGTTTGAAAATCTTAGAATGTAACAGTCGTCCTACGATGTCGATTGCTAAACAATGATACTATTAATAGCACTCGTCGTAGTCATACGGCAAAGTCAACGGACCTTGTTAATCCAATCTAAATACTTCTCGGCATTTCTAACTATATTCTACCTTGTTTATTATTTACTTAAAAACGTAACCACCATTCAAAATATAATCATAAAGGATAGAAAATGACATTATACTAGATTCGTTACTACGACATTCAACACGTTTCATATCTCGTAATTTCTCACAAGAATTCTACTTTGGTTTTTAGTTAAATTAACCAATCATAAAAATTCTACTTGCAAGCGAGGAATTAATTCTTTATTGTCCAATCAATAGACGTCTTCCAATTTACTTTATTCTATTCTTAGTAACATTGTGTTATCGTAATATTATCGCCATCTGTCACGTACGAAGGGAAACAGAGTAGTGCCTATTGTTTTGTATATTATCGTAGATATATATTGAATTAGAAAATGTTTCAAATGAAACAGGTTAACCAGGTAAATAAATAACTACAGCCTTAGATAGTTTAAATTTTCATTAAAGAATTCCTGAAATGTTTGCGCGTGTAATGCCTTTTACTTTAGCGAGTATAGCATGCGCACGAGTAATGACTCGCACCTCCTGACAAGCTCTGTTTTATGTTTAAAATTGATACCATACGGTTAACGGTTACTAACCGGTTAATAGCTACGGCTATTCGAATAACAAAAAGTCCTAACCGTAGGAGCACTACCAATCTTACTAGAAAAATACTGTATTCCCTGAAAAATGCTCATGGAACATATACAGGACAAAGATGTAAGGGTTCCCCTAATCGACAGCCCGACAATTAGGAATATCTGCACGCATGAAGTCAAAGGTTGCACGTGAAAATTGAGCACTTGTTCTACATGTTGATAAACTTTATGAAGAGCTAGACATATAACACTTTCTGAGATAAAAATCACAGAAAAAGACGCGGGCAGTGTATAATCCAAGAATTTAATTAGGATTCGATATTTGTAATAAATAGTCAGTGATTAAAGACGTCGTCTTGTGTATGCAATGAATTCTCCACCGACTTCGCACCTGTTGCTAGGGACCGAGAGAGGTAATCGACAGCCCGACAATTAGGAATATCTGCACGCGTGAAGTCAAAGGTTGCACGTGAAAATTGAGCACTTGTTCTACATGTTGATAAACTTTATGAAGAGCTAGACATATAACACTTTCTGAGATAAAAATCACAGAAAAAGACGCGGGCAGTGTATAATCCAAGAATTTAATTAGGATTCGATATTTGTAATAAATAGTCAGTGATAAAAGGCTTCGTCTTGTGTATGCAATGAATTCTCCACCGACTTCGCACCTGTTGCTAGGGACCGAGAGAGGTAAGTCACGTGACACTAAGATGACCTGTTTTGATCGATTTTTTTATAGCTGGGGTATTCCTTGGCAATTACAATGTTTTGGGAAGGATTTGAAGCAAAATTATGATAAATTAATTAGTTTGAATATGTTTTTAGTCCAAATACATCATCAAATCACCCCGTTTGTACGTGGGAATGTATCTTTAAGGTATGAACGCAACTTATAAAAATCAAGGGGTGTGAAAATAATTTTATTTGGAATTGATGTGAAGGATCTGATTCCTGAGTTACTGTACTATAGAAGGCTTGTTGACTATGCTATATATGTTTTCTTAGTACAATGCCCTTACTGGCATCTTGCTCGTAATTTGTATTTCCAAAACACAGGTATTACACTGAAAGTCCAACCCACCTTTCTTAGGTTTTTCAGCTTCTAAATTCAAAGCTAGTATTTGAGCTTCTTCCATACTTTTTCTTTTTGCTCTTCTTTCTTCTTTCATTTTCTTTTTTAACTTTTTCTTCTTCTTTTTCCTTTCCTTTCTTTTTCTCCTTTCATCTTCAGAAGATGAAGATGATGAAGTTGATGAATGCCTGGATCTAGAAAATAATTCACCATAAAATTACTTTTTTTTTAGAAAAACTAGCGACATACACAAATATCATTATACTATAGTAAATAATAAGAGAAAAATACACTTCCAAAACGACTGAGTATTATTTCAGAGCACTGGGATTTGTTTAAAACTAACAGTACTGACACTCAGTACTTTATAAGACATTGATCATTTCCATGCACTAACAAATCAATAACGATCCTATATTTATCACAGGTAAGCTAATGGATAGTGTTATTTCTCTACCAAGCCACCAATCATGTAACTTTACAAATAAGGACTATCCATAGATAAATACTTTACTTAATGAATCTGTTATGCATTGCTGAGCAGTGTCATTGTTGATTCAGGGTACATGCACAAAAAAAGAAATGTTGTGGTAGAATGGCACCCTTTTTGAATAAGATGTAAAAATATTTATTGATGCATTTAGATAAGGGATCATACTTTAATAATTCAAGATGTAATTTCTTTCATAATAGTAGATATATTAGTCTTTCCACAGGACCTTTTCTTATGTTTAGATTTTTTCCGCTCTCTCCTCTTCTGTGGTTTTTTATTATGGTTAGTATGAGAATCACTATATAACAAATCAGTATTTTTAGTAGGTGTCTTCTTCAACTGTCGCTTAGGTTTTGAGTGAGATGAATCACTTGATGAAGAATCTGTATCAGAAGAAGAAGATGATCGATGCCTTTTTCTTTTCTTCAAGTCTTTCGACTTTGATCTGGATTTTCTTCGAGAGCTCTCCATTTCTAAAAGTAACAAGATAAAAACATAACAGAATATTGAGATACGTTTAAAAAGATCACTTTTAAACAAACAGCACATAAAAAAATCAGCTTCAACATTGTCTTTGTCAAGATTCATGATTCCAGCACTGCAATTGCCACTGGTATCAATTCCAAAATACATACATGTAGATGGTGTAAATCAACACAGACAAATGCAGAACATAGTCACTTGGAGATCCAAAAACTGAACAACCTTCTAATATCCAGTGACCAAAGCATCAAGTTGCCATGAATGAATAACCAATCTAACAAATTACATATTAAATCAATACAAACCATTTGGGATATACCTTCAGTTTATCCCTTTGGTCTGTCAATTCTTCCCCACAGGTTTGCATTTGGGATTTGCATTGCCATTGGCTATGATTTAGTACGATTGATCATTATGCTCCAAAATGGCCATCAGTTAGCATGGCTTATTCAAGGTAATATGCATGGAATGTTTTATTTTCAGTCTCTTTTATCTACATATTAGTATTACCTATTTTATCAAAGTTTTAAGCAACAGGGAAGAAACAGTGCAAGTCAGACTTGAATACTTCAAACACTTTTTGCAGACCTAAAATATTGATATCTATCATGCCAAGTATCCAAGAGATGTGATAACACTGATAACTACTTGTTATGTCATTTTTTAATTCAGCTGAAGGGGTCTTTACTTTTCTTTTTAAATCTAACGTTTCTTTATACGGTGTACTGTTATTATCACATGTGCAGGTTTGAAAAGTCTCGCTCAATCAGGCATCATTATGGCCGAATGGCTAGCACATGCGTGCTGTATCATAAGGCCTGTCATTCACATTGAGTCAACTGGCGTGTTTTCGAATCCCCGGTTGTACGTGACAAGGAGTAGGGTCACCTGTCCAAAAAGTGGGTTTTCTCCGAGTCCTCCGGTTTCCTCCCACTGCTAAAGACCCCTAAGCGCAAACGAATTATTGAAATAAAATTGAACCATGTGTTAGTCCCGAAATGACCTAGTTTGTGTTGAGTGGACGTTAAAGTAAACCCCATTTCTTTCTCTCTGATCTCTCTCTCTCTCACTTTAAAAAGTTAAATAAGTTACCAAATTGATAAAAAAAAAATGGTAGTTGAGTACTTCGTTCGTTCGTTCCTGGATTTTTACGTCCACTTTCACCAATCTTGAGTACTTACGACCTTGCCCTATCTGTATACGTGGCAAATATTTTCGGTCGTCTTCACTTCAGTCATATTTCCTGAAGGAAAATCGCAGCCATGCTGAAATACAAATTACCCGCCGGAAAGAAAACGCATTATAACATATTTAACTGACGAATTGTTCTTATTTTATCCATATTTATAAGACCAAATACAAATCTATTAATTTTGCTATTATTAAAAACAAATTTTGGTTTAATGCTTTATGAAAAATATGTTTTATAATTAAATCGTTTTCTTTTATAAACTGGAAACAAATATTAACACAGCCTAGTAGCAAATCCATCCCAAAATGCATCTTTTGGCGTCAAAATGGCCGACAGTTGTCAAAACAGGTTCACAGCTGCCAATATTTTTTGATTATACCGTTACATGTAATGATGACAACCTTAAATACAGTGGCAGCGTCATCAGCGTTTGAATCGCAATTGAAAACATTATGTCTTTTGGAATTTCCATGTGGTGCAGGCTCATGGGTAAGGATTTCTCCTCTCAAATACAGTATAATACTCTAGTTCAAGAACGTCACTGTGACTAGGCTACTAGGACTACTAATATGTAACAGGCATTGCCTGAGTAGAGCGAAGCTGATTATTGTCAAATATAAAACTTTCATAATTAATTTTCTCAAGTGATACAAAAAATGTTAAATAATTTAGTTTTCTCCAAAATTGATTTTTATTTAGATCTAAATTTTATACATTAATTTTGTTTTTAAAAAAAGAACAAAAAAAGTGTGAGAATTATTTTCATTGACGTAAAAAAATATGTGACGTCATTGATTAGACGCGTCATAGAAATAGTTCTATGAGGCGCGTAATCTCGCTTGGGCGAGATTTGGTGGGTAGAATTATTTTTGTTAGTTACGTGATCTCGCTTGGGCGAGATTTGGTAAGTTGACATGCGCATTGCCTGTTTTACCCAGTGTATCCGGTTCCGGTCTGAATTTTTCTTTAATCAACAGTCTGTGGGTGACATTTTCAATTACGCTCCTGTGTTGCGCGGTGCTTTAGAGCTTCGCTCTATACTAGGCCTTTATTAATTACTATTAAAGTATTATTAGTTATTTATAATTAGTATTAGTATATAGTATTAGGCCTACTGTCTGACAAACTTTGACATCAAGAAATACAAAAATGGAAGCTAATTATGTCACTTATCGGGATAGATCATTTCGTATTTAAATAAGGCATAAGGGGGTCACACAGCAACTGAGCAAGGCTTGTCTATCGTAACAGCGTTTGGCTCTTTTACAAAAATTCAATTTTTGTGTATGAATAAGTTATTGCTCTCTTCAACAGGCATTGCATTCCTGTTCTTTTTTATTATATATTGTCTGGTTGGACATGGTGTATGCATATATATACGGATAGAAGGTCAGATTCCTGTGCCCAAACTCAAACGATCGAAAAGGATATGTGCTGCTTTTATTGCAACACACGTCATTGTCAAAATTTGTCAACCTTTACCCCCCTTCAAAATATTACGATGGTTTAGCTCATCACGTGACATGTGTAATGTTGCGATGAAGACAGTCGAAAATACAAGCAAAAACATTGACTTTCAAGAGAGAACTTTTTTTTTCTTTGGGGTATTTAATTGTACAATGGATTTTATTCAACTGGAGGTGATTTCAAACACATAGGCAAGTTTTTAATGACAAGTATTCAGTAGTTTGTTCACAATCGAAGAAATTTGTTTAAAATTTACCGCGGTTCAGACAGTAAGTAATGAATAGTAATTAATAAATAAGTAGCCTAATAGATCTAGTTAATAACAGGGTATATAATAATAAGAACAAAAAATAAATTGATTAGCAGTTATTGGATGTTTATAAAAAGGTGCTACTGTCTGAACCATCGTAAATTTTATACAGATTTCTTCGATTTTGAACAAACTAAATAACTTAAAATATAGGTCTATCTCCCAAAGATCTCGGTTACTTTCAATATTGGCATATATCGGACCATAACTTAATGGATTATGAAAAATCACATTTTTAGCTTGTGGACACTCTAGGGGTCTCAATTTTCATCTGATTTTGATGAAACTTGAAATGCATGTTTATAACCCAAAGATCTTGGTTCCTTTTGATATTTGCGCATATCAGATTGTAACTTCCTGATTGTACGAAAAATCACGTTTTTAGCTTGCAGTCTCTCTAGAGGTCACAATTTTTATCTGTTTGAAAAAAAACGTTTAATTATTTCACCGTTACACCCTAATGACGGCTGAGTTCGAATTTCGTGAAAATCAGACAAAAACTGGCAGACAAAATGGCCGCCTCTTGTACGCAAATAGTGTAAATGTATGGTATATCAAGGTTGTGAACCCTCTACAAGTCACAATTTTGATCCGTTTTTTTATAAAATTTGACATAGATGTTTATAACCCAAAGATCTGGGTTCCTTTCGTGCATATCGGATCATAACTTTCTGAATTATGACCCTTGATTGCACGAAAAATCGCTTTTTGTTTTAGCTTGTTCTCTATCCATCTCTTGTAAAATGTGGGCGTATCCTGCCTGGCGGCCGCTGGTTTATACTTTTGATGGCCTACATTACATGAAGATCTGTAAAAGTTCGCGTCAGATGTTGTATGAATGGCTTTTGACCCTATGATGTCAAACATTGATTAATCAATCAGCGTTGACGTTTGTAGTGGTTTACCCACAGTTTTGTGCATAGCACGCCAAAAATTCGCTGTAACAGATGGTTTTATTGGCCAATTCCTCATGCCATCCAGAATTCTTCCAGATCCTAGTGTAGTACAGACAAATAAAACAAAATTTTGAACTATAAAAAATGAAATGAAATAGGATCTGTGTTTTAATCAAATTGGTTTATAGTTATACCCTGCTTCTGTGACACTTGTTTATGTTAATATAATGTATAATTATGACCAACTAATCTTCATATAATTCATCATAATCACCTTCAATGAAAATGGTGACCAATGTTGATGCATATATTACCAGTTTCTTATTCTTCTGTACTAAAAGAATAAGTTAATTTTAGAGTGAACAAATCTGCCAGTGTACTATAGTTTGTCAAAATATTGTATTCTTGGCCGTGTTCGGTAATATGGGACATGTAAATTGGGGTAATATCATATCACACATTTTTTCAGAGTGTTACCATGCTTTGGTATTTTTAATAAAAAATTAACCGAAATGTATCAATAAACTAAACATATTCTAACTAAATCAATGGTCCACATATTCCAGTATGTTTTAGAAGCAATATCAGAAAGATGTAATGCACGGTCAGCCCATATTACCCCCCTCCCCCAGATAGGGTAATATGGGCCCTTACCCTGTGGCAAAAAAATAGTAACTTACATTGTCTTCCTTTAGCATTTTAAAATTATCTGAGCCCCAAGTGGTTTTCAATGGCAGTGTCTTCTGAGGCTACATGTATGTAAATCGACATAATGATGTAATAATATAACTGAGATGTCGAAATTAATTGATAGTCCTAAAATGTAAACTACCTGTACCTCTGTTGTGTGCATTCATTATTGAGTTTTGTATGTGCAAAGAATTAGAATAGTAGGTATACTAATTCCATGGTATGTTTTATTTTCTTACAGAGAAAAAAAAATACTTGTAATGATCAACTAAATCAACCTAAAAAACAGAAATCGGTGAAAAAAATTGAAAATGTAGAGAGCTGTTTTTCTGTTACATTAAAAGGTAGGCCAATTGCTTGTGAATTCTGATATTTTAATTGTTCAATAGCTGCATGCACTGGTATTAGTGGTATGTGAATCAAGAAAATTGTATAAAAACATGCCTAAGACACAGATTTGTTCATCATATTAACAATGTTAATTAATTTCATTCATACATACACTCTCGTGGAAAAAAAATAGCACCCAAATTTTAGTTGTCTTTTACATTCTCCTGTGATATTACAATTAACATTTGACTATACAGTAGACTTCGCATATAACGGACACCTTGGGACCGGAAGAAATCGTCTGTTATAAATAGTGTGTTATACAAAACATCTGCTATCCATCCTGAATTAGCTTAGTGTGCTGCAGGGCTTCCACACATTGATTTCCAATTTTATCTTGATTTTTAGCAAAGAGCTCAACACGCTACTTGTTAGCAAAAGCTGGACAATTATACGTATTGAGAAGACTTTCGAAATTTATATGAGGAAGAAGAAGACTAAAATTAACTTCTGAACAAATTGAAATCTCAAAATTTCTGTTGTTATTCGGGATTTCCGTGTGTGTGGAATCGCTATTGTGCCTGGGCTGAATTTTCCCAAAAAAATGTTTCCCCTAAAATCAGTATTCTGGTCACCAATAATAAAATCAGTAATATCATCATTTTGTTCTGCTTATTTGAGAGTCTGTTATAAAATGGACTTTAACATTGATTTGTCGATTAGGGACCGATGAAAATCGTCCGTTATAAACGATTGTCCGTTATACAGTGTCCGCTATAAAAGACTTTGAAAATAAGAAATTTCTATTACAAAAATTGGGACCAAACTGTTGTGTCCGCTATAAGCGATTGACCGTTGTATGTGCGTCCGTTATATGCAGAGTCTACTGTACTACAATATGTCAATACTACTGATAGATACTTTGCTAAATTGAGGACAAATTGTCTTCTTTTTTGATTGGAAACATGCAACATTTTTGACTAATCACAGTCTAGTTTTCATTTCTGGTTTAATTTAAATCAGCCATTTCCAAATATTATTTCAAAACAGACAGATTGTCAATGCACAGGTGTGTGTGTGTGCAGAAAAATGATCAGGGTGGGGGGGGGGCTGTTCCAGTATGACTGACTGCGGAGTCTAGAGAGGGGGATGGGGGGTTCTCCACCAGAAAATTTTGAAAGTTTGAAGTTGATTTCCTTGCATTTGAATTTGAGGCCATTTCTAAACTAAATTTACTCTTTTAAATGTATAGGCACTTACCTATGGTCCCTCAGCATGAGCAGGGTGAGGTTCTGGATTAACTGGATAGTTTATATGCAGTGAGTCCATGACACATAGATGACATTGTAGATGTCCGCAACTGACACATAATCTTCCCAAAGATCTCGATTCCTTTTGATATTGGCATGTATCGGACCATAACTTTATGGATTATGACCCCTGATTGTACGAAAAATCGCGTTTTTAGCTTGTGGACATTCTAGATAGAAATCACAATTGTCATCTGATTTTGATGGAACTTGAAATGCATGTTAATAACCCAAAGATCTTGGTTCCTTTCGATATTTATGCATATCGGATCGTAACTTCCTGAATTGTGGCCCCTGTCAGATTGTACGAAAAATCGTGTTTTTAGCTTGTATTTCCTTTAGAGGTCACAATTATTATCAGATTTAAAAAACGTTTGAATATATCACTGTTACACCGTAATGTCGGTTGAGTTTGAATTTCATGAAAATCGGAACGATACTGCCTGACAAATTAGCCTTTCCTTATGCAAATAGTGTAAAAGTATGTAATGCCAAGGTTGTGTTCCCTCTAAAAGTCACAATTTTTATCTGATTTTGATGAATCTTAAAATATATCTTTATATCCCAAATATCCACTTTGACGTTTTTCGTGCCGACAAAGTTGTTTATGAGATCAAATTTTTCAAAAATATGGGAGCACAATTTAGACGCCATTTTGAACTGAATATGAAAAATAGTGAAAAATCCACACTACGGGATTGAAAATAAGCACAATAGGCCGTGGTTTGGAGAATTTGTTGCCTATATTCGAATTTAATACATTTCTGGATAGCCTGGCAAAATGACCGCTGTTCGTTCTCAAATAGCGTAAAAATATTGTATATCAAGGTTGTAGACCCTATAGAGGTCACAATTTTTATACGCCCACATTTTCATATGGACGTATTATGCCGTCGCCCCTGTCCGTCCGGACGTCCGTCCGTCCACAATTTGTTTGTGAACACTCTACAGGTCACAATTCTTATCCGATTTTAACGAAACTTGAAATATAGGTGTATCTCCAAAAGATCTCGGCTGCTTTCGATATTGGCATGTATCGGATCGAAACTTCATGGATTATGGCCCCTGTTTGTACGAAAAATCACGTTTTTGGCTTGTGGACCCTATAGAGGTCACAATTTTTATCCGATTTTGTTGAATCTTGAAATGTAAGTTTATAACCCAAAGATCTCGGTTCCTTTCAATATTTGCTCATATCGGACCGAAACTTCCTGAATTATGGCCCCTGATTGTACGAAAAATCACGTTTTTAGCTTGTGGACCCTATAGAGGTTACAATTATTATCCGATTTAAAAAAAACGTTTGATTATATCACCATTATATCGTAATGAAGGTTGAGTTCGATTGTCATGAAAATCGGACCAAAACTGCTAGACAAAATGGCCGCTGCTTGTACGCGAATAGTGTAAAAATATAGTATATCAAGGTTGTGGACCCTGTAGAGGTCACAATTTTTATCCGATTTTGTTGAAACTTGAAATGTAAGTTTATAACCCAAAGATCTCGGTTCTTTTCATTATTCGCGCATATCGGACCATAACTTCCTGAATTATGGCCCCAGATTGTACGAAAAATCGCGTTTTTAGCTTGTGGACCCTATAGAGGTCATAATTTTTATCCGATTTAAAAAACTGTATTATTATATCACCCTTACACCCTAAGGAGGACCGAGTTCGAATTTTGTGAAAATCGGCCCAAAATTGACAGACAAATTGGCCGCCGTTCATTCTCAAATAGCGTAAAAATACGGTATATCAAGGTTGTGGACCCTATAGAGGTCACAATTTTTATCCAATTTTGTTGAAACTTGAAATGTAAGTTTATAACCCAAACATCTCGGTTCCTTTCAATATTCGCGCATATTGGACCTTAACTTCCTGAATTATGGCCCCTGATTGTACTAAAAATCACGTTTTTAGCTTGTGGACCCTATAGAGGTCATAATTTTTATCCGATTTAAAAAAACGTATTATTATATCACCGTTACACCCTAAGGATGGCTGAGTTCGAATTTCGTGAAAATCGGCCCAAAATTGACAGACAAAATGGCCGTCGTTCGTTCTCAAATAGCATAAAAATATGGTATATCAAGGTTGTGGACCCTATAGAGGTCACAATTTTTATCCGATTTTCTTGAAACTTGAAATGTAAGTTTATAACACAAAGATCTCGGTTCCTTTCGATATTTGCGCATATCGAATTGTAATTTCCTGAATTATGGCCCTTGATTGTAGGAAAAATCACTTTTTTAGCTTGTTCTCTATCCATCTCTCGAAAATGTGGGCGTATCCTGCTTGGCAGCCGCTGTTTTTTTTTTTTATTTTAAAAACCGTTTAGATCATTATTCCACCATAATGAAGGTTGAATTGGAATTTTGGGAAAATCGAAATGAAATTGCCGACAAAATGGTCGCTCTTTGTATGCAAATTGTATATTAGTATGTAATTCGAAGGTTATGGACCCACTAGAGGTCACAATTTTTATCCAATTTTCATGAAACTTAAAACTTATCTTTATATTCCAAAAATCTCAGTCCCTTTTGATATTTGCGCATTTCAGACCATAACTTTCTGGATTATGGCCCCTGATTGTACAAAAAATCATTTTTGTTTTTAGCTTGTTCTCTATCCATCTCTTACAAAATGTGGGCGTATCCTGTCTGGCAGCCGCTGGTTTTCTTCAAGATTCTTGTGAGAAAAAAAACAGGACAACAAAATACATTAATCTACTAGATGTTGAAGTTAATGTATAAAGTGTATGATTAGGTTGTATAAAAACTATCATACCTGATTCAAGGACAGGTCTAGTTATAAATATTTTTGTGATATATGCAACATTGTTCTGTAACTAAATGTTTAATTATAGATTATGGAGCAGATACAGAGAAAACTGAAACATTACAAGAATATGTTGGTTCGAAGTTTTCTCCATGGCATCTGGATTACAGTTGGAGTGATGAAGCCAAACAGTTAAGAGAACTGGCTGTTAAATCTCCATGGTTGATAGATGATCACTTTGTTTCAAATTATTTTAAAACATTAAGAATTATAGATAAAAAAGTGAGTAAAAACTAAATTAAGATTGAATATGTATGTTTACTTGTGATTCTCATTAAAAATAGTTGGCTTTGTTTTAGCCCATTGGGCTAAATTTGGTACATGCAGAGTCTGGCCAACCCGTGTCCCGATTCTGATTGGCTAATTGTAGTCACGTGTCATGTGGACGCCATTAAGTTACCCATCTGAAAAGAATCATCTGCATATATAGTAGCCTATAATTTGACGTGTGTTTAAATGACATAAATGGTCTTCTGTGTGGCCACACAAGAGATGGGCAAGGGATTCACATACACAGGTTCCCAAAAAATGCAGAAAGGTGTCGATTGGGGGAAGTAAAAGTAAAAAGTAGTTGATGGAAGCCTGGTACTAGTGGTAGATGTTTTTTCAATTTAAATTTCGTCTGTATGGCATAAAGTGTTGCGGTTTTGGTTAATTTGTATACCTTCTTAATCTTAATGCCTGTCATTTACATAGTCAACCAATTCTCTCTCAATTTGTGGATAATGTGCGGTGCTCCATCTATTCGCTTCTTCACTTGTTTCATGTCAGTAAGTTTCCCCTTCATAATCATAGCCCTTCAACGTCTCACGTTTGACTCCCCAAAAACAAAATTCACGACCTGCAGCCCTATTACCGTGCGTTTCAGCGTAACTAATTACCCTCAACTTCTCCTTAGCGGTATAAGCGGTTTGTCTCGTAGCCATTCTGAATAAATAATTTTTGAGAATGATGGAATGTTCACTGGTATTTTATATACATTGGGTTTTTTTCTTTGAGCAAGACTTTCTTATAATTTTAACATATAACTGTTTGAAGTTACCGACAGTTTTCAATCAACATGGATTCAGTGAATGACCCATTGTTATAATTTACCGGTATAGTTAATTATCTACCAGTGAGTTGTCACCATATACTTTATGAAGTTGTTTGTAGTTAACAAAATCATTGTTTCTTTGATTGGTATTAAAAATGCTGTTGTATTGTTTTACTGATAGATCTAAATGGCTACAATCTGGGTATTGTCATGACACGTGTAATGGGCGGGGCAATGGATGCTATCGTTTGATTGTCAGTTGTTTGCATAACTTAGAGTAAACTGGAATTGTTGTTTATCTTTTACTGGTAGTCAGGATTTAAGTCATGAGTAACTGATCATGAGAAATTGTTTCTACAGTTATTATTTAATCTGTTTATTGCCAAAACCTATTCATTTATCACAGCCAATTGCTCACGAATTTAACACGATGTAATAAACAGCCTTGCTTGTTGTAGGCGGGACTTGAATGACAATTTCAATGCCGTACGAGCAACAGAATTACCGCTAAAAGTTATGCAATAATGCAATTGTAAGTTATAATTAATATAAACAAATGTATAAAAAGCTTTTTATTTCATAAAGAAATATATATAAAGCTTGATACGGCTAATTATTATAACTGTAAACAAAAGAGTTTGGTCCAGTTACTGGAGATCACAGATGGATTTGAGTCACGTGTGGTATGGCATGAGTTTCACGAGGCACTGGAAAAGGGTGGGCCTAAACCACGCATATTTTTTTTCCCTAAAACACCTCTGCCAAAGTCGCCCTGCACATTATCTACGCATGCGCCTAATACACCGAAAATACAGTAGATATGTTTGACACAATGTAGGCCTACAATTACAGTAGTATCTATAGGCCTAGCCTAGCCTAGTTAGTAGATGTTTTTCGATTTAAACTTTTTTTGCTTTTTTTTTTAATAAGTGATTATGTTTGATATCTTCATCCTGGAGTGAATTTTCAACAATTTGTTATGAGTTTGAGACACACAATGTAGGCTTAGCAAGTAGGCCTAGGTGTTTTTATACTCAAATGTCGTGGGTATGTTACACAGTTCCCACCTCTTAAACTGACTACGTATCTTATGCAGAACTGTCATAACTCATTATTAGTATTAGACACTGCGTATATTATTTGGATTAAGCCATTCAGTCTGAAAAACTTGATTTTATTAAGATTATTATTTTTTTTTTTCTGGTCTTAGTGGGGAGTCGAAGTTTAAATTTCGATTTCCTGCAATTTTGATTAAAAGGCTAAAGCATTTACTTATGCTTCTGAATAAAAATTGTATACATTACCAAAAACTACTCAGATTTGTTTCTCAAGAGAGAGAGAGAGAGAGAGAGAGGTATACCTTCAATAATTTGCCTCTCTCTCTCTCTCCAACTGGAGGACCCAGAGAAAACCCACGAGGTTGGGCAGGCGACCCTACTTCTTGTCATGAAGAATCTTTAGATCGAAAAATAGCCAATTTTAAAAAAATTTATTGAAATTAATGTCTACCCCTACACTTGAGTGAACATAAAAATACATTTGTCCAGATCTAAAACATATAAATCGGTCACACGCTGTACTGTTGCTCTATCTGCGAAGTAAGAATGGGTAACAAAATAACGCCCATGACGTCAGTTGGCCAGATTCTCTATATATAAGACTCTGGGTACATGTATATTGCCACGTTGGTGTTTATTCAGATTTCTTCAAATGCAGTTGCTGGTCTCCGACTCTGTAGAGGCTGGTTAGGGCCTTAGGGGCACTGTTATGGAGCAAATTTAGGTACTCTTAATAAATCATTTTCTTCAGAATGGCAGAATAGATTTCTTTGAGGGACCTGATAAGAACGATGCAGGACAGGGGCACAACAGAGATACAAATTTAAACATTTTTGACGCTTCTCTAAAGGTGCTTGATGGTAAATTTGATAAAAAAATGTTGTTTTGGTTATGGTTAATCAGGTTTGTTCAAATGAAGTGACAAGGACTCTTGATTTGGCAAATTTATGTATTTTCTACCTCTTTTCCGAAAGTGTTTGAGTGATTTCAATTATATTTGATGTATGTCAACAAGATGATATGGTGATAATGTTTTTCCTGATTTGTTCAAGAGAGAGAGAGAAATGGAGTTTAACGTCCACTCGACCCAAACTAGGTCATTTTGGGACTAACATATGGTTTTTAATTTTATTTCAATAATTCGCTCATGCGTAGGGGGCTTTAGTAGTGGGAGGAAACCGAAGGACCCGGAGAACACCCACTAGGTTGGACAGGCGACCCTACTCCTTGTCACGTACAACCGGGGATTCGAAACCACACCAGTTGACTCAATGACAGACTTTATGATACAGCGTGCACACGCTAACCATTCAACCATCCACCCCCACCCCCTGATTTGTTCAAAGAAAGTTACTTAGCTCCAATGCTAGGGAAGTATGAATTGGAAAAGTAAGACTTCTTTTCCTACCCATTTGATGATTATAATCAAAAGTGGTAAATAAGTTGCCTGGTTGATGCTTATTCAGACTGGTTAAAACAAAGTTTTCTTGATCCCACAAGTCAGACAAGGCAGCTTATAATTCATCCTCGATATCCCCATAAGTATTTTTCCATTCTACACCACTGACCCCAGGGTCCATTCACGGGGGAGACACATAGTCAAATTGTCCACTTTTGATAATTATGCTATTTTTATCGACCAATCAAAAATATTTCTGAGTGGGCGAAGGGAAGTAACTCACATTTTATTGCAAAATATTTTAGGACATCGTTTTGTGTGAATGTCACTTCTTTGAAATTAAATTTCATGCAACCCTTCTCATAATCAAGGGTACAAACTGCTCTATTGTGGTAAATGTAAATAATGACACTAACATTGATATGTAAACTGTTTTTTGATTGCTTCGTAGGATCAACCTACGTACGTGGCCACTGGCCAATGAAGTCATCAAGGGAAAATAATTTGAATTTGTGAAAACCATATGAACAGACCCAAGGGTTAGTGTAGTAGAATGGAACGATACTGCTGGGGATGCCTAGGATGCTTATAATTGGGTCAAATTTAATCATTTTGGACTTCTTCTATACTGCTTGATGGATTTAAACAAATTTGGTAGTTATGTTGATTGGGTGATGTTTGTTCAATAAAGTTAAATGTTACCAGTGGCCTGGAAGGGCAGATTTGATTATTAGATTTAGATTTTTCCTTACCCTCTCAATAGATTACAACCAAAATTGAGAGATTTGATGCTTATTCGGATGTATTTAAACAATGTTGCTTAGGCCAATGAAACAAGGCAGGGGTAGCTTGAATGTTATATAAATTATTGATTAGACATTTATTAACATGACAAGATCATAATCAACTCTTGATGCCATCGCATGGCTCTGATTTTAAGTAGATTATAACTAGAACAGTTCAGCTATTAATAATTTAATTTAAAAATGGAGAAGCGAGGCTAAGACTCGAATGACCAGTTTGTTTGTTACAATCAATGCACACGTCTTGTCAAAACTACAACTACTAATAATTTCGCTCAAAATAAAGTAATTTGCATGAAATTTTCAATATATTCATTTTTGAAATATTATAGCGAGAATGGCCAGCTTTTTAGCTAAATCTTACATCATTCCCCTTTAATTAATAAAATTTTAATCTAAGATAATCATAAATTGATTTATTTTTCAGGTAACTGAATTAGATGAAAATTTATTAGAGTTTAATAATTTAGAGGACCTGACATTGAGTGCAAATTTTATAAAAACAGTAAATTCCCGAAATCTACCCCCATCAATACAGGTACTGTAATTAAGTGATCAAACCAACCACAGAGTTATATGCCCACCTTTATTGACTTACCATGATTGAGTTACATATACTTAATTTTTACCTTGAAAAGACTTACTTAAGCTACAAGATTTTAATCCTGAAAACAATTTCTGATTTCTTCTTTTTTGGAGATTTTAATCCCTTTGATGTCAAACTGTAAAACATCAAAGATGTTACATCTCCAAATTACACTTGTTGATTAAGAAGTCGGTTTCTTGACAGCTAATTTTAGCACTAACAGTCACATAGTGAGAAGCAGTTGCATGGTAAATGCATCCTCATGGTAATAACTTTATTATAAGTTTTTATAAAAATAGAATCATATAATTTTGGTACTTTCAGATTTTAGAATTATGTGCTAATCAGATACAAGATTTATCATCTTTATGTATTAAACCCCCACCTTGCTTAAGTCACCTAGGTTTAGGTTATAATAAAGTATCTTATATTGGTGATTATATTACTGGTGATAACTGGTAAGTTTCCTTTATTTATTCCCTTCTTTAATATATAAGTTTTTTTTTCCAACGGTAAAATTAAAAAAAAAACCAACCAAGTTCTATGCTAAGCGATATCAGGTATTTCAGAAAGTGTAATTATTCTGTCTTATGTGTGGCACCCATCACAATTTGTATCTATTCGGCCAATACTGAATAGATTTTGTGAAGGCAACAACACCATATATTAGTCTACACCAGTGATCTTAATCAGCGTTTTTTGTCGGAAATAACGAAGACAGTAATTTATTAAAGAATATTATACTGACATGAATTTCTAGTCGGTACGTGAATTAAATATGGAAAATTTTCCGAATGGTGTACCTATTTGTCATTATTTTTGTTGTAATTACATACAGTAGAATACAATATTTCTAATAACAAATTACCAAGAATTATTTTTGTTGAAGTCTGGTTATATTAAAGGGAATGGAAGCTTATAATTTTAAAACCCATTTCCTCCCGGGACCTCATTTGACCCAATTATAGCCGGTTTGTTTCAAAATGGATTAAGAACCCTGGTCTACATACATATATTAATTTATTTCAGGCCATGTCTTCTGTCTTTAGATTTGAGTAACAATAATCTTAGTGATTTACTGGATGTTGTAAGAAAACTAGGCACACTTCCAAAATTACGTAACTTGGTCTTACAAGGAAATCCATTAGCAGTAAGTTATCTCACAACCTTTTTTGGTTTGATCAAAGATGAATTAATCATTTGTTGGAATTCAAACAAAATAAAAGTTATTATTATGAACTAACTAGGGGATTGGGTGACAGAGTCATCTAAATCATACACTGTAGTTAGATTGTCAGTTCTGTCATTCAGTGCTTTCAATCTGAGCTTGTATGTTGTGACTAGGGGTAGGCTGCTTCACTAACCTTGATCATTTTCTACAGGTTTTCCAATTTCCTTGACCTACTGAAGACCCTGTTGAACCTCATTTCTCTCTCCTTATTATAAACAGGGTGGATTGCCCTTGACCACAAACCTGTTTCCACCCATTTTAGATTCCCTGTATTTGTCCCTGATGATGTCATGTTTCCAAAACAGTATTATCTTACTCTGTAAATGATACAAATTTTGTTTATTTCAGTTTATTCCTGGATATAGAGGCTACATTATAGACAGTTTAAGAAAATTATCAATATTAGATGATTTACTCATATCAGCTGATGAAAGACATCATTATAAAGGCCTGGCTAGAAGAAGGGGTAAATTCATTCATGATTTACTGTGCTAAATGAATTTTACCTTGCACTGTTCTATTTGTACCCACATAGGCATCTGGATGGATATACTGGAGTTGATGTGTATTGAAATTTGTGTATTTTTCAGAATATATATTGGATGAAGCGAAGATCAATCTCTCTGTTTCTTATGTTAAAGGAATACCAGTTCCAGAAGAAATAAAGGTAAAAACTCCCTTAAATATTGATATTTTAATTAAGGGGATTATGGATGGAAGGTAGCCAAGTTACAGAAAATATGTGACCGGCCACGGCAAAATGAGTTTGAATGTTCGCGATCCAATAATGAGATAAAGACAAATATACTATCTATTGACCCAAAATATCAAAATAGCAATAAATAGAGAATCTCCTACCAGTCTTTTTTGATATCAAAAAATATCATCACAAGTTGATAAAGTAACAAAAAACGAGTCTCTGTGATATCTACTGTAGAATGTATTATTGGGCGATAAAACATTTTAAAACACCTTTATTTTGAAGGAATACAAAAATCTTAATTCGGTCGTACAGCTGCACGGCTTCTTTGATGATTAAGATAGACTACTAAACTTGATTACCCAATCAACAACCTTAATCTCCTGACCACTGGCACCAAGGTGCTGATTAATTGATGAACTGAAGTTAATCTCACCAAAGTTATAATATACATACTTAGACTACTAATGTATAGATTGTTCTAAATTATAACGGCTATCATAAGAAATGTGAATATGCCGCATGTGTTGTGGATGTTTTGCTATGAAAAGAGTGCATTTACTACGATTTTCGTCTTCAGCACCCTTGAATACCTAAAGAAGAAAATATTGATATGAAACGACAAAATAATGAATGATTTAATGGCATGGTTGCTGTGTTATATTGTTTTAGAACATACCGACACCTTTAACTTACTTTTTCTAAAAACTGCAGATATCAGTGCATTCAATTCATTTGCAACTAACTGAGAGCTCTCACGACTGCCTTTTTCCATTCTCGAACGCTAAACAGTCACCCATGCCCGATGAATTAATAAATTTAATTCTCGTAATGCAATTATATCCGCTGTAAATTGTGTTTGTTAAAAGTTATCTATACACTGGTATCGTAACCGTGCCATACGAAAAACTCCATAGTATATACAATGGCTATAATAACTACTTTTAATTAAGGTGTATTGAATATGTAAAATGATAAATATACGTTGCATCGACCCAAAATCATGTTTTTCGTATTCAGTCCTCTATAATGATATATATTACACGTTAGAGTATCAAGTATTATCGGATTGATTCTTATACTGAATTTTTTTTTTTTGATGTAGCACCCCTTAAAACCCATACAATGACATTAATAAACACATAACTTGTGAAAACTAAAAAATTTGTCATTTTGGTGTCCATTTTGAATAAAAAAATGTTGGAAATTGTCGGATCAAATTTTTACTACAATTTTCGGATCAATTTTTTACTACAATTTTCAGATCAAATTTTTACAACAATTTTCGTCTTTAGCACCTGAAAACTTCTTGAAAACAATATTCAACGACAAAACAGCAAATAAATGGCCTGGTTGCCATGGGATTTTGTTTTAAAACATACCAAATCTTTGACTTGATTTTTCTCACAACTTACTTTGGTGAGTTGGGTGGCTTCAAGCGGACACAGCTCAGTCAATTTTTGCCCGATTGAAACAAACTATACATCAAATTGAAGGTACATGTATTGAGTTGGAGATTTTGAAAATAACAATAACTTAATTTTCTCATTGCGATTCATTATGCCATGACGGGTCACATATGTTTTTATTTATAATAGAAGAAGAATTTATTGTGTGTAAAGTGATTGCTACCAGTATATAGTTACTAAAATTAGTAAAATGTTACAAAATTATAATGGCATTGGGTAGATTCCAATCCAGTGCTTTTGATATAAAAGTGACCTTAGGGTACAATATAACCAGTTGTAAATCAACAAAAATACATATAAGCTTATTTATGAAAAATAATTTTTGTCATTTGTTTGACAACTTTTTATTTATGAAAACAGAATCCAGAAGAACAGCCTGAGTTTCCAGTAATAGAAAGAAGATATTATATAGAGTTTAACTTTTTACAAGATACCAGTGGTAGAAATGAGATTTGTTTATTTGCACCAGAGGATGATATAACAGAAATATCAACACAGTTAGAATCATCTAGACATGATGTTCAGTCGGTTTTGGTATGTACAGAATGAGAAATGTATCCTGTGGATTTTAATTTATACGCTATTGAAAGATACTTAGATATTTATTCTGTCAACCTTACCTGATTGTATAACATTGCTACATATTCTGTAAGATTGTCCCTTTACAAATAAAATATTTTTCCATTATGACTTACCTACCTTTAACTTGATAGATGGTGCCTGTACAACCGGAAGGCCATACTTATCAAATACAATATTTTGAACACTGCTGTTCATCAGATATATGTATCAATATATTTTTAAAAGTGTGTATACATTTATGTATTACAGCAATCTGAAATTGTTGGTGACAGTGATCACCTAGAAGAAGAAGAAATAGAAGAAGCAGGAATTGTGGAAAAAAATGTCTATTTTAACAGTAAACCAGATTTAAAGAATTTAGAAACTGCAAGAGATTTGTACTCAGGTCTGATTTTAAAAATGATTTACATTGTATTTACATTTGTATTAATATTGCTAGAATTTTTGCTCTTATAATTAATTAATGGTGGCATTATATGTCATTAATTAATGTCTTTGGTCAATTGTACTAAAGGTGCACTAAAAATATAAGTGACAGGTTGACACATAAAAAGAGTTATAGAGCCAAAACATAGCTGGTTCTATGTGTCAACAAAATACATGTGATTGGAAATTTACCTATTGCATCACTTGGTTTAAGGGACCAGTCATATCAGTAATTGCACAGGTTCAGGGTCATAAATACACTAGTTTTGTGCATGTTGTTCTTTAAAAGAAATCATGGCAAACTTTTAAGCCAGATTTCATTTGATTCCGAAGAGATTACCATCTGAGTTCCTAGACAACAGCTTGATTCCAGAAGGGAAAAGATGTAACAGTTTCTATCAGCAGACTCGCCCACTTATAGCCTGAGTACGGCAACTATTGATTTTGGTGCATGTCCCGACTCCTAGGGGCAGAGCCACGCCCAATTTTTGTGTTTATCGTATACTGGCCACAATTCTGAATGGATTATCTTCAAACTTGTCATGTAAGGGTGGCAACTATTGATTTTGGTGCATGACCCAACCCCAGGGGCAGAGCCATGCACATTTTTTGTGTTCAGTGTCTGAGGGCCACAATTCTGAATGGATTTTCTTGGAACTTAGTATACTTATTCCTTATACCCCAAGGACGGCAACTATTGATTTTGGTACGTATGGTCTGTCCCCCATGGGTGGTGCCACCACACCCACTTTTTGTTGATATTTTGTCTGTAAATAATCTACAGGTTGCAATTATTAACATATTTGGATCCAATTCAGTATGATCCATCATAGGGTTGTACCTATTTATATTGGTCCATGTCCAACCCCCAGGAGCAGAGCCACGCCCAATTTCTGCATTTTGTGTCTACAGACTGGAATTCTGAATCCGAATAGATCATCTTGGAACTTGGCATATTTATTCCTTATACCGTAAGAATAGCAACTATTCATTTTGGTGCATGTCCCGACCCTGAGGGGCGGTGTCACACCCACTTTATTTTAAAAAGTGCTATAATGAATCAAAGGAGGAATGTGGACGTATATTATATTGCAGCGATAGCGATGCTCTCGTTCTTTATTCATTTAAATATTATATAGAATTCACTAACTTATTGAGTTGATTATAAATTATAAAGGTGTAGGAGATACTTTACCACCAGATAATCAACAACCTATTGTAGAAGATGAAATACGACCACCATTTAAATTGTCATCTATAAATACTGATAAATTACCCTGGGCTGAAGAACTAGAGTTAAACTGGTCACAAAATGTTGTTAGAGATGATCTCATTGCTCTCAGAGATTTCTTTCAACAAGGAATGGATTTCTCCATTATTGAAGAAATGGTAATTTTAGAATTTCGTAAATTTAAGAATAGAAGTGAGGGGACTAGGGATTCATGAAATAGTAAATATTTCTATGTTTGGAATCAACCAATTGTTCTTTTTTAGTAAAGAATGGTTGAATCAGGAATTGATTTATGCCCCAAAATATTTAAACAGAATGTTCCAAGTGATCTGTTTTTATTAGAGAGCAATGCAATAATTCAAGAAATATATTTATCATATCCTGGGAAAAACTGTGTTTTGTGAAGAATAAGATGTAAGAGAAATTATTGTATTGTACAGGTACTATGTTATCCATTAGAAGAAGAAACTGATACTGTTGCTACACCTGTTAGTGGTAAAAAGGGTAAAGATGATAAATCATCAGGTAAAGGTGATAAGAAAGCGAAGGTAAGATTAAACTTTTACTCTTTAATTTATTTCTCCAATGTCTTTATGACAATTATTTGATGGTAATTACTGGTCACTCCTATATGGAGAGAGAGAGAGATATATGGGTTAACTCCACTTGATACAAACCAGGTCATTTCTGGACTAAGATTTGGTTCAATTTTATTTCAATAATGGTCTTTAGCAATGGGAGAAACCCCTAGATTGGACAGGCGACGTTACTCATTGTCATGTACAAGTGGGACTCAAAACAAACTAAAGCACACACATTAGACCACTTCACCCCCAACCTCTGTCAATCCTACAAGGAGGGTATAATCAAATTCACAGTAATAGAAGCAATAAAATCTTAATGAATTTAATGGACCCATGCTTATTGCTTGCCATCACATATAATAATAAGTAAATGCAGGGGGGCCGCACTGCACATAAACAATTACACAAGACAGACCTACGGACAGGACACAATATATACAGACATCTCAAACTACAAACTTGTATATATACTCTTCAAAACAAAGTAGGGGATATTCAGAAACAATACAAAACTGCAAAAATGCACTGCTGTTTTTATTAGAGGTAAATGTATGTTAATAACAGGCCAGTTGCCTTCATATGAACATAAACAGTTCATATGGGCGGCTTATCTGACGGCCCCATTTCAATCGCAAAGAGATACACTGTCAAAAGTGAAAATGGACGTTTTTGATTTTTGTCTTAATAATGAGTAATCGCTCCACCAATCCTCAGACATTCAGCAATTCGTCGTGGCATGCTCCTAATCAACCGTCCAATCATGATTTAGGGCAATCTGACCCACTCCTCTTGCAGCGCCACGGCCAATTCTTGCAGTGTTGTCGGTTAAACGTAACACACTAAAGCAAAGATACGCTAAACAGTAAATCTTCTGCAAGAACCTATAGCAAATCAAACACGGATAGGTTAAACCTGCAAGTGGCAGTTTTCATCAACCCTTCCTTGAAGTGTCAAATTTGACAATGAACCCCTCCCACGTGTATGACGCTATGCAGCTCAGTGGTTCTGTTGGGGCGATAACTTCTTCATCTGTGAACATACTCTCAAAGCATGACTATTTAACATATCACAACCTGCATAGGTATTTGCATTTCAATATCCCTACTTTTTTTTGAAGAGTATATATATATCAGATAAAGTGAATGGATCAGGAGCCTGTACTTATAAAAACAAACAATCAATATAAGGGAAGCAAGTCATGTTCGGCAGGTGCTGGTGGGTGGGTTTTTGTTGCCTGTTTTTTACATTTCTAAGTAGTAGTTATTAGCACACTTTCCGAGGTGTATCGGTGAATATCAGGACAGTTTTGGTCGAGGGGCCCAGTCGAGGCGGCTCCCGACCAAAACTGTCCTGATATTCACCGATACACCGAGGAAAGGTGCTAATAAGTTACTTACATCACATTTCTATCGAGTATTGTGAAGCAAAATGTGAAAAATAGTATTTATTATCGAGTCGTTTCAACCGAAAAGTGACAAATACTTTCTGCTCTTTCATTTATCCCTTTCTGAGCCTCACGTTACATTTCATGGTAGAATGATTTTGCAGTGGAGAGACGACCTGAGTAGTATTTACACGTGCGTCTTGCTATGATACTCTGAGCATAAAACAATCACGTGTTTGTTTAGACCACATTGTCTAAACAACTTGTCTATGGCGTAGAGGACTGCGATATTATTAAATGTAGTGTAATGGAAATGCGAAACGTGGGTCATTCCTGGTGAAAGTATGCATCGGCGGATGGTTCTTCCGTTGAAATTTATTTATAATAAAGTTTATGACTTTCTAGGCGGTTTTTTTTTCATCCTGTTATTTTCAATGCCTGTAAAGTGTCCAGCAAGAGAACTGCGACCTTCTATCATCACAATTAATTAAAATAATTATTCAATATTCTAATTTATATATTTTCCATATTAATATAAATCAAACCAAATTATGAAATAGATGCCAATTGATATGTATAATAATTGATTTTTGTAGTATGTTGTTATGTTAATTTAATGTCATTGTATATGTTTTTGAACTGCCATGTAGTTCCCCCCGGTTTGTTTTGTTACTATGATTTTGACTAGTTGTTTCATGTACATTATCCTTGTGCATTGTATAGAGCCATCATTATCAATTGCGATCTGGGGCGGACTAAACTGGGTCGGACTAAACGTCCCCTACTTATTGCTTGATAGGTATCTAAAACAGTTTAAAAGTATGGTGTATCAGAAAAGAACAGTACTTTTTCTGTATATTTCTGATACACGACACTTTTATCAAAGGTTGCCACTGGCAACGAGTAGAAGTGGGATGTAATCTTAATTAACCTATAATTATTAAGTCTATATTTTATAGAAAATGATAATAAAGACAAAAAAATAACTATTTCTACTATATTTCTTTTTAGGGAGGAAAACCAGAGAAAGATGATGGAAAGAAAAAGAAAAAGAAAGAACCTGAAGTTGAATTAAAGAAGATGCCACCACAGCTTTCAACACTAGCAACCTTTCATGTTCAACTAGAAGAATTCCTTGAGGGAGAATTCTCTTTTAAATCAGTTTATACCCAGGGTCCGACAGAGCTAGCCTCTACTGTTAAAAGTATGGAGATTTCAGATAAAAAGGTAACAAATAATTTACTAAACGTTTAATGATGCTTTACTAAACGATAGAATACTTTACAAAACTTGTATTGATAGAATACTTTACTAAACTGGTAATGATGGAATACTTTACTAAACTTGTAATGATAGAATACTTACAATGATAGAATACTTTATTTAAACTTATAATGATAGAATACTTTATTAAACTTATAATGATAGAATACTTAACTAGTAAGCTTACTCAATTTTGCTGATTTTGGTGATTATGAAGTTTTTGCCTTATTTCAGTAAATATTTTATGTCTTTTGTCTTACAATTATAGTTTATACCCGATACAAACTTCAAATATCTGTTTTCTAAGATAAATGCATTTGTCACATACCAGTTTAAAGGTCTTTGCATACAGAATTTACATTGATGCATAGTTGTGTTTTTGCTTTTAACCCATATGTGTCACATTTAGTTGGAGTGGGTCACATCGGTGGTCACATATGTCAAGTAAATTCAACATAAGGGGTAGTCTATCTGTGTCTCTCTCAAACTTTAAGTTTGAATATATATATATAGATATTTAATGTGTCTTTTGACTGATTTTAGGATGGTAAATCTAAAGATGTAAAACATAAGAAGAAACCAGCTTCAGCAAAAGTTAAAGGAAAAGATAAAGGTATGTACAATAATTTGATTTCAAATTTAAAGCAATTCTAATCTTGTAAATTCATATAGATGAATGATGTTTTAATTAAAGATACATTATGGGAGAATTTTATAGAGAGTTGGCCATTCTTGCTATAACAGTTCAAAAGTAGATGATGAAAGAAGAATATATTGAAAAATTCAGTCAAATTACTTTATTCTGAACATAGTTATCATCGTTGTAATATTTGCCTAGAAATGGTAGCAAATTGTGTCTTCACCTTTGCTGATCGTTTGATTGACAGGCGTTATAACTCCACCTACATATCTCGATTATCAAGTAAAGTTTTCAATGGCATACCGAAACGCTTTACAGCGGCCTCGCTAAGTACACTCTATCATTTAGCCTCGATCTAACTGACGTATTTTCATCAGGTTACCCCTTATTTGATTTAATCAATTAGTGAAATCCTATTTAAATCTGAGCTGTAGCCGAGCCATCCGTGGGTCTACAGAGTTGATTTTGGTCTTGTTGTTTAAATAAAGATCTAATTTATAATTTCTATAACATCTGAAGCCTAAATTAAGACTTGCAATAATCAGATTTAGCTCTTGCATAATGCATGTTTAAGCAATTTAATGCCAAGTAAACTAACTTAAAATTTGTGTTTAAATTTTTGATTACAGATGTAAGAAAAGCCAGTGCAAATAAAAGTGGGAAAGATGCTGGAGATAAGAAAGGAAAGGGAAAGTCTACAGCACCACCTGTTGATGAGGAAGAAGAAGCACTCCCCCAACCTCCTCTAGAAGTTGAAATCAGTGTAAATTTACATCATTGGAAGACAGCAATGGATTCATTGAAAGATGAAGAAGAGAAGAAAGCACAGTAATTTAATTATTTAATGTCAAACTATTCATGATCAAATGCTACATCTTTTTTTTTCTTTGTATATTTCATTTGTCAAAATCTCTTTTAATGGTTGAAATATCGTTTAGGATTTTAATATTTATTATTTTGTCAAAACTAAAGCACAGTTATTTACAATTTATAAAGATTTATTTATGAATACATGTGTGATAAACATGTTTATTTTTATGTACAGGTTGCCATGGTTATTTATGGCTATTGTATAAAGTGTGATATTTATTATAAGATAATGTGATATAAACTGTGATAAACTATACTGTATAAATTTATAATGAAATAAAGTATAGTAATCTTTTAAATAGAATGTTACTTTTCTTCAAATTTGATGTGAAACATTGGGTTCATGAAAGGACAAACACTATAAATATTCAGCATTCTGTGACCGTCCATTCTCGAATTATCCCCCTTTTCCAAAAACTTTGGGGGTGCTTGATTCACAGTCCAGAACGTCATGCATTCCCGAATTATCCCCCTTTTCCAAAAACTTTGAGGGTGCTTGATTCACAGTCCAGAACGTCATGCATTGACAGAATTGCAATCGAGTGACACAGAATTCCGTTCTGACAGTCCCGACTACGAAGGTGGTGTGAGTAGAATCGTGACGTAATTAAACACAACAAATATGTTTTGCCTGCGTGGTTGGTTGATATACTTATACAGTCGACTCATGTGTTGCAGCCCGAAATACCCCTTTTCACACTCGATTGTAACTATTTTTGGGATTGAGAGAATTAAATTCCGGAACGTTCAATCAAGTACTCCCCCCCCCCCCCCCCTTGTAAACATGATAAAGGCTACAGTTTTTAAAAGAATTTTTCAAGTTTTGTGAACAGAGATCAGATTTCTTGAAATCAAATTTGGTCAACATTCAAGTTTTCCTTTGGATAAGCATGGTTATCGGGAAACAAACATTCAGATTTTAGTCTCTAAAAAAAAAAAATCTGATAAAATTGTTTTAAATTAAAAGGAGTACTTCCACACATTGCATGGCTATCAGTTAACAGGAAACATCAAAGATTCAGATTTTAGTCTAAAAAAAATAAATCTGCTAAAATTGTTTTAAAGTAGCTAAGTCTCTAACTCAATATCATCCAAAATCTTCGACATTGAAAACACGATTTATTTGTCGGTTTAAATCAACATTGATGCTGTGATCTTACCGGGAAAAGATGGCCTTAAATTCTGATATCCAATATTTAAGACAAAATAAACATTTTACTATTGGTACACGAATCGTGTACCATAATGCGTTTCAGTACTATATGTAATAAGGGACTCGAAAAACGAGACTAGGCATATTCCACAAGTCATGTCAAACGTTGACGCTATATTCTTATCTGGAGAGCATGCCCAATAAATACTATTGGCGTAGACTGGAATAACCAGACGCTAGAGATTGAAATTCGATTGAGAATACTGGCGTATTTCGCCGAACCTAACTGATTAGAAATTACAGTAAAAACAGAAACGATTGAATGTAAATCATTTGTGTCAATTTCTAGGTCCCAAATATTAGCGACTTAGCTCCTTTAAATTAAAGGAGTACTTTCCATTTGAGGCTACAGTTCTTAACTTTGTTTTTTTTTATCTCTAAAGTGGATACTTGCTAGACAACTCTATACTTGAATCCTCAATCCCAGGAATAATGACAATTGAATGATAAAGGTGATGGCTGCACCAAATAAATAAGTAAGTGTTTCAACTGACCATGATAGCTGAAACATTGGCCTTGTTTAATTATGTCACAATTCTACTGACACCATGCATCTTATAATAGGTAGGCCTATTATAAGATCCATGCTCACACTTATCAGGATTGACTGTTCTGCAATATGATTCCAAGTCTATCAACATGGAATGTTCCATAATCTTTAAGTGGAATTTAGTGATTGAAGAATGCATTAAAACAGAACACAATTTTTATGGGATATCAATCCCTGGTTTACAAGACAATGTCAAATTTCGTTTGAGGGTTCACAAGCTCCTATAAACTGAGACTACTCAGACTACTGCCTTAACTCTTCCAGATCCTAGTGTAGTAAAGACAAGTAAAACAAAATTTTGAACTATAAAAAACTAAACGAAATAGGATCTGTGTTTAAATCAGATTGGAAATTCGACAGGCGTATTCGTTTGACTAATTTAAATAATGCATATAAATTTCTTACAGATCCGGTGATAACTTTTGTCGATCAAGCTTTCATATAAGGTTAAACAATGGCCATAACTCAAGCAGTAATTGACGAAAATTGCTGAAATTCAATAGGCTTCTTCATTTCACAAAATTAAATAATGCATATAAATTTCATACAGATCGGATGATAACTCTTGTCGTTCAAGCATTCATAAGGTTCAACAAAGTGATTAACGGAAATTGTTGAAATTCAATGGGCTTCTTCGTTTCACTAATTTATATGATGCATATAAATTTCATACTGATTGGGTTATAACTGTTGTTTTTCAAGAGAGAGATGGGTTTACCGTCCACTCAAAACAAACTAGGTCATTTTTGGACTAACACATGGTTCAATTTCATTTCAATAATTCACATGCGCGGAGGGGTCTTTAGCAATGGGAGGACCCAGAGAAAATATTCGAGGTTGGACAGGTGACCATACTCGTCGGGTACAACCAGGGAATCGAAACCACGTCAGTTGTCTCAATGACAGACCTACTGATACCAAGCACAAGCGCTAACCATTCAGCCACACAAGGTGAAAAAATAAATAAAATAATTTCTATTATCAATACATTTTTATTTTTTTTAAAACTAGACATTAACAATTAAAACAAATTTCTATTACTATTCGTATATTTTTCCCTCAAGAAAAACAAATATCAATGTTTGAGACCACAAATTATTTAGCCCATAAAAATATTTTTACTATTTATTAACAGTTCCAAATTAATTTTTGAGACCTCAAATTACATTTTTATTTTATCCCATAAAAATATTCTTACTATTAATTATTAACATTCCACATTTAATTTTTGAGACCTCAAATTACATTTTTATTTTATCCCACAAAAATAATTTTACTATTTATTAACAGGTCCAAATTTTATTCTTTGCAGTACAATTCTTGTTTGTATGCTTTCACAATGCCTCTGTTAATTAACTAAACTGGATAATGAAATAAATATTTGTATCAGATAACATGAGACAATTCAACATAATTTATTTTAAAACTGACATATTTCGTTGACCAAATTAGCTTGCCAGAATTACGGTTATTTGCTTTTGTTTTTAAATATATGTACACAATGTGACAGTCAATGAAATTTTCTTCTATTAAAGTCATTACAGGATTGTATAAAATCATAGGGAAATAATTTAAAATGCAGCAAAGACTGATCTGGTTTTTAAAAAAAAATGGGACAATACAGTTGGATTGAAGTAGTGAAGCAACTGTCATTTGTTCACTAGTATATTTATTCAATATCAATTACCAGTTTTACAATTATTAAATCGTAAGATAAAACAATACATTTTTAGACCAGCTATAAAAAGAATAAATATTTAAAAATAATATAAACTCTAGCTATGTAAATAAACTTATTCTCATATACAATTATATATACAATTATGTGTGGATGTATGATATAAATATATTGATAATTATATATATCCTTCCATGCGTAATTAATGATACAATACTGATAACAGGACATAACACAATTGCAAAGGTACATTTTATTAATTGCTAAAAATGGTTTGAATGGATTGACATAACACTGCAACTGGATATTAGAATTAATTTTTTTGTCAAATGTTCTGATTAGCTAAACAATGTGGCTGACAAAAAAGCCAATATTCTTTTAAGTCCTGAAAATGCAGTAGAAAATCCCCCAACTGTTCATAACTCATTCAACTCCTAAACAATGTAATGAATAAAGCATTTACTCAAGATAAGCACAACATGGTGTGCTGAAAAGAAAGTTTATCATTACTGAAACTATCATAGTATACCTAATTTAAATTTCAAGTAAGCAATTTATAAATTGTTGATAATCAATTTGGATTCTGCGGTCTTGAAATGTTCTATTTCACAATTTGTCAACGCGATTACCGTACCCTAATTAGTGGTCATTAAATGCACCTTAAGATATAATTTCAGGAGGTCTGAAGTGGGCATTATTTATTGAACATATTGCTTGAACAAATTTCATTTTACAAACCTATGACGAAAGTTAATATTTTATATAACAACCTAAACAAATATACTTATTATTTAATAATCATAGTACTATTACGTGTAACCCTCTTGTTATATAAATGAAAAGTAAAACTTTAATTAAAATGGATTTCATAAGATATCTATATTTTTTAATTATACATAAGTTGAACAGTTTTTACCCTTTTAATATAATAAATACAATTATTTTGATCTAATCTTTACTAATGGGTGATTACTAACTACAGTCCAATTTCTTGTTTATAGTTATAGTCTTTAAAAGGCATTTAGTTTATAGTTTAAACAAAATTAGACCTTCAAAAATACTTCAGAAATTCAAATAACCATATGCAGATGATTTATGAAATTTACTAATATTTTTTATTCTATTAAACATCATAAACAAAACACAAAATTTCTGAATGTACCATGCCATTGCTCTTTCTTTTAACTCTTCAACTTAGATTTATATAACTTAATTAGCCTAAATAAATTTTTATCCAGATCAGAAACTTTACAGCGGTCCATATCCTGCGGTCATAAGAGCATTCTCCTGCAAATAAAAATTAAATTTTTGTTAAAAACAAAGAATGTAGGAGAACATCTTCTATTTGTTTTAGATGACACAAATTGATTTAACTTTTATTAAAATCTTCAACTCACCACTAGATCATAGAAAGTTTTAGTAACAACCATATCAAAGAATCCTTGTTCTTTCTGATATGCAGCACTCTTAGTTCCTTGTTTTCTGAATTTAGGTACCAGAGAATCGAGGACAAAATCAGAATATTTTTTTCCTCCTTGTTTATTTCTCATAGCTCTATAGTCATTGATATTACCCACTGCTTCTAGTAGATTCTCATAGTCCTGTAATACAACATTTTTAAACATTCTTTATAGTCTCAAAAAAATACCATAAATTTAAATTTGAAAGAAATGCATATATGATATTTTAAACAATTTTATTTTGAATAAGCAAAATTTCAACCTTCTGGACTGTGCTGGTGATATAGATGTAAGCTTAATGTACATAATTCTATTGATTCAATCAAATTAACAGTTCTTTCATAATACATTTTTGAATTGCTGTATAATGCTGTATACAAATCACAATTTACCTTAAATTCTGGAATTTCATGAAAGTCATAATGAGCATCCCATAATGTAACTACCAAGCTGGCTGTACCCTGATATTAAATATAACATTCATTAATCACAGATTTCATATACAAAGCAAAGTTATACATTACTGGTGCCAAATTAACGTAATTCCATGTACTATGTGATCAAATTATACATTAATTGGTGTCAAATTAACGTAATTTCATGTACTACATGATGAAATTATACATTCATTGCAATCTAATTAAAATACAGATCTATATCTCGTTTCGTTTTTTATACTTTCGATGGCCTCTACTACATGAAGATCTGACGAAATGTGGTGGGAGGTCGCATCAGAGGTCATACGAGCGGCTTTTGACCCTATGACCTCAGGCATTTGGTTAACCAGTGTTGATGTTTCTAGTAGGATACCAACAGTTCCGTGAATCACACACTAATCCTTCACATCAAACAGAACGCAGGTCACATAACAACTCTTTCAAATCCTAGTGTAGTCTAGACAAATAAAACAAACTTGAACTATAAAAACCAAACGAAATAGGATGTGTGTTTTAATCAGATTGACATTCACTGGAGCCAAATTAACATAATTTTATGTACTACGGGATCAAATTATACATTAATTGGTGCCAAATTAACATAATTTCATGAACTACATGATCAATTATACATTAATTAGTGACAAATAATATGAAAATTCACTTACATATGTTTCTTTTGGTATAGTTTTTGAACGTAGCACTAAATTGAGACTGTTCTTTGTTATATCATTTAATATTTCTTCAGAAGGGTTGCCTTTAAATATTGGAACATAATGAGTTCCAGATAAAACTGAATTTCTATAAAGAGAAGACAAATAAAAATATATAGTTTTTACATGATATTCACTCACTATATCTAGTTCAAAAGCTTATTACACAATCAAGAATATGGATAAAGATGGGGGGGGGGGGTGTTGAGCACTGAAGGTATGAAAGCAAGGGGCGCTATAGCATAGCAATGTGAGAGCTTTATCTATGGACGAGGATTTGGGCTGGCTCTCTAATTCTTATAAGTTTTAATTTGATTTTGTGCCGTAGATTAGAATGCTATAGACTGTGTAGCATAACAGACAAAAATTTGAACATATTAAATATTTTGAACAAAAATTCCATTTTTAAACAGTTTCCACATATAAGCATAATCACTGATGAGAACTTCCCCCTGGAATGTGTGAAATATTATAGAAATAATATTAATTCTACTAACCCATCGAACAGTGGTACAACAGACCAGCCTATTATATCTTTCATACCTAATTCTAGTTGTTCACCTTTAACACCAGTTAAAGTACCAGGTTTAGAATGATCAGCTAGAGGTTTATATTTTAACTTTAAACCAAATATTTGTATAATCAAACAACTGTATGGATCATAGAATGGATGGATTCCCTGTAAATACATAACACAATGTTATATAACCACAGCTAAGTAGGGATCAAGGCCATAGGACAAAAAGCTACCTTGGTTCTCTCCACCCTACAAGTGATCTGTTTATTTTTTTTTGGTGTGAAATCCTCCATGGACAAAGGCTTTCAACAATATCATATGATATAGTTATATGATATAAATTTTAAAATCAATTAATAAGAGAAAAACAAGGCACACTGGAAGTCTTGAACCGTGAGCAACTTGATGGTGATACCTTGGTGGGCCTGGCAGTGATAATTAAACTACTTACTAAAAACATAGTTAGTATACTTGCCTCTGGTTGACTGGTCCATACAGGGGATGTAAGATAACTATCATTATCATGTTTTAATGTAATAAACTTAGCTTCTTTACCAAAACCTTCCGCAGTAGGTTCCATTCCTAATACTTTACGTCCTGGTGCTATTCTTGCAAAACATTGTACATAATAATCACCTAAAATATACAAAATATGGTTGAACAAAACAATGTACATAATAATCACCTAAAATAAACAATATATTGTTTAAACAAAGCAACGTACATAATAATCACCTAAACAGACAAAGTATGGTTAATCACAACCAATAAAATATGCACACTGGTACATCTCAGATTACAGAAGTTTAAAGATGATAAAACATGTTATTTTTGTAAATGGTTTAGTTAACATAGGAGGTGCTAACCTATTACTTTATTTTTGAATTGTGTTGTACCATATGTCTGTCCTTAAATTGTTGTGCAGCTAAATGCATTGTTTAAGAGAGTTATACCTCTATAATATCTACGCTTAGTTTAGTCTACATTTGACTTTTGTAGAATATATACCATAAATTTGTGACTTGTTTTGTGAATTGACTTACCTGTTAGACCAAAAGCTTGGTTTATTTTGATGTTTAAACCTTGTTTCACACGATACTTAACACATCTAGTTAAACTAATAGAACCAGCTGATTCATTGGTACCAGATTGTTTTTTCACATCCAACCTTTCTATTAACCAGTTAGTTAAAGTACTGTCGGACTGACCTGTAGATAAATCATATAAAATATTTAAATCATCCACAACTTCGGAAGAGAAGACTAGGATTATGTCCCCTGCATCAGTACTTAATGTAGGGTGTTAAATTATCGTAATCATGGAATCCAAACAAGTCATTACCTTTACTGTTGCTAATCCTTTCAAGTTTTAGATTAGTCAGGTCATTCAAGTGATGACTGTCGTCAGGACTGGCTGAATCATTTTGATCACTACTTTTTGGCACTAAATGTAAATTTTGTTTTGATTTTTGACCTGAAGTAGGACTTATGTCCATTACCTATTAAATAACATTCATTCCACGAACTTATTAGTGGTTTTTTTTTTTACCCTTGTTCATTATATGTGCCGAGTTGTCTTACTTTTTGCGCTATGGCAAGATAACTGCTATATAGTTAATTTTAACTTTAATATACCTGTTTTGACTTTTTCTGCATCTTGTAAACGCTTAATCATAGCTCTTTCTGTTTGTGGATAAGCCAGATTAATGCCATAACTAATGAAGATTTTTTTCTCTGATTCATTAGGACGGCAAGGTTCTGATTGGTAGTAACCAGTTGTATATTTAGGTATTGGTACAGGCTTCTGTAAAAATAAATATAACTAGATATGACCAGAGATTAGATTTAATATATTGTTAAATCTTACCCATGTCATTAATGAGACTGTGTGTGAAATGGATTAACTTAACCATCAGTTTCTACTAAGATAATATTGCAGAATGCAAAATGGATGAGTGATTAAAGATACATTATGGGAGATTAGATAAAGAGCTGGCAGTTCTCACTATAATAGTTAAAAACTAAATAATGTAAAGGAAATTTGCTGAAAATTTCAGTCCAATTGATCCACTCTGAACTTAAGACTTGAGCGATTGAATTTTTGGCCTAGCCTTGATCATCATTACTAAAGTCGGTACGATAAAAACATAGTCTCGATTATCCATTTCATGATTAAATTATGAATGGAAGTCGAACAGAAAAACGGAACCTAAACCAATAAAACATTGTAGGCTAGTGATGACATCAAGAGTTGATTATGGTCTGGATAAGTTAATCATGTCTAATTAATAATTTAGATAACATTTCAGGCCTAAAGAAAGACCTACAATAGGCAGATTTAGCTCTTGCATAATGTATGTTTAATATTTAAATATAAAAAAATAAAGATAGGTTGTCAGGCAAACAAATATATGCCTACAGCAGCTAAATTGTCCTAGCAGTCAACAAGGGTTGTCACATATTTATGCTTTAGTAGGTAATAGGAGCATTTACAAGTTCAACAAAGTAAACATAGGGTCATAACTGTAGAAGTTTTTAACAGAAATTACTTAAATTCAATAGGATTCTTTATTTTATTAATCTCAATAATGCATTTAAATTTAATACAGATCGGGCAATAACTTTTGTCATTAGAGCATTCACAAGGAGTTCAACAAAGTGAAACAAGTGCCATAACTCTAGAAGTAACTAATGGAAATAGCTAAAATTCAATAGGCTTCTTTGTTTTACTAATCTAAATAATGCATATAAATTTTATACAGATCGGATGATAACTTTATTCATTAGAGTGTTCACAGGGTTCAACAAAGTGAAACAAGGGCCATAACTCTAGATGTAATTAACAGAAATTGTTGAAATTCAATAGGATTATTTATTTTACTTATCTAAATAATGAATGTAAATTTAATACAAATCCGATGATAACTGAAGTCTTTACAGTATTTATAGGGTTCAACAGGACCATAACTCTAGAGAGAGAGAGAGAGAGAGAGGGGGAGAGAGAGAGAGAGAGAGAGAGAGAGAGAGATATGGGTTTTAAGGTCCACTTGACACAAACTAGGTCATTTCGGGATTAACATATGGTTCAATTTTATTTCAATAATTTGCTTGCGCGTAGGGGTCTTTAGCAGTGGGGGGGAAACTGGAGGACCCGGAGAAAACACTGTCAAAAGTGAAAATGGACGTTTTTGATTTTTGTCTTAATAATGAGTAATTGCTCCACCAATCCTCAGACATTCAGCAATTCTTTGTGGCATGCTCCTAATCAACCGTCCAATCATGATTTGGGGCAATCTCCCAATCAAATTAAACGTAACACACTAAAGCAAAGATACACTAAACAGTAAATCTTATGCAAGAACCGATAGGAAAGCAAACATGGATAGATAAACCAGTACGCAGCAGTTTTTATCAACCCTTCCTTGAAGTGTCAAATTTGACAATGAACCCCTCCAACATGTATGGCACTATTGCGTGTCGCATGTGCAGCTCAGTGATTCTGTTGGGGAGATAAGTTCTTCATCTGTGAACATACTCTCAAAGCATGTCAAGTGTCCATGACTATTTATCATATCACAACCTGTATAGGTATTTGCATTTCAATATCCCCTACTTTTTTTGAAGAGTTTATTACCACTCGAGTGCGTGATGCTGTGCTGATGGGGTCAAAGTTGACATACGGGTCACTGGTACCATAGATACAGCATGGCTTGTGATAGGAATTAACTGATGTTGAATAATCAAACTTATTTTGTACTTAAAAATCCAAAAGTATGCTTTCAAATATTGATTTCATAACCAATCTTATGAAGTATTAGTGAAGTTTTTTTTTTTTTAAAAATCAACATGATTCCAATTCAACTGGTCTATACTGCGCAAGATGGAGAAATGAAACATCAAGAATGAATGAATGAATGAATGAATGGAATTTGTACTGATTGTTAACTTAAAAGCTGTCATACTAATAATTTAAAAATATATTATCAAGTCTTATTTTGGTGCAACAAATATTTTGATAGAAAATTGTTATCAGTTAACTGGTTACGGTTGGGGTTTTAACAACCAGTTAACCGGTTCAAGAATTTTTTAACCGTTACATCCTTAATATTTAAACGTTTTTTAAAATCAAATAAAAATTTTGACATCTAGAGAATCCACAGGCTAAAAAGACAAGGGTTTTTCGTACAATCAGGGGCCATAAACCAGGAAGTTATGGTTTGATATGCGCGAATATCGAAAGGAACCAAGATCTTTGGGTTATAAACATACATCTAAAGTTTCATCAAAATCGGATAAAAATTGTGACTTCTAGAGGGTCTAGAACCTTGGTATAACATATCTTTACACTATTTGCGTACAAGCAGTGGCCATTTTGTCAGGCAATTTCAGTCCGATTTTCATGAAATTCGAATTCAACCGTCATAAGGGTGCAACATATAAACATTTTTTACAATCGGATAAAAGTTGTGACCTCTAGAGGGTCCACAAGCTAAAAATGTGATTTTTTGTACAATCAGGGGCCATAATCAAGGAAGTTACAGTCCAATATCGAAAGGAACCAAGATCTTTGGATTATAATCATACTTTTTAAGTTTCATCAATCAGGGGCCATAATCGAGGAAGTTGTTGTCTGAAATGTGCAAATATCAAAATGGACTGAGATATATGGAATATAAAGATATATTTCAAATTTCATCATAATTGGATAAAATTGTGACTTCTAGAGTGTCCACAACCTTGGTATAACATGTACATACTTTTAAATTATTTGTGTACGAAGAGTGGCTATTGTCCACATAGGCGTACGGGATCGATGACAATTAGGGGGGCAGAACCCGAAATGCCCGAAAAAAAAATTGCGTTTACAGAGAGCGCCCCCCCCCCCCAAGTGTCCAATGGTTTTTAAACCAAATAACCCCTCTGAATTCCACCCATCCAATCAGACTGTTGCAGCTGCATTCACAAATAATAATCGATACCCGAAAAATGACGCACAAGGTAGAGTGGCTCCAGACAAAATGTTTCAATCCATAGTCATCTCAGTACAAAATCGTGGTATTCAATTAAAAGAAAAGTAAAATTATTAGCGCTCGATGACAATTTCGGGGGGCAGAACCTGAAATGCCTGAAAAAATTCCGGGTTTACCGACACCGACGCCGGTCTTCTTCGAGAGGTGAAGCAGCGGAGCTGACCTTATATGGACCACCAAGAAAATTTTGGAATATTTGACGGACGCAACCACGTTTTCCTGCTATTCCAGCATGTAAAATTAGTGTTTTATTAGTTTTCGGGCACTTTATTTTGCCATGTAGATGAAATAATTTTTTTTTATCACTTTACCCGTCTGCCCGAAAAGTCAGATTGCCCGAAAGTTAGGGAGGCAGCTGCCCCCCCTGCCCCCTGGCTCGTACGCCTATGATTGTCCAGCAGTTTGGGTCAGATTTTTACGAAATTCAAACTCTACCTTCATTGATGTGTAACGGTGATATATTTAAATGTTTCTTAAAATTGAATACAAATGGTGACTTCTAGCGGGTGCACAAGCTAAACATACGATTTTTCGAAAAATCAGGGGCCATAATTCAGGCAGTTACGTTCGGATATGCGCAATTATCGAAAGGAACCAAGATCTTTGTGATATAATTAAAAACATAAATTTAAAGTTTCATAATAATAAAATAAAACCAAGTACGAACAAACAGTGGTAACAGGTGTCGGATCAAAATTGTGGCCTTTAGAGTGTCCACAACCTTGATAAACCATATATTTACACCATTTTTTCTACAAGGGGCAGCTATTTTGTCCGTCAGTTCTGATCTGATTTTCATGAAATTCGATCTCACCCATTATCAGGTTGCAATATTTTTTTAAATCGGATAAAAATGTAACCTCCAGAGGGACCACAAGCTAAAAGCACGATTTTTCGATCAAGGGTCATAATTCAGGAAGTTAAGATCCAATATCGAAAGGAACCAAGATCTTTGGGTTACAAGGGCGTGGATTTGTCATAACTTTTTTCGGGGGGGGGGGGGGGGGGGGGGGGCAGACGAACACTAGAACCTGGAACATTTCATTACCAAACGAAATAAATAATTACGAACAGTTTACTTTACCAGTGTTATTTCAGTGACGGCTGTAACTAGGGGTTATATGATGACAATATGGAAAAATTGACTGCCTACATCAAAGCTGCACAAATATTAATTGTTCATGAAATTAGGTGAATCGTCCAAAGACTGTTCGCTTTGAATACCTTGGCGACATGAAGGGGTCATTATGTACCGCACAATGTACATGCCATCAAGTGGTTTAGTCGGTTTTGCGTCATGGAGTTTTGATACGGCGCAGAGTGCGGAAGGATCGTTCGGCTGAGCAGGAACTAGCAGGGTTCAGCAGTGTGAGATGAGAAGAGCTTCGACAGAAGGAACATCTGCCTCACTTGGGTTATAAACATGCATTTCAAGTTTCATCAAAATCAGATGAAAACGTGATTTTTTGTACAATCAGGAGCCATAATCCTTGAAGTTAGGGTCCGATACATGCCAATTTCGAAAGTAACAGAGATCTTTGGGATATAAACCTATATTTCAAGTTTCGTCAAAAATGGATAAAAATTGTGACCTGCAGACTGTCCACAGACAAACTGTGAACAGACATCCAGATAATAATATACGTCCAGATGAAAATGTAGCTGTATAAAAATAATATAGACAAAGATCTCAGAATTCTGCAATATGATGAATTGAGGTCAAAGTTATTGTAAAAAGGTTATCTATTTAAAGATGCATTATGTATGAAGTAAATCTGCCTATTCCAGGTATTTTTTCTGGTTTCAAATGCTATATAATTTATTAGTTTTACATTTATTCACATGACAGGCCCATATATATTACCCCCAACAACTAATTTCAAAGTAATTCCTGTTCATTACATGCTATTAGATTGTTTGAATGAACTCAAAATATCTAAAACTGGAACAATATGTACTTACATTAGTGTGTGGCAATAATCTGAGCAGTATTGAAGCACTGGGTATTGGTGTATTCTCGTCTAAATCTGTAGGTTTCAAATTCTCTCTTTGTTTAGGTAAACCAACCCGTAATCTAAACTGATGTCCACCAATTAATAATTTACCATTCTTGAACAGAAATGTAAGTTGTTTGTTAAATTATGCAAATAAACATTTTGAGAGTACTGCTGAATTGACACATGTTCCCTAGCTACCCTGACAAATTTTACAATACATGCATTAAGAGACAGATACGGTAGTGTGGATACATTCTATATGAATATAATTATAATATGTACTGATGGCATATTGTATAAAACTGAATTTTCACTGAATTGGTTGGTAAATATACTATATACAGCAGTGTGCAAAACAAATCCATCAAAAGTTTAACCTGACCTTCAAAGAGAATTTTTTGGTGCACTTAATTTAACGATTGTGCATCAATATCGACCATTAATTTATGATTTATCCACAAAAACCAGAAAAGATAGGTTGCCAGGCAACAGAAAATACGCCCACAGCAGTTAAGTCAACAAGGGTTGCCGCATATTTTTTCTTTAGTCGGTAATGAAGCATTTACAATATTACTAAAATCTGATTAAGAGTTTACATTAATTACAACTCATTAAGTAATTATCAGAAGATCATTAGAATTTGTTTTGCTTCTAGTTCGGCCCCATGTTTACGTTTAGTATACAAAACATTTAATATCATGGATTTAGCTGTTCAAGTTATCAAAATTCATTGAAAATCAATATACTTGTTCGTCTCAAGACCTTAAATTCGAATGATAACTTTGGCCTGTAAAGCATACACAAGATTTTTTCAAAGTGATCAAGGGCAATAACTCTGGCAGTAATTATCGAAAATCCTCGAAAATCAATAGGCTTTTTTATCTCATGACCTGAAATATCTTACATAAATTTAATATCAATCGGATATTAACTTTAGCCTCTTCTGGACGCCTGACTAACAGACAGACGGACGGACGGACAGGGGCGAAGACAATATTCGACCACATTTCAATGTGAGAAACTTCTGATCATTTAGTTCTTCATCCCTGAAAAAGTGGGTATTTTTACTGACGAAACCTTGAATAAAACGATGTTTTCTTTGATATTGTATTCTATTAATTATTGTATAATACATTTCAATGTGGGCATATAATAACACAACATTGTAACATGTTAAGATAACCATAACAGCAAGTAGGGTTATCAGATATGTATGAGGTATCATGTCCGTTTAAAGCATTGCAGGAGAGTCAAAGGCAAGAATGGTTAATATGATTTTTCCTTCTGCCAGATTAGGAAGTTTGAGGTACAGATTTATTAAAAGGATGATATAATAGGTAAGTTTCTGGTCTAATTGTAGACAACACAAAAGAAGAAGATAAAGAAGTTCTGCAGAAATATGCTGGAATGTTGTTCTTGTTTCGTAGGCTATAAAAATTGAAATGGTTTATGATTTTAAAAAATAAAGTTTATATATGTGTATAAGTATTATTATTAATATGAATTAATAAAAATGTGATATTTTTGTTGATATATTAAAGAGTACATGAAAATCAAAGGTAACATTATCAATACCGGTAACAAAGACAAGTAAAATTAGTAAAAACAACTGTGTCTTGTAGGTGGGTAATATATGGTAAGTAGAAAACTAAAATTGCATATTCATCAAAGACTGCATGTTGCATTGAATTTCTAACATAAAATATACACTTCTTTTATCTTTACTTACTTGATTAAATATTGGTACTATACAGTTGCCAATAACACATATTTCTTCAGTAACAATATCTACTGTATAGACACGTAATAATGCTACCATTGTTTTATCAGCTTCTTCATTGTTTTTATTAACAACTATACGGTAATCAAACTCTGGACTTCTAGGTGAACTATCTAATATTGGTATAGTCATTATATCATCTAATTTCTCTATATTACCAGTCTGTAATATTCTACCAGTTACCTTTATATAATATATATATTCTTATGTAGTTTATATCACATCATTATTATTCTACAGATATTCAGTGTTTATTGTTTGATAGATCTCTCTACAACCTTTACCAAACCTCCCCCAAATAAATTAGTAATTGTTCTTCCATTCCGCACAAATTTTTACTGATACCAAAAGTACATAAAGTTCCATCCATGTCAATTGGCATATCAATTATTGACCTAATGTAATAAAATCTTTTCAGGCAAACAAATTTTGTGACAGCCACAATCCCAAGTTCACACCAATCTTATTAAAATTAATTCAGCTATTAACATCCCAAAACGCTTTTCAATTTTTCAATTAAGACCTTAATCCGGTTGATTGGCTGGTTGTCACAGGGACTACACATAGTATATACATTATCTATATATATATCACTGTCCGTCAGGGTTGTTAATCCATACCCTTTATTATAACCAGACTTCAACAAAAATAATTCTAGGTAATTTGTTGAGGAATATCATATTCTACTGTATGTAATTACCACAAAAATAACGACAAATAGATAGGCACACCGTTCGCAAAATTTTCCATATTTAATTCATGTACTGAATAAATTACTGTATTTGTTTTTTTCGATGTATATACACTGATACGACACCATAGTATTTCTTCATAACACAACTTGTAGCTTTTTTTCTATCAAGTAACTTGAAAATGTCCATCCATGATAGACAGACACAGGGGCGTACATAACGATTTTGTTAGCCAAAATGTGACTGACTGAAGCACATAACCCTAGTATGAGTTTTCTAGGGGCCATGTGCTGGGAATAGGGGGTGGGGTGGGGCGGTTCCAAATCTAGGACACCATCCACAATCCCACCCCACAGTGAATGTCAACAAAATACTGGTAGAACATACTATGGTATTGTATAATTATATAGTTGTTCGGCAAACGTCTCGCCGGAAAGCAGTTTTATTTATGTTGACACTGAGCAACATGAGAAAATTTTGAAAAATTAAGTCAATATCCGGGCATTTGAGGTCATTGCTGGGAGAAATTCTTGTGGACGAGAGGACCAGAAATGTGAGTCAATGGGACAGAATCTCGAGATCTGCCCCTGTCAATTCCGCCTGTTTTGCAAGAATTGACATACATTTGTACAGTCTGACGCCCCACAACCCACAAACCAGTGGTACTAATAATATAACTGGGCAGATCACTACAACCCTGAATATGATAGTGCTGAGACAGTATAAGACAACAGAGGTGTGGAAGAATGATGTTATAATGGAGTCTAACGGCGCCGGTGCGAAAAAATTTCAGATATGTAAGTCCGATCTATTAATTTTTTGGGACTGGGCCTGAAAATTTTAGTCAATGTCATGGCAAATGGAACGAAATTCTCGTTAAGGAGAGGATAAGAAATGGGACAGAATCTTGAGGCATATCTGTCAATTTCGCCTGTTTTGTGAGAGTAAAAATAACAATTCAACAGTCTGTCGACCCACAACCCACTCACTAGTGGTACTACTAACTGGGTGATTTACTGTAACTGTGAATATGATAGTGATGAGATAGTATAAGAATGATGACATAATGGAATTGAGCGACGATATGTAACTGAGCTTTTTTGAGGGCACTTTATCTCAATGGGGCACTTACTTGGTCTCTGAAATTGAATATGCAACAAGTAAAAATTCTTAAGTGCAATAGATCGCCTTAAAATTTCATAATTTAAAGATTTTTTTTACGTATTTCTGAAACAAGTTATACTTCCAATAACTTCTTACCAACTGTTCGACTAATATCATTCGTATGACAATCAAGAATATATTTTGAAATATCAATATCATTTGTATGACAATCAAGAATATATTTTGAAATATCAATATCTTCGTAACAAGCTCTCTCAATTTCTTAGACCAACATACCCGTAACAGGGATTTTTTTTTCAAACATGACAAGCTGACTAGATTATCTTATACTATACCGTTGCAATTTAGGTGCATGGATTCACACAAAGTTATTCCCTTCTATTTTGGCATTGTTTCAATGTTTGTTTACCTTTAATTCATTTAGTCTGAGTTACCATATATACACAACATTTTTGCAACAAGTGGAATTATCAATAGTGCTACACAATAGCACTGGAATACATAATTTTCTTAATTTTTTGGTAAGCAAGTTAACTAATCTCTTGATTTTATTTCTACAATACCCACAAGGCTGTAATATTGCTATAAAAAAATCATATTGGATTTTTCTCCCAACACATACGTTGTTGAGGATTTACGTAATTTTATGCTGTTTTTATTTAATATGACAGTCGGTTCGATTTGAAGAGCAGTACTTCATATTAATTGCCCTTTTTCTGAAAATCATAATAATTTTGTTTACATCCTGCGTGACTGTAATAGCGGTAAACGGCTTTGTTCTAGAAAATTCTTATGACATGTGGACAATACGTGAATGATAAACAATGGACCCCTTCACGCCATTGATAAGATTCCCACATATGAATTATCCTTTATTTATTATCAACACAACACTCAGTACAATCTGTTGAACGACTATGTATACAACTCTATACTATAACACCAATCACAAGATTATGTGGCCTCTATACGTGCGCATTACACTGGCCGTACAATTTTATAGTTACATAGTGGAGGTCGATCGGAGCCATGTTTGAAAATTGAGTTTTGAAAAAAAGGCTATTTTTTCCGGCGTTCAAAATGATCAATGAGTCAGATCTAGTTACGGTCATTTGCCATAGCCCATATATGCTCTAGAGGGACCACAAGCTAAAAACGTGATTTTTCGTACAATCAAGGGCCATAATTCAATCTGATATGCGTGAATCTGAAAAGGAACCAAGATCTTTGAGTTATAAACATGTATTTCAAGTTTCATCAAAATCGGATCAAAATTATGGCCTCTAGAGGGTCAGGGCTGGCCACGAATAAATTGATGGCGAGCAGATGACTGCTCACGCAAATTTAGGTTTGGGCGAGCAAGGCGAGCAATAAAAATTGTAACATTGTTTCAATTTAAAATCATAAGAAAATTGCTATTCCTGGCACAAAGTTTGCAGTAAACATGTGTGACCATCGCTTTCTGTTTTTGACAGTCATACGTACTCTTCTTTATTAAAACCAATTTCCGTATGGATTTCTTCACCCCACGAAATAAATGTGGATAGGGCAATCAGGTTGCGCCAAAGCACTTTGGCCATTATTACGCTTAGATTGAAAATTATACGACTGCACAATGGAACAATGGAATAAAAACCGAAGTTCTGATAAAATAGGAAATACCGATAAATATTAGTTTGAAACGTGTTGATTTAGCGTCAATGCCAAATGCCGGATGTAAACGTTCTTTACTTTAGACTCGATTATCACGTGTTTGTTACTGGTGTTCGTAGGAAAACCAGTCATGACGTTCAGGTCTAAAGTGTATTTTTAGTAACACAAGTTGCGAGTAACTTTATTAGCCAATCAAATTTCAGGAGGAAATGTCGCGTGCAGCTGGGTGAATCTCAGTTTGACAGACGAATTTATGACGTTATTGACATTGTTGGGTTAGTTTCGGCAATAAACTTGTCAATATTTTGATTATTTTTACAGGGTTTTCTTAAAATTTTGCGCGAGCAACAAACCGCTCGCGTAAATGTAGATTTACGCGAGCACAGCGCGAGCGCGAGCAACTGCTCGCGTCTCGTGGCAAGCCCTGGAGGGTCCACAACCTTGATATACCATATTTTTACACTAATTGCGTACGAGAGGTAGCCATTTTGTCAAGCATCATTACAGTGTAATGGTGATATATTCAAACAGTTTTGTAAATCGGATAATAATTGTGACCTCTAGAGGCACCACAAGCTAAAAGCGCGATTTTTCGTAATATCAGGGGCTATAATTCAGGAAGTTACGATCCGATATGCGCAAATATCGAAAGGAACCAAGATCTTTTGGTTATAAACATGCATTTCAAGTTTCATCATACACAGCCAAAAACGTGATTTTTCGTACAATCAAGGGCCATAATTCATGAAGTTATGGTCTGATATGCCAATATCTCTTTTTTTGTGACTTTGAGTGAATTAATTTTAATCAGATTGGTGTGAACTTGCCATAAAGTTGATATAGTAACCATTGACTATATGTACCAAAAAGTTTTCTCGCCCATCTTATTTGCACTTTAATAACATATATATACATTTCAACATGATAAGATAATAAATGTAGACTGTAGAGTGTTCACAAGAAATTGCGGATGATGGAACGATCGATGGACAGATGGAGGCGACAACAATATACAACCACATTTCCATGTGGGTGTATTAAAAGGAAGACTATTTGATTGTTTTGGAGCTTAGTATTAAACTAAAAAACAAATTTTTACTATGCAAACCTTTATAATAGAAGCATTATCAGGAATAAATCTGACTTGATCTATATATAAATCAAACGCTTCTTTAGTTGTAGTAGGTTTCGGGTTGGATTCAGCGGCTTTAGGTTGATGTTCTACCCACGGTTGGAAATTCTCTCTTAATGCTACAGATGCTCTGGACATGACTCTCTCCGGTGTTATTGCTGGGGGTGGGGGTTTTAATATTGGTTCAGGAACGACTGGGGTTGGTTTTGGAGGTGAGGCTAGTTCTTTTGGCTTTGATTTCACTGGTTCTTGATGAGGTGCAGCAGTTTTCTGTTTTGAAGCAACTTGTTCTGGTCTGGGTGTTGGTTCTATTTTGACTGGTCTGGCTGGTTCTCTGTAACACAAGAATTGTCAATAAAAAAAATAGTAGGCAATAATGGAAATACTGCTGAAAACATTTTGAAAGCTCATCCAGTGGTGTGCCAGTTTTTAAAGCCTTTATCATCTGTCGCTTCTTATATGAATTAGCCTAAAATTGTTACAAGAATATCATTTGTTTGTCAAATCAATTTAAATCAAAGAAAAAATGAACCAGATAATGGAGAAGTTATAATAAATAGTGCCTGTTTATTTTGCTGTTGGCTTGCCAGACAGCTAAGAAATAAAGGCTGTATGGTGGAACATTTTCCAGTCAAAATTATGAGAACAATGGGTGTAAATATATATAGTATGAGACCCAAAACTAGTATTATTAGTAATCTAGTAATAGTAACATAGTAACCTAGTATTAGTAAACTAGAGTTAGTAAATCTAGTGTTAATAAATCTACTACTAGTAATCTAGTAATACTAAACTAGTATTAGTAAACTAGTAACAGTAAACTATTATTGGTAATCTAGTATAGTGATCTAGTAATAGCAATCTAGTAATATGTATTAATGATCTAGTAATAGTAAACTAGTATTAGTAGTAGTACTCTAGTAATTAGTATCAGTAAACTATTATTAGCGAACTACTATTAAGGGTCGTTTACACGATACAACCAATCCATACAACCATCGGATGCAATATATTGGACAACCGTTTACCTGATACAATGGTTTTATTCGTTGTATAGCAATATGTTCCTTCTTAGTAACTGTATAAAATTGCAGCAATAGACCTCAAAGCGACAATTCTCATCCCTGTCTTTCTTCGAGAAGTTTTGATGCTGCAGGTTCCAAAAAGTCCATGCTTCCTATTCAGAATTATTGGATATTCTAATTCAGTTAAGGATATGCGTAGATCCATTTTGGAGGACGTCAAACTACTCGAAGCGACAGAAGAAGACATCTTTAATAAATATTAGCAGGAATTCTGGTTGTCATGTCTGTGTATAACATGTAATATCCGTACCACAAGCTGCCCATCCGACCATTTGTCTGATGAGTTGGATGGTTGTATGGATTGGTTGTATTGTGTAAAGGCCAGTTTAGTAATCTAGTATTAGTAACCTTATCACCAGTATCAGTAATCTATTAATAGTAAACTAGTATTATATAAAACTAGTTTTAGTAATCTAGTATTAGTAATCTAGTATTAGTAATCTAGCAATAGTAAACTAGTAATATTAAACTAACCTGGATGTATGATAATTAGTATCAGTTGGTGGTACTGGTGTAATTAGATTATCTACTAGTGAGAATGGATATGGACTAACTGATGTTGATTGTGGTTCATCTCTCGGATCATAAACTACAGCTGACAGTTCAGAATTATATCCGATCAACACATTCACTGTAAATATAGAATAATCTTATATTATTAAATATAGGCCTGCAGTCAAAATTTCTACATGTAGCTTGCTTAGAAACACAATTCCACTACAAGTACAAGGTCCTCCCTGCCAAACAAACTATACATTTTTGGAAAGCTGATAACACCAGCTCGATTTAGGGCCTGATGAAAATCGAGATTGTCAATTAAATACTATATTTATACTAACTAACAATTGTGAAGTTGACATAAAATTAAATATTGGTGAAAACACCCAATGCCTTCATCCTTATTGATCCTTAGCCTAAGCAGAAAATTCTCACCATTGAAATTAGTTAAGATAATGATTTAATGAATCTATATTCGTAGTTTCATTAAAACCAAAGTTATCGTGCCCAAAAGCATCAACCAATCAGATTGCTTATCTCTGCTTACCATAAGCTTATCGAACTCTGTCAAGGCATTCACCTAATGAACGCCCACACCAAGTTTGAAATGGGGTTTAACGTCCTACTATTCAGCTCCTAACCTTGGCTAATGAAGACGGGCATACGCCATACAGTGTGCTATGAGGGAAATTTTGCCGGGGCAGCGGCGCTATGGCCTACTCTTATATCGAATTCCAACTGCCAAGGGATCTTTTACGTGCACGCCAATGTGTACACGGGACCTCAGTTTTTCGTCCCATCCGAACAACTAGACAGCTGTCCTTGTCAGGCCCTCCATCCTGCATCACTGACAAGGGGAAACCACGCCGGAAAATCTGGATGAACTTTCTCGGCTAATGCAGGGATCGAACACCCGACCTCCAGGCTAGCGAGCCAGCATATTACCCACTTAGCCACCTGATTCCCACCAAGTTTGAACATTCTACCTCAATTAGAAGGAGAGTTATTGTGTTCCAAAGTCTCGACCAATCAAATTCTTTATCGAGCTGCTTACCCTCAGCAGAAAATGTTCATTATCGAACTTAGTCAAGGTATAGATGTAAACAAGAGCATCACTGACGCTGAAATATACGTCCACATTCCTGCTTTGATTGATATGGTACTTTTTAAAATGAAGAGAATGAAATATGAAATGGCTGTAATATGACAAGAGGCAAAGAAGGCTAGGCGTTTGTTTTGCAAATTTTCCAGACAAAATATTAACAAAAAAGTGGATGTGACACTGCCCCAGGGGGTCAGGGCATGCACCAAAATAAATAGTTGCTGTTTTTACAGTATAAGGAATAAATATGCAAAGTTCCAAGATGATCCATTTAGAATTGCAGCCTGTAGACAAAAAACACAAAAATTGGGCATGGCTCTGCCCCTGGGGGTTGGACATGAACCATAATATATAGGTACAAGCCTATGCTGGATCATTCCAAATTGGATCTAAATCTGTTAATAATTGCAACTTGTATATCATTTACAGAGAAAATATCAACAAAGAGCAGGGGGTGGGGGTGGAGGAGGGGGTCGTGAACCAACATCAATAGTTGCCGTCCTTCGGGTACAAGGAATAAAAATACCAAATTACAAGATAATCCATTCAGAATTGTGGTCTTCGGGCACTAAAGGCAAAAATTGGGCATGGCTCTGCCCCTGGGGGTCGGGGCATTCACCAAAATCAATGAAGGAATACATATGCCTAGTACCAAGTTGATCCATTCAGAATTGCGGCCTGTAAACAATAAACACAAAAATTGGGCGTAGCTCTGCCCCTGGGGGTCGGGACATGCAGTTGTCGTCCTTAGGCTATAAGGAATACATAAGTTCAAAGACGACCCATTAAGAATCGTGGCCTGTAGGCAACACACAAAGAAAAAATGGGTGTGGATCTGTCCCTGGGGGTTTGGTAATCAACAAAAAACAATAGGGGTCATCCTTAGAGTATAAAGAATAGGTATGCAAAGTTTCAAGAGGATCTGTTAAGAATTGCGGCCTGTAGGCGAAACATAAGACACACAAACATTGGCCGTGGCTCTGTCCCAGGGGGGTCTGGAGAGAGATAGAGAGAAATGGGGTTTGACATCCACTCGACACAAACTAGGTCATTTCGGGGCTAACATATGGTTTAATTTTATTTCAATAATTCGCTTGCGCGTAGGGGTCTTTAGCAGGGGGAGGAAACCGGAGGACCTGGGAAAACCCAGGAGGTTGGACAGGCGACCCTACTCCTTGTCACGTACAACCGGGGATTCAAAACCACTCCAGTTGACTCAATGACAGGCCTTATGATACAGCACACACGTGCTAACCATTCGGCCATCTAACCCCCCAGGGGGGTCTGGCATGCCCCAAAAATAATAATAGAGGTTAGCCTTAGGGTATAAGGAATAAGTATAAAAAAGTTTTCAAGATGATCGATTAAGAATTGCGAGCTGTAAGTGACACACAGACACACAAAAAGAAAATGGGCGTGGCTCAACCCCTGGGGGTTGGGCATTCACCACAAACAATAGAGATGTTCCTAAGGATAGAAGGAATAAGTATGCAAAGTTTGAAGGTGATATGTTAAGAAATGCTGTCTGTAGATGACAAACAAATAAATACAAGAAATGGGCATGCACCAAAAACAATAGGGATCATCCTTAGGGTATAAGGAATTCATATGAAAATGTTTCAAGACGATCGATTAAGAATTGTGGCCAGTAGGCGACACACAGACACACACACAGAGACCGGGGCGACGGCAATATACATCCACATTATATGTGGACATTTAATAAAGCAATACACCAAGTGTACTCACTCTCACTTAATAAAAACTAAAGTTATCGTGTCCCAAAGCATCAACCAAACAAATTGCTTATCTCTGCTTACACTCAGCAGAAAATTCTCATCTTCGATCTCCATCAAGGCATTGATCTAATAGACACCTACGCCAAGTGTGAACATTCTAACTCAATTAGAATGAGAGTTATTGTGTTCCAAAGTCTTGACCAATCAAATCGCTTATCGCTCTGCTTACCCTGAGCAGAAAATGCTCATTATCGAACTTAGTCAAGGTATTGATGTAATGAAATTATATACCAAGTTTGAACATTCTATCTCAATAAAAAGGAGAGTTCTTGTGTTCTAAAGTCTCGGCCAATCAAATTGCTTATCGCTCTGCTTACCCTGAGCAGAAAATCCTCATTATTGAACTTAGTAAAGGTATTGATTTAATAAAAATATACACCAAGTTTTCATCACTCTCACTTAATTAGAACTAAAGTTATCGTGTCCCAAAGCATCAACCAATCAAATTGTTTATCTCTGCTTACCCCCAGCAGAAAATGCTCATCTTCAAACTATATCAAGGCATTGTCCTTATAACTGCCTACACCAAGTTTGAACATTCTAGCTTAATTAGAAAGAGAGTTATTGTGTCCCAAAATGTGTGACGGATGGACAGACGGACTAACCCATTTTAATAGTCCCCTGCTTTCTTCAAAAGACGGGAGACAAAAATGAGTTATCTCCCTTTCTGTCAAATGTCTACTAATAATAACAGTATTTCAGGTGTGTAGTGACTGCTGATGCTGTATGACGCACAAGACCATGTGTGAGCACACAAGCCCAATATTTATATCGTCCCAGAGGCCTGTGAGGGCTGGTGTTTACCCTGGAATTATGGGCTGGGTGGCTAGAGTCTGATGAGCCAGGAGATATACATGTATGTTTGACATTGTTTGAGAAATATGGTTATAAAGTAATGGAAACCAGGATCTGTCAGAAGTATTGTTAATCGCATTGAAACCATGTTATCTTTTCCACACCCCACATACCCTTTCAAGTATTTTTACTACGGATAGGTAAGCCTCTTGTTCAGATATTATTTAAGGCCAAATTACAAACATATTTCAGATATAACTGTGTCTATAATTGTGTAATTTTCTTACAAATATAGATATAACTATAAGGCTAAAAATAATTATTTATTGAAGTAAAACAATCATTGAAAATCAAAATTAGTCATCAAAGTTAGCCATCATCATCACCGCTGTCACTACATGTATAAACATCAAATTCGGTCTTTTTAACAGTTTTTTTGTTTCATTTTCACATTGACTTCAGTGCAGTTTCCCCATGTCATCTTACAGGATGGGAGGGGGCTGGAAAGAACAGTGCCCAGTCTTTCAGATAAAACAGGGAAAACAATAGTTTAAACAATATTTGATTCAAAAAACTGAATTGGATTGAATAACAGGTAAGGGGTTATATAAGTTCTCTCAAAATAGCACTTCTACTAGTATATCAGTAAACCTTTAAAGTTCAGATAAGATTTGATGCTAAATGTCCTGTCATATTTTCATTTTTTATCATAGCTTGATAATGACTAGAGAAGCCTAGTCGAAATGTCACTCAGTAATAAGCAGTAATTGTATTCCATAGAATTGTGACCTGTATGTTCAGTATCAACCGGGATAATGAAGCTGTACATTATGCTATAGGGGTAATCTGGTCCAAACAGCGATTTTACGGTCTACTCTTTATTTTGAATTTGAGCTGTCAAGAGCTCTCTTATGTGAATGCCAACGTAAACACGTGACCTCAGTTTGACATCCGATCTGAATAACTAGACGCTGCCCATGACGGTTCCCCCTCCCCTGCCGTCCTCAACCACTGACAAGTTGGGGGAACTTTTAGGCCAACATGGGGATCAAACCCCGGACCTCCTGATTAATAAGCCAGCGCTTTACTTATTGATCTCTGGTCTGCACCATTGACAAGGGGAAACCACACCGGATCATGATCAAACCCTGGACATCCCGGTGAGCCAGTCCCTTACTGAGTCACCGATACCCCCTTGCACTGATGTCTCTTGCATGCAAAACAGGAATACAATCTGTACATGTACAATGCAAAATTGTGACCTCTAGAGTGTCCACAAGCTAAAAACGTGATTTTTCATACAATCAGGGGACATAATCCATGAAGTTATGGTCCGATACATGCCAATATCGAAAGGAACCAATATCTTTGGGAGATAGACCTATATTTCAAGTTTCGTCAGAATCGGATAAAATTTGTGACCTGTAGAGTGTCCACAAACAAATGAAAATGTGGACTTATAAATATGTATAGTTTGTTTAGCAGGAAGGACCTTGTAGAGGATCAATAATATTGTTAGAATGTTGTTGGATGTTCCTATATTTTTCATAATTTATTTAATGACATTCTTTGTCATCTGTTTCAAGTCTGGTTCTAACCACTACAGGGTTGACATTTAAAGTAGTGGTGTGCAAAGTCATTCATTTGGTACACAACATCCTAATGTTCAAGCAAAAGAGTCCTTGATAGTTAAAATTCAAAGAAGAATAGGAGGAAACACTGCTATCCATAACGATATTTCAGTCACAAAGTGATTGAGGTAAAATGTTGACAAGGTATTAAACCAAATTCTACTTCATCCCACTTCTCATCACTTGTTGTTGTGATACAAGTTGTACTTATGTAGGTATTTTTTGTACCACTTACCCTCTTCTTTTTCTGAAGGTAGAGTTGGGGTCACTGAGTGAGATGACTCAAAACTTTCTGGCACTGAACCTGGATGTAAGCTGAAGGTCGTGTCCGCAAGTATTAAAGACCAAGAAGAATCAATGGATACTCTTCCACCTCGAGTACCACGTTTAAATAACGATACTCTAGCCCAGCCTACTGATACAGGAGCTTTTCCTACAATAATAATTACTTAACTAAATTCATATCCAAATGCAAACAATTGATTTAGTTAAGGCTACACAAAATAAATGTCTTGTTTCTCGGGCAACTGACAGCTGAAACTATAGGGGGGGGAGGGCGGTTTATTTTTTTTTTTTTACCTCATTTCTGGCTAGAGGATGGTGCAAAATAAAATTTGGCTTTTGTTGAAAATTGTTGGGGCGGGAGGGCGGCCTTTTATTTTTTTTTTTTTTTTAATGAGAAAGTCATTACTTGTCTACGGTTTTGCTTTCAGTTATATATTATACATACTTAGAACATAAACCCAAAAATCAAGTCTACTCAAACACTGAACACTGACTGAAAGGAAAATAATTTTCCATATTTAATTCCCGTAATGTAGCTTACTAATGGTAATAATGGTGACAACCATAATTGAAATTGGTTTAAAATAAAATTCTGTACGACTATTAATAGCCGTCCATAATAACGACAATATTTTAAAGAGTAAGCCTCTGTCAGCATGTGTATCAAAAATAATCATCACGGTAAACGACACTTAGATCTAAATCTCGTATCGCTGGTTTATAATGATTGACCTAATTCCAACAAATGCATGTCACGTGTCATCGGGATTCGGGAAATGACTGTTTCTCAGGATATTCGGTGTGTTTCTCAGGATATTCGGCCTTTAACTAACAACTGGTCAGTAAAACCATCAAATGTGTAATCCAATTATTATTTTCCGGATTATCAAAACTAGCGTTCTACGATTCATTGTTTTATAAGTAGGATTTTTTCAAACATGGACCGACTGAAGCCGGCAATAATGAGCCGATTAAGATCGAATGATTGAAATACATTGCATTGTTGTCAATGACTTTCGGTGTTAACACGAATCAAATTCTAGTTCACAAGGGGAGGTAATTAAAATCACGTGATACAAAAATGGAGGTTCTTTTGATATCAATAAAAAAAGACCCGTAAATGAGCGTTTACATCTGAATCAGTTTAATACATTTGAATGGATATTCACGTATGGGGCATGTAGATACATGCGGCATATTCTTTTTATGACTTGCTTATCGATGTTCGGGCGGGCGTTACATATTTTTTATTTTTCATCAAGACTAATAAATAGGCCGCATGCGCAACCAATTTTGCGTGCGGGCGGTGCCCGAGAAACAACTTATTTTATTTGTGTTGCCTAACATAGAATACAATAACACTAAATTATGAAATAAATAAATATTTATAATTATATTTCCACTGAATTGCAAATTTCATATAGTTATCATATAATAAATAGGTATACAAATAAAAAATATGCTGGTTCTCAGACAAGCCTTCCGAAAAATCTGATGAGGGAGATGTTTATTTTTGTCAAAGGATCACTACTGAGCTAAATGACTTCTCATAAATATCAGGTATCTCATTATATTGATGAATCTATGATTATCCAGTAACATTTATGATTATCAATAACATTTATCAGGATTGCATATTTGATAGTTGAGTCTACGATACATATACTTGAGTTACTTCCTGTAACAGAGGAAAACATTTACGTGCAGTAATTAATACGATCAGTTTTTTTATAGAATTTTTGAATTAAAAACAGGTCATGCAGCTCTTTTTAAGTGAGACAGGAGTATCTGAGAAACAAAATATTTTTTATTTGGCCTAATTATAATTCTACTAAATTTCAAAATATTTATCTATAAAAATGACACAAATATATTCACATTAAATTAAAAATAATTATTAAATTCAAATATAATAAAACATCACATCAAAAAATAATGTAATTTCAGAAATATCTTAATTTATCAATTTATTTTTGAATTCTGTTGCTAATACTGGTACAAACCTTCCTTAGTATTTTGAGGTGTATCATACTCCAAACGCAAGATGGCATATGGACATGCTCCTAGTTCTCGTTCAACATCATATTTGAGTAAATCTAAAGCCTCATAAACAAACTTCTCTTGAGGATAAGATAACTGATAGATGGAGTTACCAAAATTATCACGAGACGTTTTCTCTACCTTGGCAGGGCTCATAGACATCCTAGATCGTAGTTTAACACTACCAAAGTAAACAGCAGCATGTAGTTTTAAATAATTGGGGTTAACATTAGCCAACCATGGTTCCTAAAATAGAACCAGAAGTGTTAATTACATTGTTCCTCTTGGCCCCTTTGACTCTGATTGAAAGTTTACAATCTGGTTTGTGTATGGACTACAAACTTTTAATAATTTTAAAAGAATAAAATATACATTTCAAAAGTGCATTTTAATCCTTCAAATAAATTCTTTAGCTAAATAGATCTTTCAAAAGTATGTAATTATACAATTTATTAAGATTATCAGATTATTTTCAGCTTTTCGGGAATTATTTTAATGATCTTACCCTTTGTACAATCTCTAATGGAATGACCAACTTAATTCTAACATTTTTAATACCACAAGGTTGTAAAATACCAGGGAAAGGACTGGGTGCCATTATGGATCTCTTACTTCTTTCTGTTTGTGGAGTACTGTAAATCAATGTAAAAACTATATGAAGCAAATAATTCTCCCGTGACATCAAGATCACCAAATTAAATTCAAACAGTTGGTGAAATTAATTTATAATTAATTTATACACAAAACATTTATTCATCATCTAAAATATTTTGAACCGAGTTGCAGAAATGAGTTAGTGGTCTAAGATAATATGGACTGAGGGTCGTGCATACAGAGTTGTTTCCCTTTAACATCTAGCAATTTGAACTGTACTATCTTAATCATTTCTCTTCATACTGTATCCAAGTGTTTTAGTAGCCCTAGTTAAAATAAAATAATAGTAGTAAATGAATAGATTTACCTGGGACGTTGACGATTTAAATGCTGAACTTCTGTCAAATCTTTACCTATCTCCAGATGTATCCATGATGCCTGAACATCAGCAGTATATAATTTACATGGTTCATTCAGAAATACCTGCAACAAGATTAGTATCACATTAAAATATCTAAATCAAAGAAATTTAAAAAAAAAGATCTTTTTACGCTGATTTCTCAAAAAGATATTGAGATGATTCAAAGGTTATTCCATTTGTTCAACTACAAGTCAGGTAATTGATGAACCTACCTCTTTCATGCCCATATAATCTGTTACTTTCATAAATCTATATCTAAGTAGTTGTAATAATGATAAACATGTATTCTGTAGTACTGTATGTGACCAACCCTGCATAAAACACTGATCCCATATGTACATTACACCAGGTGTATCTAATACACTTACAAAACCCTGAAAATATACAACACATATAAATGTTGAATCTAATTTCCTCACTTACATCCATAACTCAATCGCAAAATAAACAGATGACAATCATTCATTAATATCTTTTTATAAAGCATCGAGCAATCAACTTGCTTAGCACTCTACTTAACCTAAGCAGAAAATGCTCATCATCAAATTAGTCAAGATACAGCTGCAATGATACTACAAGCTTATAGACCAAATTTCATGTTCCAAAGCATCGGCAAATCAAATTGGTCATCTCTGTTCAGACAAGACATTCACATGAACATCTACACAGTGTGAACATTCTATTTCAATTAGAAGCAGAGTTATTGTGTTCCAAAATCTTGACCAATCAAACTGATTATCTCATCATCGTACTTGTTCAAGGTATTGATGTAATGAAACTATATACTAGGTTTCATCACTTTCACTCAATTAGAATCTCAATTAGAATTAAAAGTTATTTTTGTCCCAATGTCTCGACCAATCAAACTTTATATATGCTTAGAAGTGTAAGTGTGGACCAAAAGGTGTGACAGACAAACAACCCATTTTACGCCCCCTGCTTTCTCTGCAAGCTAGGGACAATAATGATATGCAATATAGCCATTTCTTTTATAAAACCAGCGGCTGCCAGGCAGGATACACCCATATTTTGCAAGAGATGGATAGAGAACAAGCTAAACAAAAAGCAATTTTTCATACAATCAAGGGTCATAATTCAGGAAGTTATGATCCGATATGCGCAAATATCGAAAGGAACCAAAATCTTTGGGTTATAAACATACATATCAAGTTTCATCAAAATCAGATGAAAATTGTGACCTCTAGAGTGACCCACAAGCTAAAAACGTGATTTTTCCTACAATCAGGGGCCATAATCCATGGAGTTATGATCCAATATATGCCAATATCGAAAGGTACCAAGATCTTTAGGAGATAGACCTATATTTTAAGTTTCGTCAAAATCGAATAAAAATTGTGACCTGTAGAGTGTCCACAAACAAATTGTGGATGGACGTCCGGACAGGAGCGACGACAATATACGCCCACATGAAAATGTGGGCGTATAATAAAATTGTTCCTCTAGAAGTAGAATAGTATATTATAGTCACGGCAATTATGCAACTAAGCATATCTATCACAACAGCATTGCTTCAAAAGTGGAAATTTGCCTCATTTCAAAGCTGACACCGGACTGACACACCTCAAGGAACACCCATAGCAACTATTGATGTTTTTTAAGGAGACTATTCCCCATATCAACCTTCAATAAAGTCATTGGGGGTTCAATAACCCCATGCTTTGAATTTCACGGATAAGAAGTAAGTAGCGGTTGATATTAAAGTGCTTTTATATTCAGCGTTAGTTTGTGTTGATGTAGAAGTCAGATAGCAACCTACTTCCAACTTTTAACTTTTTGTTTCGAATAAAAAACAGGAAAGTGGTTGCTATCTCCTCCATAAATTGCTGCTATCCATGTCAATATTATAACATTCGTCCTAATAAAGAATGAAATTAATTACCTCTCCCACCCATCGTCTGATAAATATAATAGGATCTGCTAGTAAATCTGTTGACATGCCTTCATCTCGTGAAGTACCAGGATTAGCTAGTAAAATAGCTTCTGCTTTAGCTTTTTCTTGATGTATCATTTGTACTAAAAACTCCTGAAAATATCAAAATACATTTTAATTGATAATCAACACTAGAGTCAATCCAAAAAACATGTCATTTTGTCATAGTTTTTACTATCAAACACATTTTATCAACTCACTATATTTGGTAATATAGCGTTTGTTTTTTATTTAAGTCACTAAGGAATTTTATTCCCTAAATATATTCTTAAACATATAAACCTGTAGTGGGATTATTTTTGCCAAGAGTTGATAGAGAACAAGTTCACCTGAAATTTCTCAATATAAATCTTATCTACACCCCATTTGTCTGGGTTGACAATCATTTTATAAGAAGTTCATGGAAAACATAAAGAAATAATATATGTAATATAAGAGATAAGGTGGCTATGAAGACCTGGTTATCCCGAATGTCAGTGACTAGTTTCGTTCGTATTGAACTCTTCAGACTGATTGGACTCACGTGGTAGGCGTTTATATTTATACTATTCCGAAACCCTGGTGGGGTTTCCATAGTTACTAATAGGCGGGGTATAAGGCTAAATATAAATCCAAAGTTGGAACACTCAGGGGTAGAGAGCATTGTAAAACAAAAATAAAAATGGTTGGAGTGTTCAAGTTTAGATTTGTCGTTGATTCCATAAAGTAGTTATGTTTTAAGATATTCTCTCGGCTAAAAAATCATTATTCTCTCAGCTACAAGAGATACGTAGAATCAAACTGGTCCAGAGCCGATCGTGTTGATAAGAAGACGCTCATTTGACACTGACACATAACCAAAGGTGAATAGGCCTACCCGTCCGGTAATACAACGGACAATCTCACATCGGTCCACAAAAGAGAGACACATACTAGTCGCCTCCTACTTCCGATTTCCAAGGCATTTTATTCCAAACCTTGACTCTCATACAAATAAACCATTTGGTACGATTTCGTACCTATATCATATTAATTAAACCTCTTAGGCGCCATGTTGAATTTTACAGTATTTAACGTTCTAAAACATAACTACTTTATGGAATCAACGATAAATCTAAACTTGGGCACCCCAACCATTTTTATTTTTGTTTTACAAAATAATATTTGTAGAGATAAAGAGAAAAGTGATCAAACATTCACTATGCTACTCTCATACAGTGGTGATATATGGCCTTATAAATGCAATTTGCCAACAATTCGCAATGATCCCAAGTAGATCGCCAGACACTCGGAGGTGTTCATGAGCATTTGCAGTCGTTCATGGGCGTTGCGAATATTAGGAACATGCTCCTAACATTTGCCAGGAAAGAATATTCTCATTGTATTCAAAATTCCTAAGCCATGACAAGCAATTCTTATTGATGGCAAGGCATCTGCAGTGATTGTAATGATTTGCTAGCATTAGCTAGCATTGATAAACATCTCCAGAACAATCTTATCATTTTTGGCTAATTTTCCATGAATTTCAAATTTTCATATTTGCAAGGATATTTTTCACTGTGTGAGAGTAGCATTACAAACAATGTTTAAGAAATATAGAACAAGTGGTTGCCATGCAAGATACTCCCAAATTTTTCAAGAGATGGTAAGAGAACAAGCTGTACAATTAGGGGCCGTAATCAAGGAAGTTACGATCCGATATGTGCTAATAATATCAAAAGGAACCGAGGACTTTGGGATATAAAAGTATATTTTAAGTTTCATCAAAACTGGATAAAAATTGAGACCTTTGGAAGGATCACAACACTGGTATTAGATGCTTTTACACTAATGGCACATAGGGAGCGACCATTTTGACTGTAAGTTTCAGTCCAATTTTCACAAAATTCAAACTAAACCGTAATTATGATGTAATGGTGATGTATGAATGTTTTTTAAATCAAATAAAAATTGTGACCTCTTGAGGGTCCACAAGCTAAAAATGTGATTTTAAACATGAAGTTACTATTCCGATATGCTCTAATATCTAAAAGAACCAAGAACTTTGGGATATAAACATACATTTTATTAAGTTTCATCAAAATCGGATAAAAATTGTGACCTCTAAAGGAACCGAGAACTTTGGGATATAAACATATATTTTAAGTTTCATCAAAATCGGATAAAAAGTGTGACTTCTAGAGGGTCCACAAGCTAAAAACGTGAATTTTCACACAAAAGTTATGGTCCGATATGCGCCAATATCAAAAGAAACCATGATCAGTGGGTTATAAACATACTTTTTTAGTTTTATTAAAATCAGATATAGGTTGTGATCACAAGCTAAAAATGCGATTTTTCTTACAATCACAAGGCATAATCCACCTAAGTTAAGGTCCAATACACGCCAATATCGAAAGAAACTGAGATCTTTGTGATAGGGATATAAACATATATTTCAAGTTTTGTCAAAATGGAATAAAAAATTGTGACCTGTAGAGTGTACAACAACAAAATGTGAACAAACAGGGACAACAACAATATACATCCACATGAAAATGTAGGCATATAAAAAAAAAAGCATTTAGATCCTTTAGTCTAACCTTAGGATTAAACTGGACATTTATTTTGGAAATATCACGTAGATGATTGTATAGTTCAGGATCAGATCTTTGTAATGTGGTCATCACTTGTTCTGCTATAGCAAATACTTGTGGCCAGGATGGAAAACAGTTTGTATTCAATAAATCTAAGTACATTGATAGATCCATAGCATGTTCAGCTAAAATAAAAAACAAATTAAAGTGGCATTATGGAAGATTAGATAACGAGCTGACAGTTTTCGCTATAATAGTTTAAAAAAATAGATAATTTAAAGGGGATATGCTGAAAATTTCAGTCAAATTACTTATTTGAGAAATCCTCAAATTCATAACATTGTAGCCTTGATTGTCATTGTTACAGTTGTTACGATAATAAACTAAGTCTCGATTATTCAGTTTACTGTTAATCATCAAAAGTCGTTGAACCGCAGATTGGATTCAAAGCTGTGGAAAATTGGACCTATCAGATGGCATCGAGAGTTGATTATGGTCTTGTCATGTTAATAAATGTCTAATTAATAGTTTATATAACAATTCAGGCCCAAAGAAAGAACTGCAATAGGAAGATTTAGCTCTTGCATAATGCCTGTTTAATATGATGCAATTATATAAGATATAAAACTAAAATCAAGCAAAGCCATGCCTTATGTTGTCACAATTGTCCTTCCCATACAGGTTAGATTGTAAATAGATGTTGATATTTTTCTTATTTTCTAAAGAAATCAGAACATAACTAATATTAAATAATACACTGAACTGTGTAGATCAGATATGGTATTTTAGTCGGTGAGAAGGTAAGCTCTATACACTGAGGTCTATACAATTCAATTTTCATTTCAAAATATTAAGCCAACATAATTCTTGTTTATTAATTTTTGTCGTCTTCACATGTAAACTGCCAAACCCATATATTCAATATATTGTTATAAATATAGTGGATATATAAAAACACTTTTTATTTTTCACCCGAATAAGACCATGAGTGATCTTACACAACCAATCAGATACTTACTTCTATCAGAAACAGTGTCAGATTTACCACGGAAAGCTATTTGAAGTGGAAATAGCCAATAAATAAGGTAAGGCTCATAACTCCGATCATAAACATACAATATATTCAATACTCTTGCTGTCTCTTTCATATGATTTCCACTCTTAAAAGCAACCATACTAGTAGTTTTAGTGTATGTCTGTTAATAAACACAATACATGTAAATAAATAGGGTGCAAAACACAGTCAAAATTTGCTCTATTAAATGTTCATTATCAAATGTCAAGTTGCTAAATGATTACACACTAGACACGGAGTAGGAGTAGGAGAATAATCGGGGTATTTTAGGCTATAAATAGCCACCTCACATGAAGTTTTCTACACATCTATCAACTATTAAAGTCGTAAAAAATCTATTGTTTAGCTTTTTGGTTGTTACAGCAGCTTTAGAAAATTACATTCTTTTTGTTGTTTAATTTACTGTATTATTAAGCATACCCCTTGGAGCGGCATCTTTTGATTTAGTACAATTAATATCCCTGAAACCCTCTGGTTAGGCAAGAACAGGATACTACTAGTATTTTCATTTTACTTTTACAAGGTTCTTTAAACAATCATTGAGTTGCCCAAAGTGCGTGTTTCAGAATTCTATTTTTTGTTCTAGCTTTCTGTTATGTTTCATAGAAAATAGTCTTGAATATCCAGGACTCTTAATCAGTGGGAGAACAGTCGGTATACTGATTTAGCAGGACTAATTTCAAACCAAGGGCATGTAACCTTTTTTACACTAAAAAATGGCCGGAGGTAATGGCCGTTCTTTGTTTACCTTTTCAGTCTATGTTTTTTATTGATGTTATAACTTGTTAAATACAACAAGACCATTTATTTAGTGACTATAAATGTGAGAAACTAAGTTAAGGCTTGTTATGTATATATATGTATATATAAATATTGTGGCATAATTGTCGAAATATTTGGATATATTTGAAGATATTTTTTTATGGTGGGGCACCCTACAATAAAATATAGTTTTTTTTAGTCAATATAAATAAGTCTAAAATAAAACTAAAATCTAAAAAGGAGATTGACTTGATTAGAAACCTTAAGTATATATAATTAATACAACTATATTTGTCTAAGAAATATAAATATGGCAGTGTGAAATCAAGTTAGAATTGAGCAACTTGAAAATTTGTTGTACCAAAATTTTTTTTTAAAAAGTACATTTGATTGTGAATGACCTTAAAGCTCTTATTCAACATTTATTCACTTATGTTGGGGCTTTCATGGCTACATTACATAAACATATAATATACAAATTCAAGTTGTTAGAAAAATATACTTTATGAAATTACAATGTTGCAATCTTACTAAGTTTTTAGTAAATTATTTTTATTTGCTAAAAATGAGAAAGTAATTCGTATGATTACATTTAAAAGTAATGGTAATGACAAGCCAACAGTGAGGCTGATGTCCCCTGCTAAAATCCCAAAATAAATAGATGTCACATATTAATTAATCGCACATTTATTTTTTTTCCAAAGTATCAAGCAATCAAACTGATTATCAACTATACACTCAGCTTCATCACTCTCTATCAGATATATCAAAGTTATCTTGTCCCAAAACATCGACCAATGTAATTTCTTAGCTCTGCTTAGCTTTAGCTCGAAATGTTAATTATTGAACTCAGTGAAGACATTCACCTAATGAACATCTACATCAAGTAATTCAAGTTTAAACCTTCTACCTTAAAGATGGGTGATTTAATGGTATATATGGACTAAAAACATATTCAAACTAATTAATTTGTCATAACTTTGCTTCAAATCCTTCTCAAACATTTAATTGCGAAGGAATGTCCTGCTATAAAAATTTGATCAAACCAGGTCATGTTTACATCACGTGACTTACCTCTCTTGGAAGTCAGAGGAGAATTCATTGCATACATAAGATGATGTAGTCTTTAATCGCTTACTATTTATTACAAATATCGAATCCTAATTAAATTATCGGATTATCCACTACCCACGTCTTTTTCCGTCATTTTTATCTCAGAAATTGTTGTACGTCTAACACTTCATAAATTTTATCAACTTGTACATCAAGCGCTCAATGTTCGAGTGTGACCTTTGACATCACGCATGCAGAAATTCCTAATCGTCGGGCTGTTGATTAGGGGAACCCTTACATTTTTGCTTCATGAGTGTTTTTCGGGGAATCCAGTATTTTTCTAGTAAGATTGGATATCTCTTCTTTCCATATATACCAAAATTACCATACTTTTATTGGAAAATAACCACCCAATAAATACTTTTCTGGGAACCCATCTTCAATAGAAGGCTTGATCTCGCTTTAACTACGTACATCTTATCAAGGCCTTCACGTAATACCCTGCATATTGCGGCACTAATTTCGATTGGGTACAAGCCCAACTTGTGAGCCTATCAGATTCATCGATCGTCCTGAATACCAAGTCTAAAATGTCTACAAGTGATAATCGAGTTGCAAAGTTCAAGGTTCATTCAATGTCAAGATTTCCGTGGAGGTCGCGATGTCACAACTTCTGATTGGACGCTACTGCTCACGTGTCTGTAGATAACATAGCTATAAGTTCGGGAATTGTGAAGTAAACAAGCAATGGCTAGATGTTGTGAAACTCGCAGTCGTTACTTCAGGAACATGCTGGGAACCCATCTTTAATTTAAAAAAAGCAGAAATGTTATGTTCCAAAGTCTTGACCAATTAAATTGCTTACCACTCCTTAGCCTAAGGAGAAAATTCTCATCATCGAACTTAGTCAAGGTAATGATATAATGAATCTATACTCAGAGTTTCGTCACTCTCACTTAATTAAAACCAAAGTTATCGTCTCCCAAAGCAGAAAATGTTTATCATCGAACTCCATCAAGGCATTCACCTAATGAACCCCTACACCAAGTTTGAACATTCTACCTCAATTAGAAGAAGAGTTATTGTGTTCCAAGGTATCAACCAATCAAATTGCTTATCGCTCTGCTTACCCTGAGCAGAAAATGCTCATTATCGAACATAGTCAAGGTATTGATGTGATAAAACTATACACCATATGTCCTCACTCACACTTATTTAGAACTAACATTATCGTGGTGTTCCAAAGCATCAACCAATCAAATTGTTTATCTCTGCTTACCCTAAGCAGAAAATTTCCATCTTTGAACTCCATCAAGGCATTCACCTAATAAACACCTACGCCAAGTGTGAACATTCTAGCTCAATTAGAAATGAGAATTATTGTGTTCCAAAGTCTCGACCAATCAAATTGCTTATCGCTCCACTTACCCTGAGCAGAAAATGCTCATTATCGAACCAATGAAATTGCTCATCTCTGCTTACCCTAAGCAGAAAATGCTCATCTTCGTACTCCCTTAAGGCAGTGACCTAATAAACACCAACACCAAATTTGGACATTCTAGATCAATTAGAAGGAGAGTTATTGTGTCCCAAAAAGTGTGACAGACGGAGGGACCGATAGAGAGAGAGAGAGAGAGAGAGAGCGAGAGAGACAGAGAGACAGACGCATTTTAATAGTACCCTGCTTTCTTCGAAAGGCGAGGGACAATAATGTAATTAATTACATTGGTGATGTAATGGCACCAGCCCTGTTACCTCTATGACTGCATTTTCTATTAAACCATTTATAGGTGACTGTGTAGCTCTTCTGATACTTAGTTCAGATAATCCTCTTGAAACAGCTCGCCCAAATCTTTCACGTACAAACTTCTCTGCATTCCTATATCAAAATTCACAAAGCAACATTTAGAAAGTTTCATGGTGTTCTATAAGCGTAGGATCTGACTATTATGTTAGTAAAGTAGGTCATTTAAGGACTAACAAATGGTTATCATTATTCCCATAAGTTGCTTGCACATCAGGGTCTTTAACAGTTGGTAGCAGGCCAGGAGACAATTTACAACATTAGTCAAGCGACTGTTTTCCTTGTTACATACAAGCCTAGGATCAAAAGTATAAAAAGATAACTTAATGACAGACCATAATGACATAATAAAAGAACATTTTAAAATATGTAATCAACCACAATTTATCAGTCCATATTTTAAAATTTTCCATGTGAATGGAATAGGCTTTTGTGTTAAACTACTCACACATCTTTGATTTTTTTACGATCCATTTTCAACAAAATATCAGTCCACATGTAGGAACGTAGTTGTCCTGGTAACTGGCGACCATGAAGACGGCCTGCTACATGGTCAAACTTTCTGGGATCATGTTGTAAAATAGCAAGAACAGAATCACCAACTGCATCACTTTGTTTCCCCCACAAAGGAGGAGGATCTCCCACGACTTTATGTACCATGGCTAAAATGAAATTTTTGATCAGTTATTTTACACCCACAGCAGCTAAATATACCTTAAGCTATAAATAAACTGATGTTGGATGCCATAGGTGTGATACCTTAAGCTATAAATAAACTGATGGAGGTCATAGCTGTCTCCTTGCTTCATTGAATAAGGGTCCATTTTTCAGAATGTATTTTTCATTACTTACTGTCCATTTACCATACATATTGAGGCCTAAGTATTTCTTAATTATTATCCGTCAACTTCTTTTTCTGCCATTTAATTGCAGAGTCTTTTGTATGTTGACACTCCTCACTGTTCCCCAAACTGGCTAAGTATTTGATCAAGATACAACAACTGCTCCCTCAGTCAAGCTAGCACACAATAAGATGGCAGACAACAGTTGGGTTGCCAGATGAGTTAGTGATACCTTCTTTGTTTCATTAATTTAAATTATGCATATAAATTTCATACAGTTCAGATAATAACTTTTGTTGTTCGAGCATTCACAAGGTTCAACGAACTGAAACAAGGGCCATAACTCTAGACATAATTAACAGAATTGCTGAAATTCAATAGGATTCTTCATTTCACTAATTCATATGATGTGTATAAATTTCATACAGATTGGATGACAACTTTTGTCATTAGAGCATTCACAAGGTTCAACAAAGTGAAACAAGGGCCATAACTCTAGACGTTATTAACAGAAATTGATGTAATTCAATATGCTTTTTCGTTTTACTAATCTAAATGGTGTATATAAATCTAATATAGATCCGAAGATAACTGAAACAAGGGTCATAACCGCAAAATTAATTAATGAAAATTGCTGAAATTCAATAGGCTTCTTCATTTCACTAATTTAAATGATGTATATAAATTTCATACAGATCGGATGATAACTTGTTTTCAAGGTACAACAAAGTGAACAAGGGGCAAAACTCTAGAAGAAATTAACATAAATTATTGAAATCAAATAACCATCTTTATCTCACTGATAAATAACAATCAGATGATAAATTAGACCAGAGGCTCAGTGCGCAGGGGTGTCCATCAAATGGGCACAAAACCAGACCCAACTTTTCTAAAGTAAAATTTTGCGTAGAATATGATACCCGAGTGGTAATCAGTCCGTCGTTGGGGGGTCTTCCAGATATTCGGGGTCAGATGAGTTCATTTGCACTGAAAGTAAATGCGCAACCATTCTTGTATTATGAAAATAAGCTGAAAATGATCTAAAGTAATCATCCTTTCAATAAAAATATAAACTTGCTAAATTCACCTTTGTTTTCTATGACAACAGAGGTCAAAAGGTGAAATTTTCCATTTTAGCAAAAAGAAGATTTAAAGCAATAAATGTCAGCGTAAAGTATAAAAACTAAAGCGGAACCTGTTCTAATTTATAGTAGGAACATTTAAAACTTATCTATAGGTGGTCTTAGCACCGTACATTTACTTTGGATCTTGCAAAACAGAACCAACACACTTTGAAACCTGTTTCAAAAATACACTGTACACTGATTGTACACTGTATTTTATTTAATCGGAAGTGATTTCAAACACATAACCATTGTTTCGAATTTCTGATGGTTCAGACAGTAAGTGGAGTCATACTGAATATATTTACTATTTTAGACATACCTTTAATTTGACTAGATGAAGGTTTAGCTGAAGTAATAGATTGTGTAGAAGATGAAGTAGCTGGTTTATAACGACTGGGTTTAGGTATATATATATAATCTGTATTCTTTTTACGATTTACAATCTCTTTTTTTCTCTTTTCCTGTAATTATTCAGTAAATTTAAAATCATTTTGTGACTATTTTAAAGTGATGTCATAGTTCACTGAGATATCTATAAATTCACGTAAAAAAGGTATGTTGAAACGAAGCAAAAAGTATGCCCACAACAGCAGCTAAAATTGTATGAGAAGTAGGGCCCAAACGATTCACTGGTGAACCGCAATTTTTTCCATAAAAACGATGAATGATATTTTTGTACAAGAAAATTGATAACGATTTTTATTTTTAATTTGAGGTTCATGGTGTATTTCACATTGTATCGCGATATTTATTCAATAAATTAGGAGATAGGACATATAGAAATTACCTATCAGTTCAGTGTAAGGCAAAATCCCGGTAGAATAATAATATGTCCCGACCATCTAGAATGACCTACTAATCTCATGCAAACTACGACCCAGAAACTTGACAAAACAATATTTTCCATTGGACAAAACCAGAAGCCATCAATTTTACACCAATTAAAATCGCATATTAACCTGATTTTGTCTTCATGATGCCTGTAGCCCTTACGAAAAGTGTGTTGAAATTTCTGTTTAACTTCCGGCAGGAATTTTTCTTTTGACAATTATTATGTCCACTGGGTGAAGTGGAGATCTTAAAACTACCTGCATCTTACCGATCAAAAGTGTGGGACAATTTGGGTTTTTCTGTTAGTGTTACCTACATAAACGGGAAGTCAATAAAGAAATTTCAGTCTGCAAAATATGTCATACCAAATTACGGTATACCGGATTGTATTCATGTATGTGTAGGCCTACCTGACTTTCGTTTGACTTGACTTGATTGTCTGCATGACTGCATACTTAATTGTGTATTTTGATTCAATTTGGGTAAAAAAGTGCCAATAATATTGGTTAAATATTAATTTTATTTTAACTATTAATAAACAATATAACTTTGAAACACTATGTATTTTTTCTTTATTTCAAACAGTAAAGGCGTGTATGGTGATGCACCCATATCGTGGCACAGCGTATCGTTTCCGCCATAATGAGAAGTCTATAAAGTTTGTTACATTCATTAAGATGATAACTTTACCCTCTTGTTGAAATTGTTTGACGTTCTAACACCTGACATCAACTAGCAGACTATCGCCATTTAAGAGACGACCTCTGTCAAGATTGGTCGCATTATTTCTGTTAGTCTTTTTTGTATATCATTTTTAGTGAAGCCTGTACCATAACAGGCCCGGGGCTGTACAGCGCAGTGGACGCTTACGGCTGGCCCCCGGATCCATTCACTTGGTTTGATATGTGTTTCTTTTTTGCAATGTCTATTAGAGCACAAAAAGAGTAATCAGATTGATAAAGGGCAATAACTGTGTACATAATCAAAACTTGAACACAAACATCAGAAGACTATGAGATCGTTGGTAATCATTAATAATCTGAAGGCTTCTTCCTCTCAGGAATATTATCACTGTGAATAAATCTAAAAATCAGTCAACTGTAGCCTTAAGAAAGGAACAAAAATAGGCTTCAAAAAGACATATTTTTAATTAATGCTTTATTTTACGTACTGTTAATTCTCTCTCCTGTATATATAACTCTCTATCTAGACCATCATTAAATACACCAAATGTATGTTGTAGAAATTCAGTAAAATCAGATGGTGGATCCTCCCTTACAAATAAAATAATGAATTCTATCAAAAAACAGTTCAGTGGGATTGTTGAGAGCTTTCAGTCTCTTCCCTAAAATATTCTGTGAAACTTAATGTTATACATTTTAATAACCATACTGTCAAAAAACTGTGAACAAACTATGACTAATGCTATTCATTGCTATGATCAGAAAACCAGCGGCTGCCAGGCAAGATATACCCACATTTTGCAAGAGATGGATAGAGAACAAGATAAAAACAAAAGCGATTTTTTCGTACAATCTGGGGCCATAATCCATAATCCAGGAAGTTATGGTCTGAAATGCGCAAAAATCAAAAGGGACTGAGATCTTTGGGATATAAAGACATATTTTTTAAGTTTCATCAAAATCGGATAAAAATTGTGACCTCTAGAGAATCCACAAGCTAAAACTGCGATTTTTTTTGAACAATTAGAGGCCATAATCCAGGAAGTTACGTTCAGTTATGCGCAATTATCAAAAAGAACCAAGATCTTTGTGATATATGCTTAAATTTAAAGTTTCATCAAAATTGGATAAAAATTGTGGCTTCTAGAGGGTCCACAACCTTGATATACCATATTTTTACACTATTTGCGTACGAGGGGCAGTCATTTTGCCAGGCAGTTTTGGTCTTATTTTCACGAAATTCAAACTCAACCAAAAATATGGTGTAAGGGTTTGTTTTAAATTAAATAATAATTGTGACCTCTAGAGTGTCCACAAGCTAAAAACGCGATTTTTCGTACAATCAGGGGACATAATCCATGAAGTCATGGTCTGATACATGCCAATATCGAAAGGAATCGAGATCTTTCGGAGATAAACCTATATTTTTCAAGTTTCTTCAAAATCGGATAAAAACTGTGACCTGTAGAGTGTCCACAAACAAATTGTGTACTGACGGACAGGGGCGACGGCATAATACATATAAAAATAACTTGCATCGACATGTCACATGTCATCAAATTTAAGTTCCATGGAAAGGTCATGATGTAAAGTTAATAACTTTAATAATAACAAGTTGATCTAAGACATCCATTTTTACAGAGATGTCTGAAACTAGTCTTTAAATCATATACTGTATACACACCTTGAGGAGTTGCCATTCAACATATTCTGGTATCCTAGTTCTCGGACAGTTTTATACATCTGACTATTTAACCAACCTTGAGCTTCAACAAATAACAACTGGCGACTATCAAAATTCAGATTAGGTGGTTCCTAAAACAGAAAATAAATTTTTACAGCAAAATATTAAATAGCATTTTGTATAAGAAAAGCCATATCTACGAAGGCCCATTAGTGCCAAACAAAAAATAAATATTAATCTGTTTGAATGAGTCAGTATCTCATTTGAACGAATTACTAGTATCACGTTTGAACAAATTAATTATCTGGTTTGAACGAATTAATTATCTGGTTTGAATGAATTAAATATCTCGTTTGAACGAGTTAGTATCTCGTTTGAACAAATTAATTATCTAATTTGAACGAGTTAGTATCTTGTTTGAACGAATTAATTATCTTGTTTGAACGAGTTAGTATCTCGTTTGAACGAATTAATTATCTCCTTTGAACAAGTTAGTATTTTGTTTGAACAAATTAATTATCTCATTTGAATGAGTTGGTATCTCGTTTGAACGAGTTGGTATCTCGTTTAAACAAGTTGGTATCTCGTTGAAACGAGTTGGTATCTTGTTTGAACGAATTAATTATCTCGTTTTAATGAATTAGTATCTCCTTTGAACGACTTAATTATCTAGTTTGAACGAATTAATATTTCGATTGTACAGAAGCATGGAAGGGACATGCAGAAATTGTGTTTCAAAGATAATATGATTTAATATGCGTAGGTTCTTTACTATTTCTAGCGTTAGCATCAGTAGAAGGAACTATATATACTTGTGAAAAGGGGAATTAGAATAGAATACCTTGGAAATTATTCAATTTGTTTAATGTTAGCCACAACACTGTAGTGAAGCCATTGTTTTATGACATATATATGCTTAAACAGGCATTACGATAGGTATATGTATGATATTGTAAGGACGTGGATTTGAAAATGCACCGAATTAAGAAATAAAATGGAAAATTGTGCCTTCGCTGAATTTTCACTAGCTCAGTGAACAGCACTACAGGTATAAGATTGCTTGTCAGCGATGTTTACATATTAAGGATTAATGTTATTTATGCCAGATGAACTTATTTCCAGTGTTGATTGCCTTGAAAGAGGATTTGGGTGAGTTTCTAAGATAGAGGGGTGGGGGTAGGAGTGTTAAAACAAATAACTAATTTCCTCATGCTGCATGCAAAACGAAGCAAGAATAGTACTGCCACTGCTGTTGGCCGACTTCCTCGATAGGACAGAGGACTTGAAGCCGAGGGTTGCAGAGGGGAACGCTGGCTCAAGTGAGGAACGGATGTTTTGACCGCCCTACGTTTGATTATCAGTGAAACTGAAAGCAGATACGGGGGCCTTTCCCTCTTGGTTCACCTTGAGCCATCTGTCCCCTCTGCAGCTCTCGGCTTCAGGTCTCCTGTTTTCTCGAGCAAGTCGGCCAACATCAGCGTCGCTTTGGCACATGAGACCCTAGTGGGAGGGATGAGACGTGCAATGTGGGCAATGTTTCGGCACAATTACTATGCTTGTTCGTTTTGCATACTGCTACTGCATTCCACGTTTTTTTCGTGTCATCCACAGTTTTTCGTGTCATCCGAGGACTACAGACTTTTCTAGCAAGACTCATGCCATTAAAGTAGGCGTCGCAAATTAGTTGTTTCTTCTACCCTCCCCCCACCCCTCTATCTTAGAAACTCACACAAATCCTCTTCCATTCATTGTATTGCAACGCAGTCAACACTAGGTATAAATTTACTCTGGGATAATCCTTTACTGCAAAGTTCAATTAATATGCAAACCCTGTAGTTCTGTTCACTGAGCTTGGGAAAATTCAGCTAAGGCATAATTATTTCTTAATTGGGTGCGTTTCAAATCTACGTCTTTACAATATTAAAGATACATAATGTAAGATTTAGATAGAGCTGGTCGTTCTTGCTATAATAGTTCAAAAATAGATAATGCAAAATGAATATATTGAAATTTACATTAAATTACTTTATTCTGAGCGACGATATCAGCCTTTGAAGGTTTGACAAGATGTGTGCACGGAATGTAACCACCGTACTGGTTGTTCAAGGCATAGCCTTGCTTTACCATTTTTCAATTTAATCATTAAATGGCCGAACCGTTCTAATCTACTTAAATATTTTAATAAATGTCTAATGAATAGTTTATATAACATTTAAGGCCTAAAGAAAGACCTACATGTTTACATGTAGCTCTTGCATAATGCCTGTTTAAGCATATACATGTAATAAAACAATGACTTCACTACGATGTTGTGGCTAATAAACATATTCGGCTTTTAAAACATGGATAACATCCAACATATTCTATACTAATTCTCCTTCTCATAAATGTAGTTCCTTCTACTGACAATAACGCTAGAAATAGTAAAGAACTTAATGTATTAAATGACATTTTCTTTACTTAAAACACCTGTTAGTATCACAATTTCTGCATGTCCCTTCCACGCTGTCCCTGTACAATCGATAATTAATTCCAAACGAGATAATTAATTCGTTCAATGAGATACTAACTCGTTTAAACGAGATACTAACTCGTTTAAACGAGATAATTAATTCATTCAAATGAGATAACTAATTCGTTCAAACGAGATACTAATCCGTTCAAACGAGATACTAATTCGTTCAAACGAGATAATTAATTCGTTCAAATGAGATAATTAATTCATTCAAACAAGATACCAATTCGTTCAAACAAGCTACTGATTCATTCAAACAAGATACTAACTCGTTCATCAAAAGGATTAATTTTTTTTTTGTTTGGCACTAATGGGCCTTCGTACATATCAATTGTTACATCAAATCAAATATCAGTTTGTTGTTAGAGAACAAGCTCTATATATATTTCAGTCAACAGGTGAATATATTGTAGTACTTTTAGGATTAAGAAGTATGCAGACGGTTAGCTATAGACCTATAGTCTAATTATAAATATATACTTTCAAATGTAACTCACCAATAAATGTGGATTTCTTTGTACATTTGGCAAGAATTCTTGAAGAAATTCATTTCCTAGTAAATCTAATAACATTTCTCTTCTTTCGGGATGATCAAACTGTTTTTCTACACGGGTAGCAAGTTCTGTGGCCAGTTTGGCTTCAAGCTGAAATATTCAAAATAGATAAAAAAAATCTAAGCATTCTAATCCAGGTTATATCTGCAAATATTATTAGCCATGTGAACTTCCCAAGTAAATAAATAGTGATATCAATTGCTCTAGAAAGAGAAAACTACTGGGTGACTTGTATTGAGGTTGCACGATTATTTTCAAAGTAAACATTCAGTAATCATAAGGTACTTGTATATTCATACAATATTTTCAAAGTAATGCGACTTTCCTATAAAAAGACATGTACATCAGCTAGAAGCAGTTGCCAGAATTTTTGAGTCCCCACAACCATCTCATAAGATGTATTATCTATAAACAATGTTGAAGGTGGGAAGTGAGATATTAAAACTTCATGCACTAAATTATTCTCTCCAGCTTTCAACTCAACACCATTACCATAATGAAACTTACCTTATGCCATGGTGCACCTGGTAGTAATGTCTGTTGATAACAAGAGTTTATCCAAGCTTTATGGAATGGTCTTTCATTGGTTGTCCTATTCTGCCCAGTATCTGCCATTTTGTAAAACTTTTACTCCACAAATAACTTAAAACTTAAAAAATACTTTTTTCTATTATCGACAACACAAAAATTAAACAACAGTGTCTGTTTCTTCACAATATATACATATACAACGTTTAATAAAATAGTATAAAATATATATACAGCTTATGTCCATACACTAGTATTTACATCACACTTCAATAATTTAATTTTTAGTTCATTGTCCTATTATAATTATAAAATGGCACTCTGTAGATCTGGGGCACTTTCTCCATAACAATACTTGGATTTCGGGTCACGGTAAGAATTTTCATGTTGAACACTCTGAAAAAAAAATCAGACATCAGAATAATGCATTAAATGTTGAGATGAGAAACCTACATACTTCTTAAAAGAATCAAATACTCTATTGATATTACCAACATATATGAATATTAATGCACAAGACATAAGCAAATTTTTAAGCATCATGTGGTACAATAGTCATTTAAACTAGCACTAAACGTGTACAGCAACATTAACCTTAACATTCAAGTTTTTGGATTATCATTAAAATATGGTACAAATTGTGCTGTGCTTGATATTCAAATTCATATACTCTATTATTTTGTAATTAAATGGAAATATCAACCAGCTTGGATCGGAAATATAGAATTGTAATATTCAATTTGAACTTGTCCAGAGAAACCACAGCAGGGGACAAAGTAATGGTAGTGAGATTAATTATGTGAGTTCCATAGTTACAATTTTCTCTTGTGTTCAATGTCTTTTTACTTGGATTTAAGGTGACTATTTTATAATAGAGAATTATTGGATGAATACAAATTTAGAGAAAGCAGGAAATCGTTTCTGTTACCTGTGAGGAAGTTCGACACTTGGCAAGACAAAGTTCAAAATGATCCAATACTAATGAAAATAACTTATTAAATGGCTCGTTATTATAATCTCTTAATATCTTTTCTAATAATGGTTGCTGAAAAGAGAAAATAAATGAGTAAAAAAAGAATATAATTTATATTAACATGTACTTATCCACACTTTTAAATTCATTATAGCAGTCAGAGTTTATCAATAGCAGGACTTTTAATAAATGATTAAAATTTGCATCAATGCTTAAATGTTAATTAGGATTAGGAACAATTACTGTCTATTAGTATTGGAATATACCACAACGGACACACTGTAATTAATTCAATGTAATCTGTTCTGATTGTTCCATTGAAGCACAGCTTCATAAAAGGTTTTTAAAGTTTGTCAAGAGTACTGTCAACAGTAAAAACATATGTACAAACATTTGTGCTAAGTTAGCTGTACACAGCAGTCAGTCAACTCTGGGTAACAGTTTAAATTATATTTGTCACAGATATGGTTTATCAAAATACGAACTGACTAATATATCTCTTAGAAAAATTTAATCTATGTAGTAAATAAAATAAACATCAATTTCCAAACCAAAGAATGCTAAAATTAAGGCAGGCGTCATCAGAGATTTTATGTCTTTAAGAGAAAACGGTAACAATTTAAATGATATAATTAATGAACTTTGTACAAACTGAATTTAACATAATGTATTAAGATCAGATTTATGTTTCTATTGATACTTGTGTAATTGTAGTTGTAATTATTTTGTACGAATAAATTATTATTATTATTATTATTACAAAGATTGTCTTCAAATAAGCTTAATGCTTTCATCCCAATGATTGGACACTACCACCCACAGCTGTCTTGTGCATGCTTATTGATGTAACATTTATCATTCTACCTTTTAAAAATCTAGTTTTTAATTTTAAAGATACATTAGGTAAGATTTAGATAAAGAGCTAGCCATTCTTACTATAATAGTTCGAAAATAGATAATGGAAAATGAATAATTAGAAAATTTCATTCAAATTACTCTATTGCGAGCGAAAATATTAGCCTTTGAAGGTTTGACAAGGTTAAATCAAAATATGGCTGAACTGTTCTAATCTATTTAATATTGGAGAAATCTGATTATGGCCTGGATAAGTTAAATAATGTTTAATTAATAATTTAGAAAACATTTCAGGCCTAAAGAAAGACCTGCAATAGGCAGATTTAGCTCTCGCATAATATATGTATAATACAATATTCTTAGAGCTTTGTGTTTCAATTCCTGAAAATGAAAAGTGAACTTTTACTTACTTTATCTGGCTGTAGACAACATGAAACACAATATTCATAAACAGAACAACATCCGTTAGTGTGACATGTCTGACAATTGTAACGACTAGTTGAAGGTTGTTTGGTATCACAACAATTATTAGAATCTAAATGACGTCGTTGACAACTGTAACCTAGAAATAAATGGTTGTATTTTTTTAACTTACACAAATTAAACAATAATTTCTTTATAAGGTTCAAAGGTATATTGACCATCTGAATATACAAACTGGCATCTTTTTGATTAAATAATATTGAAGACTACTATGCCATAGTAGAACGATCGGATGATAACTTTTAGGGTTAGAGCGTTCACAAGGTTCAATAAAGTGAAACAAGGGCCAAAACTCTAGATGTTATGAACAGAATTTATTGAAATTAAATAGGCTTCTTCGTTTTAATAATTTAAATCATGCATATAAATTTCACAAAGATTGGGCGATAACTTTCGGTGTTAGAGCATTCACAAGGTTCAATAAAGTGAAACAAGGGCCATAACTCTAGACGTAATAAATGGAAATTGCTGAAATTCAATAGATTTCTTTGTTTCACTGATTTAAATAATACATATAAATTTCAGAAAGATAATATGATAACTTTTGGTGTTAGAGTATTCACAAGGTTAAACAAAGTGAAACAAGGGCCATAACTCTAGAAGTACTAAACGGAAATTGCTGAAATTCAAAAGGCTTCTTCGTTTCCCTAAATTAAATAATGCATATAATTATAAATTTCACAAAGATCGGATGTTAACTTTTGGCATTAGAGGGTTCTAGACGTAATAAATGGAAATTATTGAATTTAAATATACGTCCACATTTTCATGTGGGCGTATATATAAACATGAGAAAAAAGCTCCCGTTTAAAAACTATTCTTAACTATATTGTAAGAGTAATTCTACGTTTTCGTGAATTAGGGAGAGCCAAATGGTATCTATGTTTTAGTCTAGTTTAATATTCTCTTTATGTACACTTCAAAAAAAGGAGGGAATATTGAAATGCAAATACCTATGCAGGTTGTGATATGATAAATAGTCATGGACACCTGACATGCTTTGAGAGTATGTTCACAGATGAAGAACTTATCGCCCCAACAGAACCACTGAGCTGCACATGTGACACGCAATAGCGCCATACACGTGGGAGGGGTTCATTGTCAAATTTGACACTTCAAGGAAGGATTGATGAAAACTGACGCTTGCTGGTTTATCCTATCCATGTTTGCTTTCCTATCAGTTCTTGCATAAGATTTACTGTTTAGCGTATCTTTGATTTAGTGCGTTACATTTAATTTGATCGGGAGACGTGTTCGTCGACGTCAAATCAACCGACAACACTGCAAGAATTGGCCGTGGCACTGCAAGAGGAGTGGGTCAGATTGCGCCAAATAATGATTGGACGGTTGATTAGGAGCATGCCACGACGAATTGCTGAATGTCTGAGGATTGGTGGAGCAATTACTCATTATTAAGACAAAAATCAAAAACGTCCATTTTCACTTTTGACAGTGTATTTCTTTGCGAGTGCAATGGGGCCGTCAGATAAGCCGCCCATATGAACTGTTTATGTTCATGTGTAGGCAATTGGCCTGTTATTAAACATACATTAGAAATCTATGAGTGGCGAGTGGCCGTCCCAGATTTCTCTCATAAAGCTACTAGTTTCGTTCATTTTGAACTCATCAGACTTAAATGAAATTGTGCGGATGTTCCCTTTATATAGTCGTCGGGGACCGGAGCACATAAGGGATCTCGGATGGACCTGCGCAGTGCTGTATCACCGGAGCAACTGCTTCCGTTTAATGGTGAACAGAGAGACGGCTAAAGAATTGCAGTTATAACATGCTTATTTGCATAGACTCTAAGGCTCCCAACCCATTTGACTGTGTCGTTTATAATAATATAAACAAGTGGGAATTATTTGGATAACTGGACTGAAATGTCAAATTGTGTGATATACATGTACATACTAAGCTTTTCTAGTATTAGATAGCATAATTTGGAACTCGTCCAGACATGCACACTTAGTCTACAAGTAAACTTTGTATTCAACTGCTATTTGGCAATTGTGCTGTCGGGTTATATTATCATGACGTGATAGAAATACCTAATTGTCTTCCCTAAGTTTTGGAAATGCCATATATATCGCGTATATTGGCGCGGTAAGATGGCCGGGTCCCTAAACTGAGGAACTGATCAACTCTGTCGTTATAGGTTCCCAGTTACTAATTGTCGGATAAGGAATATGATATGACAATCTGTCATGTATTTCTTTTGCTTGTTTGCGAAAAATATCTGAAGTAATAGCACTAGGGTTTTCAGTGATATTATGAAGCTTAAACACCATTCCTCGCGTTGTGACGTCACAGGAATTCCCATACCTATAAGATTAATGGCTGTGTGCCAAATATGTCGACAAGAATTGATAAATGGAGGTCCTGCAAATAATGTGCATAAGAGAGAAATAGCTAACAGAATTTCAAGAAAATAGTGCAAAAGGGTCAGTGAGAAGAAGATATAAATATAAAGAATATGGGGACTAAATCTTATAAAATTGTATAGCCGTCCAATGCAAAAGTTCTTAAATGTGAATCCATTTCGATTAAAAATGGTTCGAAGAATATCCTGCATCGTGACATATGATTTATGATAAAAATACATTATGCAACAGCTAAATCTGTCTATTGCAGGTCTTTCTTTAGGCCTGAAATGTTATCTAAATTATTAATTAGACATTAATTAACCTATCCAGAACATAATCAACTCTAGATAGCATCGCAGTTTTGTATTGTTTCTGAATATCACCTACTTTTTTTTAACAGTACATATTCCTATGGAAAATACTGCCCTACATTAGCATTCAATATCAGAATAAAAACAAAAGCGATGTGTTGGGTGAATATGGAAGCATTAGAATTATCATCATGGTAACTGATAGCTACTCCAGTGAAGGAAAGTCGAGAGGAGCAGAAGCGAAAGCATACCTTAAACTTGAAGGACTGTAATCGCAACAATAAAACTTTTTTGCTCTTAAACGATGACGTCAAAATGTAAAGAAAATAAACTCTACTGGGTATATTTACTTGTTATATTGCAATAAGAAAAGGCTTATATAAGTTATAATTTAAAAGACAACATTTTCAAATTTATATAAAATAATAGTAAATATTACATTCAATTTTAAATGTATAAAATCGTATTTCTGCTTTATTTTGTTTTATAAAAAAGAGATGCAGAAATGCAGTGCTAGTATAATTAGTCCATAAGCTTACAAGTACTGGTACCGTACTTAAAGTGTACATAAGATAGGTTGCCAGTCCAGGCAACAAAACATAGGCCCACTACTGCTAAACTTATATTATCACCAAAAAAACCTTCCAGTCTGAAAAAAAACTGTCAGTGCGAAATCCATACCCATATGGGTCAAATTGGCCAAAATCCAAAACAGCCGCCAGTTTTGACTGGAATTTTTTTTATCCAATTATAATATGATCATGTTTGGAATCAAAATATATCCTTTTGGGATAGCTGAATCCATTTCCATACACGTTTTGGTGAATAGTTATACTACAGAGTCAATATTGGGAAACAATTCCAGATGGCGGTCAGTTTTGGCGCGAAAATTTGAATTTTACAATATGACCACATCTGTTGTCAAAATATACGTTTTGAAGGCAGCTGATTCCATTTTCCACATACTTTCTCATTTTAGTAATTAACTGATAAAAATTGTCACCCCTGGAGAGTCCACAACCTTGATGTACCATATTTTTACACTATTAGTGTACCAGGAATGGCCATTTTGTCTGGCAGTTTTGGTTCTATTATCATGAAATTCGAACTCAACCCTCATTAGGGTGTAACAGTGATATACTAAAACGTTTTTTTAAATCGGATAAAACACTACACTACGCTGCTAGAGTTTGGGACTAGAATCGCCGAACACGGCCGAAAAAATCCCTGTTCCGCGGCGGAATCTTGGAGAATCGTTAGCGAAACGCCAGCTAGCCAAATCACCGCGAAATAAGGGTGTTTCACAGTGTATTACAGTGTTTCGCGGTGGACACGGTGAATCGCTTGAGTGCCGATATTATCCCGATTTAAGCATTGTGAAAAAAAAGTAATTTATTTCAGTTGAATACAAGGTATGTTAACCGTTGGCGAGGAAGCTAGGGTCGGATTCTTTTTGTAATGCACTGAATACATGCATTACTTGGGGCCAAAATGTATGCAAACTATGATCAACTTACAATTTTTTAAACTTATCATTTCATCTTCGTCTATAACTTACATGTAGATGTAATCCATCAATTATTGGCTGCTATCAAATCCAAACTTTAAATTATATACGATGAGCTTTTTCACCAAGATCTTTGGGAGATAGACCTATATTTCAAGTTTCGTCAAAATTGGATAAAAATTGTGACCTGTAGAGTGTCCACAAACAAATTGTGGACGGAGGGACAGGGGCAACGACAGTTTACATGAAAATGTGGGTGTATAAAAATACACTTCTGTCACAATAAATTTAATTTTTGGTCATGATGGACCACTTTACATGAAATAGGCCATATCAAAATGTTGCATTAAGTTTAGACATTATCCAAAAACATTTGACAAAATATACCCTGTGTACACATCGAGTCACTGAATGCAGGATAAGCTGAATTTCGAGAGACGAAAAATTTTAACACCAGGACTGTGTGTATTTTCTCAAGATGCACATGATTCTTGCATCCTGGGGGGCAGAGCAATGATTCAGCTAAGTCGTCCGAGCAGGCAACAACAGTTGTCGCATATTTTTTTCATTGTCGATAATGAAACATTTATAATACACTAAAATCTGATTAAGAGTAACAACTCATTAAAGATTTAGATAATAAGCTAGCCATTCTTTCTATAATAGTTCAAAAATAGATAATGTAAAATGAATAATTTGAAAATTTCATTCAAATTATTCTATTGTGAACGAAGATATTAGCCTTTGAAGGTTTGACAAGACGTGTGCAATAATTTCAACCACAGTACTGGTTGTTTGAAGCTAAAATGTAAAATGAATAATTTGAAAATTTCATTCAAATTATTCTATTGTGAACGAAGATATTAGCCTTTGAAGGTTTGACAAGACATGTGCAATAATTTCAACCACAGTACTGGTTGTTTGAAGCTAAGTCTCGCTCCTTCATTTTTAGCTTAAATCAAAATATGGATGAATTGTTCTAATCTATTTAATATCGGAGAAATCCGATGCCATCGACAGTTGATTATGGCCTGGATAAGTTAATTAATGTCTAATTAATAATTTAGAAAACATTTCATGGATAACATCATGGATTTAGCTGTTCAAGTGATCATGGGCTATAACTCTGGTAGTCATTATCAGCAATCATTGAAAATCACTGGGCTTATAGAGCATCCACAAGCAATTGAGGACGTCAGACCGACAGACGATCACATTTCAAATAGGGCATATAAAAACACACTACAGACACTGTAACCCAGGTATCATTTAATCTTGTGTATCTAGCACTAATTTCTTTCACATTCGTTTAATAATAATATCAAAGATCTTTGGGTTATAAACATGCATTTCAAGTTTCATCAAAATTGGATCAATATTGTAACCTCTAGAGGGGCCACAACCTTGATATACCAGATGTTTACAGTTTACACTAATTGAGTACGAGAGGCGGCCATTTTGTCCAGTAGTTTTGGTACGATTTTCATGAAATTCTAATTCAACTAACCTTACAGAGTAACGTGATATATTCGAACATTATTTTTTAATCGGATAATATTTGTGAGCTCTAGAGGGACCACAAGCTAAAAACGTGATTTTTCGTACCATCAGGGGCCATACATGTAATTCAGGAAGTTACAATCCGATATGCATGAATATCGACAGGAAGCAGGATCTTTGGGTTATAAACATGCATTTCAATTTTCATCAAAATCGGGTGAAAATTGTGACCTCTAAAGTATCCACAAGATAAAAACGTGATTTTTCGTACAATCTGGGGCCATAATCCATGAAGTTATGGTCGGATACATGCCAATATTGAAAGGAAACGAGATCTTTGGGAGATTGACCTATTTTTCAAGTTTCGTCAAAATTGGATAAAAATTGTGACCTGTAGAGTGTCCAAACAAATTGTGGACGGACGGACAGGAGCAACTGCATAATACGTCCACATGAAAATGTGGGTGCATAAAAACAATCATACAGATTATAAATATAGTCTGTAGAGTTTTCACAAGAAATTTTGAACAGTAGACGTATATAAATTAACATATAAAAGTGTTATTGAAACCTGTGTTTATTATTAACATTTTCCACTATTTTGACACCTGTATTATCATGAAAATAAACAACTGTTAATTTGTCATCACAGCCAGGGACTACACATCACAATGTGCCTTCTCATAATTTCTTATCACTATACTTATAAGTACCATTATTAAAGCAGTAGCATGTGTGTGATGAAGTGTTGTGGAAGTTCCAACAAAGAAAAAATAACCAGCTTATTCGAATTTATTCTAATCAAAAGTGTACGGGGAATGTTTTAGTTATGCTAAACATGTTCTAAAATTAAACCAACCTTTTAATAAGCTACATGCTACATTGTCTCACTGATTTCATGTAAAATAAGTTAGTCAGTAGTAAATTGTTTTATTTTATCATGATAGGGGATTAAAGAAACAGACAAGCATTAACAAGTACACACCCCATCCTCTGCTGTCTAGTTTGTGTAGTAGGAATGTAAGCTTATTTACTATACTACATGTAAATACATTCCCACTACACAAACTATATGTACGTATAGTATTAGTAAGAGTATTACATACTTCCACTAAACATTTGGTCACTATGAATTCAGTGGCGTGTGGGAAAATATAGAGTGTATTAGATATCTGGCACAATCATTTTATGGGGAGGTCTAAAAGTTGAGTGAAATGTTTCAATGAATTATAAATGAATTTGAATAAAATTTGTGTAAATGAAATGAATTGAGGTTTTAAGTTGGAAATTGGTGTAAAGGGATACAGTAAACACTGACTTCAGGTTCATACCACTTTCATATTGTAATTTTTAGCGTTGTTGACAAAATTCATATTTACCTCTTTCATCTACAATCAATTTTCTACCCTGGACGGAATTACGACATTTAACAGTTAAGGTGTTGTTTACCTCTAATTCATCGGATATTTTGGGTTGCCACTGGAAGGTCTGCCGAATATTTCGTTTGGATTCAAATGGTTCTAATATCAAGTCATTTGACTAAGAAAAGACAGAAAAAAATACACAATATTAGAATTAATTCCACAGGTTCATCATTTTCAAAATTTTAATGCAAAGAGAACTTCTATTACAATGTTCTTACTTTCACTGATGTTTAACCCTTTCAATGCTAGACGTAAATCCACTGCCTGTGCTAGACCCTTTTTTGAGGAAAAAAGGGAGGTTGGAACTGAATGCCAAGCAGTACTTATGGAAGCTTTTATGAAAAATCTTTTTGTCTGTTGGGATGGGCATGAGGTTGGGCTAAGAGGAAAAAATAGAATTTTGGAAATTTGCATAATAATGTAGTCACGTGACGTCATGGCGGCCATTTTGGATTTCTTATTTCTCACTAAAGCTAACACGAAAACGAATTTTTCTCCATGAAATACTTAAAAGATATTGTTTTTTTCACTGGATTTTGATAAAGATATATAAAATGAACAAATATATCAATAGCAGCCATGAGCAATGCCGCCACGAACACGCGCATCACGTCTCCCGCTGCCATGACCACGTGCGGATTGCAATACCTTGTTTTTACTTTCACTTTCATCCCCAAGTCCTATATCATTATCAATATAGTCAGTCAATAGATCTACACGTTCGGGACTCAGGAATTGCCTACGTCTTTTACGATCCAGCAGGTCAGCATTATTATCAACATCAGAATTATTGTCAGAATCTACTGCAGACACAGGGCTATCGTGTTCACATTGGGCTTGTTCATCATGCACGGGAGACATAGCTAGCCATGGGCGGAACGTCGCGCAATAAATCACACACTTCATAATACCAATCACTGTCCTGACTACTATCATTATCAAGTAACTGGAAACGAATTATGTATATCACCCGCCTCGAAATTGTCCACGTGTTGGTGAGCAAGACGTCATTCACGACTTCGTCGAGAGTGCATCGTCAACATTGTCACTATGCACTCCGCCATTTTACGGTTTGCCGCTTTGAAACACGTGGAAATATGTTCTAGTGTATAGAAAATACAATAGATGGCACTTGCAGTTACGGTACTAATTTTAGCGAGGGCTTTACTGAGTACACGGTAATACCGGGTACGTGCATTTTACCGACATTTTATAATACCCGGTACTACCGGGTATACGCAGTGAAAGGGTTAAGGGGTTATGGTATATGGTTATCCAGTAGTAGTACAAATGTCTACTTTAGACCCCTTTAATTTTGTGTCATTAACTTTGTCATTTGAACCTTCGTCATTCAACTTGCTATTCCTCTTCTGAGGCTCTATCATTATATTTGTCATTTGTATGGTGTACATGTACATCTGTCATTCTCTTTTTGTCATTCTCCTGATGAACAGGTGTCATTCTTCTTTTTTTTGTCTTTTTTGGTTCAGTCAGAGCAGAACAGTAGGATGTTTCACCCCATTTCATTCTTTTTGTCATTCTCCTAGTCAACCTGAGTCATTCGTCTGGTGAACCGGTCATTGTGTTGGTCATTCATCTGGTGAACAGGTCATTGTGTTGGTCATTCGCCTAGTGAACCTCATTCGATTGTCATTCATCTGGTGAACCTCTGTCGTTCTCTTTATCATTCCTTTTCTGAACCTCTGCCATTTAGTTTGTCATTCGCCTGGTGTACCTCTGTCATTCTCCTGGTGAACCTGTCATTCTCTTTGTCATTTGCCAGGTGAATCTGACAATCTCCTGGTGAACCGGTCATTCATCTCTGTCATTCTTTTTGTCTAATGTCTGGTAAACCTCTGTCATTCTTTTTGTCATTTGTCTGGTGATACTGTGTCATTACATGTAGCTTTATCATTCGTCAATTAAACCTTTGTCATTTGTATGGTTTACTCCTGTCATGCTCTCTGACATCCGCCTGGGGAACGTGTAATTCTCTTGGTCATCTGTCTGGTGAACTTGTCTTTCTTTTTGTCATTCCTCCTGAGTGTCATCCATCCAGTGAACTCTCATTCGTCTAGTGAACTCCTGTCATTCTTTTTGTCATTTGTATATTGAAACTCCTCATTCTCTTTTTCATTCCTCAGAAATTAATGCCAGTTTTATTAATACTTAGGGGTGGACTGACAGTGATCAAGGTCCCTGGGGGAAGAAAGGGGCATTGACCCCATAAAGCACCCCACTCAAAGACCAATTCCATAAACAAAGCTAGGAAACATTCCATAATTAACAAAGCTATGTAATCATACCTGATTCTATTCTTATACAGTCACATAACAAATATAAAATAGTATTACAAAAACAGTTATTCAGACAAAGTTCGTATATCATATCAGTTTCTAGTTTGATTGATCCTCAATCTCAATATAAACTTCACTGGGGGGCGGGCTGGGATCTCGATGTCACCACTAATAATTGCATATTCATTAAACCCATTCTATGAAATGATTTACATGTAATTGTGTCGTCCTACAGAGATAAATTATTGTTTAGAAATTTCTTGTCATTGTATTGTTATGCGTCGTTCAGATTGAGATTAGGGAGTCTTACTACTCAAGTTATTGATCCATTGATTGAAATTTGGTGTGTGGATACAAAGTCCCCTGAAAAAGTCTTTACGACCGTGGGAAGTGGTGGAGATACAACTGTGTACCGCCTAAACCATTACTTATGAACACTATCCTTACTGCACAGATACTGTCAGATGATCCATTGAACTTACATATATGATATGATATATAATATATGATATGATATTATTGTATATAGAAAATGGACGTTCTTCATTAGGAGTTCCGAGTGCAGGGTCCATAAAAACACATATTTACAATTGACCACTAGAATTCTGTTTCAAAAAGTTGAATATACCTTTGATAGTGTTGCTACCAGAAAATATATCACTGAGCTAAATAAAATTAGGAATAAAACCCAGCGTTTTCGTAACACCCTGAATCCAAACATTGGTATCGTAAACAGGACATACTGAATTTATTTCAAAAGTTTCGTAAAATATCTTAAAATAAATTTGAGAAACTGGTCACTGACTGGTTTAATATTTTTTTTTTTTTAAAGATAAAAAATTATTGCGAAATGTTTTGTAGTACTTTGCATTGTAACATTATACAACAAAATACCGTCTGTTGATTTCTGAAAATACGAAACTAAAGAAGTAATAGACTTTTTGGGCCGTTCGTTCGATTGCAAACACATTGCAATTCTGGAAGTAACTGTGAATATTACCGTATACTGTATGTGTGAAGGAAAGTACACTGACGTCAGTTTATCAGTCTATTTTTAGAATATTTCTTGAGCAAACGAACACACTTTAAAGTCATTAACAGACGTTGTTGACATGAAACAAGACTGTCAATGATCTGCATGTGGTTGTATCATGTACTGTAGGTAGGCAATGTTAATGTACATGTACTACGTAGTATCATAATTTTTTTCACCTGATATTTTTTTTATAAGAAAAAAGTAAAAATAATACGACAAGGTTCCCAACAATAGAAATCTCACAATTATAGTTTGAACTAGTTACATTTATTATAATGATTTGATGGCACAAAATATTGTCATACTCATAATATGTGTCATCAGCCAGTTGTGGTTTCTGTTTCCTTGAAGGGACAATAACACTCTTGCTGGCTTGACAGCTCCAGTAAATAAATATTAGCCTTATTCTAAGTATTAGATGTTTAAGTATCCTACCTGTTGTGTAAATTATCCATTACATCCAGAGGGTTCAAAAATATTTTTAAATCCAAATTCCAAGACACATTTGAAAAGGTTTACGTTAGTCTTTTCAAATCATTTAGTTGAATTTTTCCAATTTTTTAAATTAGGTGTGTTAAGATGAAATTTGTATCATCAATTAATTGGAATACTGTAAAATAGTACAATTTGTTGACCAGAATAAAGATTGGGACATATTATTCTGTTACAACAAGAGTGGTATTGAGCCTTTAATTATTATTGTCAATAATATTGAAAGATCAGTAGGGTGCCAGTTAAGTCGTCCACACGCAAACTCTTCCACAACCACTGGTTAAGTCGTCCACAAGGTCTTACTCTTAGTTATGTCGTCCACAATTAGGCTAGGCTAATGGTTTTTATTATTTATTATTATTACAGCAGATTAATAGTGCACCCTTTCATATCACATGTTCAGGGGCACTTTACCGTGCTGTGAATTTTGGGGGAACCAGTAAAAAAACGTAGTCTCCATAGGTGTGTGGGCAACTCACAACCAATGTATTTTGATGTTTGTGGACTACTTAACCTAAGAGTTTGCTTGTGTTTGAGTTAACTGGCATTCAATCAAAATCCATTAACATGGTACTCATGGTAGATCACTAATACTATTCTAAATGGATGGACTTGTATTTCATTTTTCTATAAATCAGTTAAAAAATAATTAAACTGCAGTACAAGCAGGAAGTTATGCTTTATTACTCACTAGACAAATTACTGACAGTAGGCCCTATACTGTGCATTACAAAGAAAAAACACAATAGTGAAAAACGTTTGCAAGAAATGAAATTCACTTTTCTTCCCCTTTGCAGTGTTTGTAAATATACTTATAATATTAAAGTCTAAATATATGACTTTAGATTGTGTTTGATACATGTTGGTATACACATACGCCTACATCTGATTTTGGCCATCTTTTGTTTACATTCATGACACATATATTTTGTGTTGGAGTGTTGGAATTCATGGTTATGCAATACATGTATATTCATATATAATATCAAACACAGCTATCAAAAGTGATAATTGTGCATGTGCTGCAAATTCATAACAGCATTCGGGATTGGTCTATCATGAAGTAATTATTTAGTGACAACATTAAATGTTTTGTTAATGGTGATGGTCATTAGAATATATTTATTATCCTTTGAACAGCACTGTCAGCAGATGAACCAAAAAGGCATTCCTATTCTGAATATCCTCTCTTGTAGTAAATGTTTGTGTTGTTTTTATCCAATGCTTTATTTATGTGTCGAAGTGATTTACTTTAATGGCGTTGGATTATTGACTATATATTCAAAATTTCAAAATCTATAAATTAATTCATACATGTACTTGATTATCACTAAAGTATATATATAATGTCATGTGTTATACATGTATTTGCAGGTAAATATTGTAAGAATAAGACTGAGTTAACATAATTCACGCAACAAATGTAAAAGAATAGAAATGGCTTCTGAAGGACAACAGACAAGATATTCAGTAAATCTTAATGTTCCTCAAATGCCCAGAAACTTTAATATGGCGCACATGGCACAGGGCCTACTACCAAATTTGCCATCACAATTTACTAGACCAGTACGCCCAGTTTTCCACCATGGACCACGTCTTGAAGGAATGAGACCATCGTCAGTTGTTTTAAACATGGACAGTATGGCTCCCGAGTTCATGCAGGCTCGCAGTAATCTACCACCACATTTAAACCTACAACAACAATTTGATTTACAACAGCAATTGGCTAGTTTACATGATATCAATCAGAATACCAATGGTACCGCCACAAATCCTCAAGAAGAACCTCCACCATCACCAAATGGTGGTTTAGAGAATCAACTTGATTGGCGTCTGTTTGTATCCTGGTTACAGAACTCTGGCATATTTATTATTTTGTTATTTCTGAAACTAATGTATGATCACAGATTGGGTAAGTTATTGATAAATGTACTGTGTATACATGTATGTTCATTTACTAAAAATCTTATCAGACATACTATTTTTCAATAACTGCTCCATAGTATTTTCAAAAGGTTCCAGATTGTTGCAGGAACCCTTACATTGATGTGATATCGATTCATAATGTTGATATGATTCAATAATACAGTTGAGTCATGTATCTTTCTCTGTGCCTGTACCACCTCTAAATCGATCATTGCATTCTTGCTGGTGTATAATAGAACATTGTACTATATATAATATATTTCAGTACTGTTTGTATTTTTCAGGAGTTTTGATTTTTTTAGCTTTAGGTGGAACATTTTACTATGTAAACCAAAAATTAGTTGCCAGTATTCATCAGTGTTCAGTGAGGGTAAGTCGGTGAAGTGCAAAAATATGAAAACTAATGATTTTAATAATGATAATAATAAATGTAGTATACCTACCGACATTTAATGAAACCATAAACCTAATGATTTTAAAGTAACGATGCATAATTTGCATTTTTCGAAAAATATCGAATTTCCCATGTCTTAGTCCACCCAGATATGTTCTCAGGATTCCGATTGATTATTAAAACGTTTAATAGATATTTCCAGCTAGCATTCGTCAGATTAAAAACGGTCCCATTAATTAGTTTTGCGACCAATAAAGGCTTGTTACATAGAAAGCAGCATAGTTCGATGGAATTTCAAATCATCATATTTTTATACGCCCACATTATCAGTAAAGTAAAAATATGTGACAACTCTTGTTGCCTGCCCAGACGATTTAGCTGCTGTGGGCGTATGTTTCGTTGCTTGGCAACCTATCTTTGTATCTAGGGTACTTGCTTATCAAAATACCAAAATTCTTCCAAAATCGGAACTGCAGGTCTATGCGAAAATCAATAATCAATCCAAGATGGTGGCAACAGCGTGAAATGGCTTAAAATGCCAAATATCTCCGAAAGGAAGTGTTTTAGACCATATAAAAGTACTATGAATCAATATAAAAGTGATATCACTGAATCATATGGTGGGGTCAAATTGTTGCTATGATGTCATAGTGGCGTCATAATGCAATTTGAGTCAGAAAATCCAAAAATTAAATAGAAATGCCATTGAAATAAAGTAAGAATAGATAGAGGTACTATTGCACTGTATGCATGAAGTATTAAGAAAATCGATCACCAATCCAAGATGGCGGATAGTGACGGGAAATGGCCAGATCAATACTTTAGCGAAGGTTTGATCAGTGGAAAAGAAACTAAACAATAACTATAAGTTGCGTCGTTAGGACAAGCTATTGTACAGGTGATAAGACCAAGGGCTTTGATAGCACCCTTACAGCTAGGATAAGCGCTCCATGGAATGGGGATAATCGCTGCAGTAACATCACAAAACCAGATTGCTAAGAAAATTCCACATACATGTATAGATATGGGGAAGTTAGGTGTAACGGGTCAGAGTAAAATTGACATAAAAACACTACCACCATTCGGGACAGACCCGCAATCTTAGTTTTGATGCTCTTTTGAAAGTGTCAATTTGCCCGGAGATTGATATGTTATGGAAACTCAAACCTCGTCATAATACTCCCAACTAGGGAGGAAGCATGAGTCTGATTTACAAAGACCATGCTCACCATGGACAATCCTCGGTGTATTTCCTAAATATGATAGATATGCATTCTAGTGACAACACGTGTATATTTTCGATATTGTCATATCTATCAAACCTAGCTCACAATTACAAGCCATTATAACGTTCGACCAACCACTCTTCTGGAAGGCATCGGAAATTCTGAATGATTTGAATGATGATAATGATTTGAAAAATATTGACCAAGGGCTGTGATAGCACCCTTACAGCTAGGATTAGCGGTCCAATTATATTACCATCTAAGACAGCGACATGTTACCGATACATTAAATACTATAGGGTTTTGCTCATCGTACAGCGAGGTTCTCAGATTCAATTTGAATGCTGCCTGCTCTGATGCAGATATGCCAATTGGGGGGATGTCTGAACAAATGGCCCTCTTGTTTGCAGCTGATAATGTCGATCATAATAAAGTCCAAGACGAGTGAATTATGGTTTGGTTTTCGATATATTTGATGCAAGCAGCTTGAAATTTAGTTTGAGGTGACAGAATGGGTGACTGGCAGATTCATAAAGCGGCTGTGTACGATTGTCTGGAAATTTTTGGGGCTGCAGGACATTTCAACTACCTAAAATCAGCATATATGTACCTTCAAAATATGTCGAAATTAGAAACCACGTAACCTAAAGTAAATGCAATGTTTGAACAAGGACTCTTCGTATTAAGAAGAACCGAAAAATTCTGGGCCGGGCTTGGATTGGATCTAGGTATTGAACAGCTCCCCATGAGGGCCCTCAAAACTTCAGGAGGTTTAACCAGAGGCAGTATCATGACTGAAAGACAAATCGCTTTGTGGACAATGTCAATGCCTGTTTGCTCTCAATATACAATCAGGCAATGCAAGATTTCACAGGAAAGATGTTTGAAACCAGCACAAAGAAATGAAATGAAATGGGGTTTAACGTCCTACTGTTCTGCTCCTAAACTGGGCTAATGAAGACGGGCATACGCCATACAGTGTGCTATGACTATGAGGGAAATTTTGCCCGGGCAGCGGCACTATCGCCTACTGTTATATATATCGAATTCCAACTGCCAAGGGATCTTTTACGTGCATTCCAATGTAAACACGGGACCTCGGTTTTTCGTTTCATCCGAAGGACTAGACAGCTGTCCTTGTCAGGCCCTCTGTCCTGCATCACTGACAAGGGGGAACCACCCCGGAAAATCTGGATGAACTTTCTCGGCCGATGCAGGGATCGAACACCTGACCTCCAGGCTAGCAAGCCAGCGTCTTAGCCACGTGATCCCCCCAGCACAAAGAAACGATGCCATGCCGGATAAAGCATGACACAGAAGATTCTTCAAAGGTTTTCGGCAAATTCGACGACAACAAGTACTCGCCTTTGATCACATATCCCTGTTTGGGGATAATCATCTATGGTTTGGAAATCTAATAAAGTACATTTTACTCTCGACAACATATTTCATGGAAAAAAGGAAGAAATATTGACCTGGATGTCTGTATCTGGTGATATGGTGGCGACTGATTGGGGATGGATATAATATAAACTCTTGCTTTTACCAATGATAACTGATAAACTTCATGCACCGGACGAATTATTGAGAATAGCTCACTGTAACTTCACCACACACTGCGACAGTATGAGGTGTGGGTGTTGACAATACAGACTCTCCTGCACTAGCGCATGTGGTTCTTGCCAAACTGACAATTGTGATAATAGCATCAAACCTGATATTAATGGAGATGGAGAGGATGTTGATGCACTACCTGACATTCAATAGTATATAATTTAAATAAATGAATTGGGGTTTAACATCCTACTGTTTTGATCTGACTGGGCTAATGACATCCTCGATATCCCCAGTGGTTTCATTCCGTTCTACTCCACTACCCCCTGGGTTAATCTATGGGGGAGACACGTTTTCAAGTTATCCACCCTTGATGGTTGTGCTATTTTTATCGCCCAATACCATATATTATGTTCTCCAGATTTTGATTGTTTCTGTGTGTTTGAAGTATATGTTTGTGATATGCGCTTAGAAACACTTCACGTGTAATGAAGCGCTATTATAAATCGAACAATAATAATAATAATAATATATCATTAATTGGAAAGGAAGTTGGCAAAGGGAAGTAACTCTCAACGGACAAGGCTAGGAGTTAGCTTAAATGAGAGAAGTCCAAATTATGCGTATTTATTAACAACAAAGTATATAATATTATATCAATGAAGACCGTGCGTTTATGTAGGTTCAAGAGTTTTATTGAGAATTGTTCGTTCGCTGAGTTTTACGTCCACCTGATATCGTAGACAAGTTATTGAGAATCAAATGGCCAAGTTCAATAATGATAAACATAACAGAATGAAAAATTTCAGACAAATAACGAATAGTAATAACAATAACAAAAGTCAAACATATAGATGTTATACATACTTGAAATCAGCGAAAAATACTACAAATTTTAATAATACAATTAAATAAAATTGAATTACAAATATATACATTACTTACATAAATCATTCAGTAAATGGACATGAATATGGTTATCTACCCTTATAAAAACGAAGGCGAAACGACAGGTTTGTAAACTGTTTTTTGATTGTTTCGTAGACTATAGCTACAATTAAGGCCAGGGCAGATAATTTGAAATCGTGGAAACCCTATGGATTAACCCAGTGTAAAGTGGAGTAGAACGTAACAAGTACACTGGGGATACCGATCATGGGCTAATGAAGACCAGTATGATTTAAATAAGACACTTAATATATAAAGTGTGATAGTACCACCATTTATTCTTACTTTAATTAGGGGGCTTGGATGGCCGAATGGTTAGCATGCGCGCGCTGTATCATACGGTCTGTCATTGAGTCAACTGGCGTAGTTTCGATTCCCCGGTTGTACGTGGCAAGGAGTAGGGTCGCCTGTCCAACCTCGTGGGTTTTCTCCGGGTCCTCTGGTTTCCTCCTACTGCTAAAGACCCCTACGCGCAAAAATAAATTATTGAAATAAAATTGAACCATGTGTTAGTCCGTAAATGACCTAGTTTGTGTCGAGTGGACATTAAACCTCATTTCTCTCTCTCTCTCTCTCTCTCTTACTTTAATTTATTAAAAGGCATTTCTATCAATTTGTGTATTTTCAGATTTAATATTGCAATATGACGTCACTTTCTTTTTAATTTCTTCCTTTTCTGACTCAATATTGCGTTATGACGCCACCATGACGGCATAGCAACAATTTGACCCCATCATCTGATTCAGTGATATCACTTTTATGTTAACTTATAGAACATTTATATGGTCTAAAATACTTCCTTTCGGAAATATTTGATATTTTAAGCCATTTCACGCTGTCATCCGCCACCTTGGATTGATTATCGATTTTTGCATAGACCTGCAATTCCGATTTTGGAAGACATTTAGTATTTTGATAAGCAAGTACGACAGATACAAAAACAGTTGAATGCAGCTTTCTGCAAATTTATTCTGGGTCATAGTGGGCCTGTTCCATAGATTTACAGGTCTAGTAGTATTATAAATCTTACACGTTTATTACTGTCATGATTCTTTATATTTCAGGAATCTGGAAATAAAAGATATCTTTTACAACTTGGGGGACTTGTTTTCTATCTATTCATTAATATGGCTTTTGTTTATTATATGTTTTCTGATCAAGCGTTATGGAAATCGTAAGTGGAAGTTCTATAATGCTTTTTTTTTATACGCCCACATATTCATGTATCAGACTGTAACTTCATGGATTATGGCCCCTGATTGTGCACAATTTTTATCTGATTTCAATGAAACTTGAAATATAGGTTTATCACCCTAAGATCTCGGTTCCTTTCGATATTGGCATGTATTCGACTGTAACTTCATGGATTATGACCCCTGATTGTACGGAAAATCATGTTTTTAGAGGTAACAATTTTTATCCGATTTGGTTTAAACTTGAAATGTATGTTTATATTCGTGCATATCGGACCATAACTTCCTGAATTATGGCCCATGATTGTACGAAAAATCGCGTTTTTAGCTTGTGGTCCCTCAAAAGGTCACAATTATTATCCAAGTTCGAATTACGTGAAAATCGGGCCAAAACTGACAGACAAAATGGCCGCCCCTCGTATGCAAATAGTATAAACATCTGGTAAATCAAGGTTGTGGACCCTCTAGAGGTCACAATTTTGATCCGATTTCGATGAAACTTGAAATACATGTTTATAACCCAAAGATATTGGTTGCTTTCGATATTCGCACATATCGGATTGTAACTTCCTGAATTATGGACCTTGATTGTACGAAAAATCGCGTTTTGAGCTTGTGATCATGTGAATATATTATTACAGTTATACACTAATGATAGTTGAGTTTGAATTTCGTGAAAATCAGAAAAGGTTGTGGGCCCTCTCTAAGAGTCCACAGTTTTTATCCGATTTGGATGAAACTTTAAATATATGTTTTTATCATAAAGATTGTACGAAAAATCGCGTTTTGAGCTTGTGATCATGTGAATATATTATTACAGTTATACACTAATGATAATTGAGTTTGAATTTCGTGAAAATCAGAAAAGGTTGTGGGCCCTCTCTAGAGTCCACAGTTTTTATCTGATTTGGATGAAACTTTAAATATATGTTTTTATCATAAAGATCTTGGTTCCTTTTGATAATCACACATATCCGAACATTCCACCATAATGAAGGGTGAGTTGGAATTTCGGGAAAACCGAAATGAAACTGACATACAAAATGACCGTTCTTTGTATACAAATTGTATATAAGTATGTAATACAAAGGTTATGGACCCTCTAGATGTCACAATTTTTATCTGATTTTGATAAAACTTAAAACATATCTTTATATTCCAAAAATCTCAGTCCCTTGCACATTTCAGACCATATCTTTCTGGATTTCAAAAAATCGTTTTTGTTTTTGGCTTGTTCTTAGGGTTACATTGAGCACCGGGGGCGTGAACTTACTAGAGGGGTTTGGGGGCATGTCCCCAACTCCCCCCCCCCAGAAATTGTTTCATTTCTACAAGCCGGGAGATGCGTTTTCAGCCATTTTGTGACAGTAGTTACACTAAAAATATATGTTGTTGAATGGGTCATTGACAGGCATTATTTTAGTAATATTTGTAGGAGCCCGTCCAGTTTTAAGCCAATCTGTTTCACAGAGGATTACAAAAGTCTTCTAATATCTCTGTAAAAGATGATTGCCTTCAACACGTGACGTCACATCATGCGACTTCAGTCATTGGCTCAATGGCGCGTGCATTGTTTACATTACTCATTTTAATACCCATTTACAATAAATGGGCATTTGTTAACCAGTAAAGAATTTGTGAGACTGATAAATTGAAAGATACAATGTCATACAATCGATGACTTGTCAGACTTGTCTGAAATTTGCATGTAATCAAATGTGAATAAATAGCCAATCTGATTTAAATACAGATCCAATTTTCAGAGGGTTTTTTTATGTTTTGTGTGGGAGGTCACATATAATTAACCATTGCCACCATAGAAATGTGGTCTTATATTGCCTTTGTCCCCATCCATAAATTCACAATTCCTTGTGAAAACTCTAAAGATGAAATTTATGGTCTAATCTTTTTAAAATTTATATGTGTTTGCATTTATTAGTGAGAAACCATTTGTAGAATCTTGTGACCATTCTTAACAAGTGTCATCCGCTGTATTTGAAAAATATTTGCATTATATAAATTAGTGAAATGAAAAAGCCTATTGAATCTCAACAATATCCCTTTATTACTTCTAGAGTTATGTCCCTTATCCTAAATTGATGTTCTGCATTTTTGAATAAAAATAAACCTTCAAAATTTCATTTTCTGTTAAACTTTATTTTCAGATTAATATTTAGAACACCTAATGTAGCAGGGTTTGATATTTGGACCTTATTATGGGTTGTTTTAATCAATGATTATATGATTAAGTTTGCTACAGTCATAATAAAAGCCTTCATTACTATGATACCTAGTCAGTTATTAAAACACAGAAGAAGGGTATGTAATCTTGTTACTGTGTACTCTAACCTAATTTAAATTGGTAGATGTAAAATTTAACTTGTTAATAAACAGTATTGACACAACTTTTGTGAATGATCAGTGATAGAGACTGGATATTTGTACTATAGCTTAACCTGGTTGATAGTCATATGTATGGAAATGAGAATTATCACAAAGATGATATATATACATTATTTGGCGCCTCATGGTTTGGGATATCATCATCAGCAGTTACCGACTTTATTGATTAATTTTTATTTGGCATGGAAGCTGATATTTTCATATCGGACCATGTAATTCCAAAGTAAATCATAGTAGAATATCCCCAGTAACAAACTTGACAAGACTGTGTGAAATAATAAAATAATCTATCCAGAACGCTCTTGTAACCAGCCTATGAATGAAGGGCACATTGCCCGAAAAATATTCTGGATAAATTATTTTATTAATTCACACAGTCTTGTCAAGTTTGTTACCAGGGATATTCTACTATGATTTATCTACATGTACAAGGAATGGTTCCTGTCTTTCCTCAGATGCATCACTGAGATCCAAACTTGCCTTTACTGTTATAGGGACTCTTCCGCCCTTCTTTTCCTATTGTAGGTGTGGTTTTATCGTCTGCTTGGGATTATTTAATTCCAAAGTAGTCGCCAATTCTCACTAATCACTCAAGTATTTTGTATATTTTGAAATAGGTTTACCGGTTTTCTCTATGCAATCACGAGTTTGTTAAATGCATCTGTGTTAAAGGAGCTTATTAAACCTCTAACTCAGTATTATCCATAATAATTAAAATTATTTCGGCTAAGTAGGTACAAATGACTACCGTTCAGTTTGGACTGTTAGCCTATCTCAGCAAACATAATTGATTAGAAATTACAATAATAAATATAAAAATTGAATGTAAATCACTTTACCTACATTCATATGATATTAACTTGTGCTTTTAGATTTTAGACCCATTTTCATCTATTTTAATGTTCTATTTTACACCCTTTAATTGCAATTGCATGTAATCTACTTCATCTACAATTTCTGCCTCACAATGGTAGGGTGCTCTACCATAAAAATATCTCCAAATATATCGATAATATGCCACAATATTTGTGTAAATATAACAAGCCTTACCTTTAGCTCAACCAAATGAATGTTATAAGAAGGTTGTGAAAGCAAAAGGAAACTGATTAGTATTTTATTCTTGCCTACCTGCTGAGCTTCAGAGATATGAATTTTACTAAATCAAAAGATATATTGCTCCTAGCCATATAGTTAATAAATAAAATAGCAAATTGAAAAAAATAAAACAAACTTAATTTTCTAAAATTGTTGTACAAACAACTAACAATCAAAATATTGCTGTAATTCATAATTGTTTTTATTATTTGATAGTTGCGATGGCTATCTATAGGCTAATATAACCCATCAGTACTGCTGATAATGCATGCCCTGTGCCTCTGTCGTGTAATCACCTAAGAAATGTTCATTTCAGTCTGAACATTCACAGAAGTAAGTTCAACTTAGCGATGGTTTTCGTCAGCTTTAGAACATGAAATAAGATTTCCTTCAATTAAAAATTGTTCTGCTGTCTTACTTTGATTTATTATAATATTCTGTTACATTTATATTTACAGGGGAAATATTACATGTTTATCGAATATTTATCTCAATGTTTCCGTCAAATTATACCGATTATTCCATGGATGCACTTTCTGTCTGATGATCAACATACTGGGAAATGGTTTGCATCATTTGAAGTTATTGTATATTTATTATTTAAGGTGAGATAACTTCTTTTTTCTGCCAAAGTATTAAAAGTGAAATCAATATTTTAAATTCCTGTGGTAATAAGTTTTTAAAGATTTTTAAAGTTTTTGTATTTGATTTTCAGGTTAATATTGTGTGGGCATCCATTAGAGAATTACAAAAAGCTTTTCAGCGTCTACGTGTACATACAGTAAGTTCAACTTGTCATTAGTTTTTGTAATTATTTCCCTCAGGCTTTAAAAGGTAATGGTGTATTATATGAAATATGACTATAAAATCTGATGTGAATCCTCGTTCAGGTTACAGAGACATTTGTTTGTGAAGAATGTTACAGTCATAGTTTGTGAGGTTGTCTGTGATATGAGCTTTCCTCAGATATTTTAGTCTATTGTAGAAGATGATTATAGCTTATCATAGAGGTCTGAACCTGTTTAAAAATTGAAAATAGTATTTTATCATAGCTGATCATAGACAATTGTAGAGTATCACTGCAAATTGTAGCATTTGAGGGCAATCGTGGACTATCACAGTACCATTTCGATCTAGAGTTGTTACTTTCTACTTAGAGCAGTAGAAATTGACGCATGGTTGACAAGATACATAGGGAGTTGGGAAGGCTTAGTGGTCTTAGAGTGCTGGACTTCGACCTCTAGCTGGCCGTCACATCTGGCTTGCGGTTGTGGTTTCGATCCCTGGTGTGAGCATATGTGGCTTGGAGATAGGGGCGGGTTCTCAACCTCGTGGGTTTACTCCGGATAGGTACTCTGGTTTTCTGCCACAGAAAAGACCCCTGCGCTAAGATAATAAAAATGAAAAATAAGACTTGTCTGCGATATCACCTTTGGTGGAAGCGGACATTAAACACTAAGAACAACAACAACAAGATACATGTAGTAAGAGTTGATTCATAGTTACCTCCTAAATTGAAGATTAATGGCGTGTTAATACAACCAGAATGTTTTTTCATGTATATATGGCTGTTTGTGATATTGTATGCTGCTATTAGCTGCGATATGATAAACTATAAACTTTTTGACTTTTTTTTTTGACAATGACTTTCTGATCATTGAAAAGACTTAAGATATTTGAGGAGGCATACAAAATACATATTTAGTATTGAGTAATACAGTATGATTAGATGATATAAATCAAAATATAAATTGTCGGATATGATGATTTAATATATTATAGGTATTTGGTAGTAAACCAGGCTCAGAAGATTTAAAACAAAGAGGTGAAAATTGTCCAATATGCCAGGATGAACTTAAAGATGCTGTTATGTTAACTTGTAAAGTAAGATTATATTATTTATTATAATAAATCACCATCAGAAAGAAACCCAAAACATTTTGACTGCAAAGTTTCAAGATGGTGGAGCGAGGACATACCATATTCAATTTAATAACCAACTGGCTTCAATAATCACCCATCGCTTGACTTTTCTTAGAATTTTGAGCTACTGTGTCACTTAAAAATATATTCTGGTCCTCATTAATCACCACAGAAACTAGTTTGACAATTAGTTACTACCTGTACTCAGATCAGCATACAGTAACAAAACATGAGAATTAGTCAATAGTAAATTCCTGTGAACAGCACCTCGAAATGTTTGTGAGAAGTCAGGACTTTTTAGAAGTATCCAAAATATTTTTTTTTGGTATTGCCCAACTTGTACACTTTGTATAACAGTTATTAACTTGAATACAGAAGTAAACCAATTAATTAAAAAAGATCCTAATATATTTAGATTTTATACTTCCAATTTGGTTATTTCCAATCCAACATTATTTTTTGAGATCACTCCTATTTATAAGAACTACTCATTTGAGTAAGTGTTGACAGTGATTAATTGAGAATAATTAGTTCTATTGATTCAGAAATGTGTTGTGTGTTCATAGGGTTAACACACTCTGTAACATAATAAATGTTGTCTGATGTAAAACAAATTTAAATGTATAATATAAAACGTAATGAAATTTGATCTACCTAGTCTGGTATAGGTCTGCACACAACCAGCTTTATTTGTCATTTATGGTAATCATTAGTTTTCCCAGTCAGTGTACACATATATTTAGTTCATCAGATTGGACATAAGCTTCAATAATATACACAGTTCCAGAATCATGGTAAGATGTGGCCCCTCAGTTATATAAGTTCACTCCTTCCTCATCAATATAAATCATTGGCAGTAATGGGTCATTCCATGTCAAGTGGGTCAATTTTCAGAAATTTGGGAAATCGCCCCCCTCGAAAAAATCTGGAAAAAATATATGTTATTGTACATGTAAAAACTAGAAACTGTGCAAAATTTGTATTCTGTAGCTTAAAATTTGACTGAGATACGGGCATTTGAGTTTCATGAGTTACCAATAAGTTTTCGAAACAAAATATTTGTGTAGATTACGAATCTGCAGTCAGATTACATGTTAGTGGTAGGGTTCGCATACTACTTGGCCATAAAAACCGAAAACAATTTGGTGTAATTGTATATTTTTAGGATTTTGTAGTGCTCCAGGAGCTACAAGGTAATAGGCCCATAGTTTGGCCTATCCAGAGATTGCCGGTAGTACTACATAAGAAACATATGAGAACTCATCAGTCTTCACGAGATTCCCAGAAAATTGGCTTCGATGGTTTTAGACACAAATTTTTGAAAAGTGCCTCATATTTTCGATCCGAAAGAACCTGGTAGATGACCACCTAAAATTCTGAAACTTGGTGTAATTATAGTTTGTACTAAAATAATGTCTCCAACATATTATTATGTTAAAGCCATTATTGTCCCATTTTGTCAATTTTTTCAAAATGTGTAGTTTGAGTCATTCCATGTCAATTATCAGTGTTTTATCACCCATGAAGTTAAACCGTACCCATTTCGATTTTGCTGAAATATGGTTTATAATATGTTTATTAGGGCTGAAAAAGCTGATATTCCTAATTTTAGCTTGATCCGACTAATGGTTCCTGAGGTACAGTCCACCCAATTTGGGGGATTTCGGCCAAAATGGGCATGGCCGCTATTATTCAAAAGACCATAACCCAGTAACCGATAGGTCAAAATTGCTGGAATGGGAAAGCAGATGTCTTGCTGTTTGAATCAAGTTATCTATCTTTAGGAAAGTCTGCGGCAGGTTACTATGTATCATCAGAGCTTATATGAACATAATCCTGCTTTAAGTGCAAAGACACTAATTTTCAGTCTTAAGTGTGTATATAGAATTGATTTTGCATGTTTATAAAAAATATTGTACCTCCAATTGTTTGACATTGTGTAGAAAACATGTTGAGCTAAATTTTTCATGAAAGGTCATCTCAAGGTCACATGGTCTACAAGGTCAAATTCAAAGTCAAAAGGTCTTCACTTGTGGAATTCCCATACCAAAAATACTTATGCCAGCAATTTTGACTTATTGGTTACTGGGTTATAGTCATTTGAGTAATGGTGACCTCGCCTCGAATAGAATATTGAGATGGCATGGGACAAAAATGGTTTTAACATATACTAGAGACATTAGTACAAACTATAATTCCACCAAGTTTCAGATTATTAGGTGCTCATCTACCGGGTTCAATCGGCTCGAAAATATGATAATTGACATAGATTGACCCTAAACACAGATTTTGAAAAAAGTGAAAAAATATCTAGATGGCATGGGACAAAAATGTCTTTAACATATGTTGGAGACATTAGTACAAACTATAAGTATAATCACACAAAGATTCAGATTTTTAGGTACTCATGATCTACCAGGTTTCTTTCGGCTCGAAAATACGAGGCAATTTTCAAAAATTTGTGTCTAAAAAAACCATATTCGAGGCCAGTTGTCTGGGAATCTAGTGAAGACTTGTGCATTTTCATATGTTTATTATGTAGTACTACCGGCAATCTCTGGATAGGCGAAGATTTGGGTCTATATCTATTACTTTGTAGCTCCTGGAGCACTACAAAATCCAGAAAATGTACAATTACACCAAATTTTTTTTTCGGTTTTTATTACCAAGTAGCATGCAAACCCTACAACTCACCTGTAATCTGATTGCAGATTTGTAATCTACACAAAAAGTTCTTTAAGACAACCAAATGTGAGCTTCATATATATTATCTTCACTAGAAAGGTAAAAATAAGATATCTGAAACTCGAGTAAATTATTGATACAAATTTTGCACAGTTTCTAGTTTTAACATGTAAAAAAATATATATTATTTTTTCGAGGGGGGGACCACCCCTGGCCCACTTGACATGGAATGACGCTAATGACTTTGATTGTTGTTTCCTGCTATTCCAACTAATGTCTTTGATTGTTCTTTCCTGCTATTCCTTCCTGAGTTCTGTTATATATATCCAAAAATATTAGCACAACCATAAAGCTGCACTACTATGTTTCACGGTAAACAATGAAAAGATAAAACGTATTCCAACACAAACTGATTTCAACACTTGTTTAATAACATTTTAATATTTTAAAGTACTTTTCGTTCGTCTTTGGACTATTCATAAATAATGTCATTGTATGACGATGGACACAATAGTATATTTATACATATTTACATAGTAACACTGGGGTTTTAATTGGCTATAGTTACCATTGTAATATATGGTTACATAGTATATCCGTAACTAACAGAAAACATGTACACACGTGTGTTAATCTGTTGTAGATAGGATATAATTTAGGAACAAAGAGTGGAAGATGATCCAGGGATAGATTTTGAAAAATTAATGAAGTTAATGGCCAATTGTTAATTATTGACTATTAAGTTGAGGAACATATTTTTTAATAAAATGGTTTCCCATAACGCTGGCCAAGTCAATGCCATATTCTGGTCCTGCCATCTGCAGTTGATATGCAAAACCAACTCTCATCTGTGAACAGAACAGTTCTCCATTGCCTGTGTTGCAAGTTCTGGTGTTGTTGGGCAAACTGTAGACGTTCACGTCGATGGCGAGAGGTGAGCATCGGTCCACGGTAAGGTCTATGGCAATGGATGTTCTGTCTGGTGAGATGTTGGCGCACTGTATCGGTACTGATGGGTCTTCTCTGTGTTCCCACTGTCTGACGTGCTGTCTCAGATGCCTGTGTGAAGGGATTCTGTGAAGGCGGTCTTGTCGCCTTGTGGTATCCCTTCGTCTACCAGTTCGGGGGCGATCATCTGTGGTGTTGGTGGCCCAAAAGCATTGCTGCAGCCTGTAGATGATCCAAACATTGACCTGGAAGTGATTGGCAACGGCTTGGGCAGTGTGACCAGCATAGAGTCTTCCAAGCGCCTGGTTCCTCTAAGGTGGCATCCTGCTGATATTGTAGTGTGAATGATTCAACCAGGTATGAGGGTGCATTTTATAGGGCTGGTTCCGGTGAACAGCACGTGCAGCATGAGTTACATGAAAATCATGGAGAACACATTACCATCTCAGAAGTCAGGTTGCGTTTTTGAGAACATTTCCTGGGTCCAATTCTGTGTTTCGGAAGAACCCTTATTGCCCAGGAAAAGTTGGAGATGTGGTCACAAATAAACAATAAAAATATTTGGCAAGTTTTATGCAATGCGTCTATTCAGAGTAACATACTAACCTGATGTTTCTTTTGCTGCTTATTATATTTACAAATAAGAGCCAATTTCAGTATTACAATTCCATCGATGATTGGGTATCCTGTAAATGTGGACCGTCTCCCCGATGTAAAATGTTTTACAATCATTTATAAGTCAAAACATATGTTTTTTGTGTCACAATTCATATTGTAGTTGACACTAAAAGTAAAGTTATGAAAATTATATGATCGCAACTTTTACATCGAAGATCAGGGCATTTAGATACATAAAAACTGGTCTTTGTGATAGATGAATTGAATTTGGCTTTGGTTAGGTGGCGTTTTAGATTTGGTGGCTGTCTTTGTGATTTAATGAATTGAACATTATCAAATCTCGTTCTGAGGTTGTTGTTTGATGCCAGGATTGCCCTGCTCTCGTGCATTGTTTTAAAGAATTTGGGATTTTGAGGGGTTATGAGTAACGACAAAGGTAATGATATTATAGAATCTGTCTTTTGCTTTAGTAGCCCTCAATGTTAAGACATCAATTGCCAAAGCCTTATTTATCCCAACTTCTATTACCTCGAGGAAGTAATGCTGTTTCAATAAATTTCTATTTAGCTTAGCTAATCTGACAATCCAGAGGTCTTCATCTATCACAATGGTGCATATTTTTCTAACTAAAGAAAAGGGTATATTATTTTTGGTATGGTGTCGGTGACATGATTTATAAGAGAGATAGTTTTTATACGCCCACATTGAAATGTAGATGTATATTGCCGTCGCCCCCGTCCGTCCATCTGTCAGTCGGTCCGTCGTCCACAATTTCTTGTGAACGCTCTAAGTCTAATGCCAAAAGTTATTATCCAATTATTGTCCCCCGCCTTTCGAAGAAAGCAGGGGACTATTAAAATGGGTTCGTCCGTCTGTCTGTCCGTCTGTCTGTCCGTCCGTCCGTCTGTCTGTCCGTCTGTCCGTCCGTCCGTCTGTCTGTCCGTCACACTTTTTGGGACACAATAACTCTCTTCCTACTTGGTGTATGTGTTTATTAGGTCAATGCCTTGATGGAGTTCGAAGATGAGCATTTTCCGCTTAGGGTAAGCAGAGATAAGCAATTTGATTGGTTGATACTTTGGGGCACGATAACTCTCTTCCTAATTGAGCTAGAATGTTCAAACTTGGTGTGTGTGTTGATTAGGTCAATGCCTTGATGGAGTTCGAAGATGAGCATTTTCCGCTTAGGGTAAGCAGAGATAAGCAATTTGATTGGTTGAACTGTTTGATTGTTCAATACTTTGTAAAAGATAATTTGTGATAAATTTATATGTGTCCTCTAATTATTTTCCTATTTCGGCGGGGGACATCAGCCTCACTGTTGGCTTGTTTTAAAATTGATATATGTTGTTTACATTAGTGAGATGAAGAAGCCTATTTAATTTCAATAATTTCCGTTTATTACGTCTAGAGTTATGGCCCTTGTTTCACTTTGTTGAACCTTGTGAACGCTCTAATGCCAAAAGTTAACTTCCGATCTTTGTGAAATTTATATGCAATATTTAAGTTAATGAAACAAAGAAGCCTATTTAATTTCAACAATTTCTGTTTATTACGTCTAGATTTATGGTCCTTGTTTCACTTTATTGAACTTTGTGCCTTGTGAACGCTCTAACACCAAAAGTTATCACCCAATCTTTGTGAAATTTATATGCATGATTTGAATTAGTGAAACGAAGAAGCCTATTGAATTTCAGCAATTTCCGTTGATTACTTCTAGAGTTATGGCCCTTGGTTCACTTTGTTGCACCATGGGAATGCTCTAACGCTTTGCCGATCTGTATGAAATTTACATGTGTCATTTAAGTTAGTCAAGAGAAGAATCCTATTGAATTTCAGCAATTCTCGTTTATTACTTCTAGAGTTATGGCCCTTGTTTCACTTTGTGAATGCTCTAACCTCTAAAGTTAACTGCCAATCTGTACAAAATTTATATGTGCCATTTAAAGGTCACCGGAAAAGCATCATTTTTTTTTTAAATAATGCAAGTAATTATGTCAACATATCCTTTCCATAAGTATAACCCGAGCCCGAACGTCAATATTACCTGCAACAGGTAAATTTCAACATTAGTAATTTCCGCCGTTCTCCGTCGGTAGTCGGAACTTTCCGTCAATAAGCAATCCGTGTCGTCATTTTAGTCCTTCTGCACATAGAAATATAGACTAGAATATGAGCAGAGGGACTAAAATGACGTCACATTTATGGAAAGTTACGACTACCCACGGAGAATGCGCGGAAATTGCTAACGTTGAAATTTACCTGTTGCAGGTAATACTGACATTCGGGTTCGTGTTATACTTATGGAAAGGATATGTTGACATAATTACTTGCATTATTTAAAAAATTTATGAACCTTTTCCGGTGACCTTTAAGTTAGTAAAAAGAACAATCCTATTGAATTTCAGCAATTTCCGTTTATTACGGCTAGAATTATGGCTCTTTTGACTTTATTGAACCTTGTGAACGCTCCAACACTGAAATTTATCATCGGATCTTTGTGAAATTTATATGCATTATTTAAATTAGTGACACTACGAAGCCTATTGAATTTCAGAAATTTACAATAATTACTTCTAGAGTTATGGCCCTTGTTTCACTTTGTTAAACCATATAATTGTTAATGCTCGATTGATGAAAGTTATCATCCGATATGTATGAAATTTATATGCATCAATAATTTCTAGAGTTACGGCGATTGTGAACCTTGTGAACGTTTGAATGACAAAAGTGATCATGTGATCTGTATGAAATTTATATGCATTATTTAAATTAGTAAAACGAAAAAGCCTGTCAAATTTCAACAATTTCTGTAGATTACATCCAGAGTTGAGACCCTTGTTTCAGTTTGTAGAACCTTGTAAACCCTCAAACAACAAAATTTATAATCTGATCTGTATGGAACTGTCTTGTAAAGGCCCCCAATTACCTATAAAGGAATAAATATGCGACAAACCTTGTCGACCGCTCGGACGATTTAGCTGCTGTGGGCGTATCTTTCGTTGCCTAGCAATCTATCTTTGGTATCTGTTTCTTTAGAATATATATCCATTATAAGGAGTTCTCCCCTTTGTTTCACTAGAACATCCAAGAAAGCTATTTGCAGATCGTTCGTTTCAATTGTGAATTTGATATTAAGATTTAAATCATTCATTATTTGTTGCTAATCTGGAACGTTGCCAATTCATTTATTCCAAATACAGAATATATTGTCTAGGAATTGTTTCAACTGGTTTTCTAATGTTCAATTTCTACAATTGAGTATAATTTTTCAAGAAATCCCATTGTTAAATTACTTAATTGTGGTGCTGCCTTAGTACCCATCACTATGCCAAGAATCTGTTTATAATTTGTTTCGCCAAATGTAAAAGTGTTGTTAGTGAGGATGATTTGTATGGCTTTGAGGATGAAGTTATTTAAAATTCTCTCATGAATGCATTCAGGATGTTTATCTAGCCAATATTCTATGGCCTGAAAGCATAGGTCAAGGGAAATGTTGCGACACATATTACAAACATCCATGGTTACGAAAATGGCGCCATCGTTTTTTAGATTTTGCGGCAATCTATTAACAAAATCTACGCATTCCGATTAACAGATGTTACATTTGATAAGATTTGATAGTCTATTAGTAGGGCAGCACGGACCAGCAATTATTGGTCTGAATGTGAGATTGTCTGGCAGGAAAACACTGATGAATTTGTCATTTTGGTCTTTAATAGATTCCTTAATCATCTTGGATTTCTTGTATTTTTGAAAGACCATAAAACTGACTTGTTTTAAACTTGAATTTTCGGAGATAATCCTGTTCGTTGTCAGTCAGTTCATTTTTGTGATCTTGGATTAAACTGTTTATCAATCCCATTGTTCTTTTATCTCATAATATTCCACATCAATGATAACAATGTTACCCCCTTTATCGCTTTCTTTAATAATGATCGTATCGTTAGATTTTAAAGAATTTATAGCGCACTGTTCCTCCTTCGACACATTTGATTTTGCCTTGCGGTTTATAGGGAGTGACAACTTGGTTAAATAGTTGATGAAATTATTCAGCGTTAAGTCCTTGCCCTCACAATATCGTCTGGTGCAGTGTTTTCCCTATCTCCGAAAAATTTCTTTAGTGGTAGCTTCCTACAGAAGGCGTTAATATCACACTCTAATCCCTGTATATTAGCTTTAGGCATAGGTATATATATGTAGGGAACATTCTCTAACAATTGATTGACAGTAATATCTTTGATTCTTCTTTCCTGCCATTCCTCCCTGAGTCCCGCTATTTGTATGTAAAGGGGGTAATCTCTAACAATTTATTTTATCCAAATCTTTTTTTTTCTTACAGCACATATTCTGTGAAGATTGTGTTTCTGTATGGTTTGATCGTGAGCGAACCTGTCCTATGTGTCGAGCACAAATAACAGATAATCCTAGTTTTCAAGATGGCACCACAGTCATGCACTTACAGTGGTACTGATCACAGAATATTCATTATTTTTGTGTATGCAACAAAAAAAATATATAAATTGCAAAATAATTTAAAATGTTTTGCATTCTTGAACTTGTACAGTGATATCTAAATTTTTAATGTGTTTGGATCGATAAAAACGTATTATTTATCAGCTTTGATATCATCACTGTGGGAGTTAATTGAAGTGACTGGTGCATGTTTTAATTTCCTCTAAGAAGGAAATTTCTGGGTTAATGAACTGAGTATATATATATTTAAGTGATCTAAAATTCCCATGTCTTATATGGTTGTCACAGCAGATTATGGACAAGCAGGAAGTCTGGACTATTTTATTTTGTTTTGAAACTCATTTTATTGTTAACCTGGATTATCTAGCTTAAAGCTGAACTCCGATTACAAAACTACAGGAATAATTAAATAAAAAAAAAGGTAATGCCCTAAACGACCGCCATACTTGTTTTCAATTTGTAGAAGCAAAATGCCGATTGCTTAGGGGTAACAAAAAGACAGACAGGCCACGCCCGCGTCCAGCACATGCCTTGTCAAGCAAACTGGCCACATCCGGTTAGCCATTCAACTACCAATTACTTCCTGACTGATCGAAGTTCTTTCACTATCCTTACTATCAGCTAACTGAAAATGTTATTGCTACACAATTATTATGTCTGATCAGGTACATATTATTTTACTAATTAGACGAAATAAGTCAACCACGATCTCCTTTTGCTCTAAAAATAACAGAAAAACTGCATTACCCCAAACAATAACAAATCTACCAACCAACACCAACCAATTTTTTTCTTATTTCGTGAAATGTTTTGCACAATAATGTAGAAACACCAAATAATTTTCTGCATCATAAAGTCTAGTATTATCGTTCCAAAATATATCTAAAGCAGCAATAAAACTTTTGTTCCCTCCAACAAATAGGTATATTTTCACTTCAAAAGGGTATAAAATTCCATGTTGTTGACATAAACTCAAGGGACATAATGTCCACGAAAAAAATATCGCCATCCAAAATTATAAATAACAAGAGAGTGACCTTTCTTGATTATTTTGAAGTGAAAATATACCTATTTCAGTATTTGATGGAGAGAAGAACAGTTTTATTGCTGGTTTGATACATTTTGAATACTAGGCTTTAGCCTATGATGCAGAAACTTATTTGGTGTTTCTATACCTTGTTGTCCAAAACATTACACGAAATGTAATTTTGCCGGACAAAATGGCCACCCCTTGTACGCAAATAGTATAAATATATGGTACATCAAGGTTGTGGACCCTCTAGAAGTCACAATTTTGATCCGATTTTGATGAAACTTGAAATATATCTTTATAACCCAAAGATCTTCCTGAATTATTGCCCTTGATTGTACGAAAAATCGTTTTTCGTTTAGCTTGTTCTCTATCCATCTCTTGCAAAATGTGGGCGTACCCTGCCTGGCAGCCGCTGGTTAGATCTAGCAACAGTAAGCTTAATAATGAGAACATGTCAAAAAATTACAATCTGGCAACAATAAGTTTTAATAAAGAGAACATTGCAGAGTTTTAAGATCTAACAACATTAAAGATAATTCCAACAAAAGTATTTCTCGGGTAGTTATTTCCAATAAAAGTATGGTAATTTTAATATACATGGAATGTAGAAACACCCAATCTTACTAGAAAAATACTGGATTCCCTGAAAAACACCCAAGGGAGCGCATACAGGACAAAAAGTATGGGTGTCCTTAACGGACAGTCCGTTAGCTCAAGTGACAGAAGGATTTCTTTTTATTATACGGCCACATTATCACGTGGACGTATTATGCCATTGCCCCTGTTTGTCCGTCCGTCCGTCCGTCCACAATTTGTTTGTGGACACTCTACAGGTCACAATTTTGAAATATAAGTCAATCTCCCAAAGATTATGGCCCCTGATTGTACGAAAAATCACGTTTTTAGCTTGTGGACAATATAGTGGTCACAATTTTCACCCGAATTTGATGCATGTTTATATCCCAAAGTTCTTGGTTCATGTCGATATTTGCGCATATTGGATCATAACTTCTAGAATTATGGCCTCAGATTGAACGAAAAATCGTGTTTTCTACGTCCACATTCATAATGTGAACGTATATGGCTGTCGCCCCTGTGTGTGTGTGTGTGTGTGTATCGCCTACAGGCCACAATTCTTAAGTGATCATCTTGAAACTTATTCCTTATACACTAAGGAAGATCCCTATTGTTTTTGGTGCATGCCCGACCCGCAGGAGCAGAGCCTTGCCCATTTCTTGTATTTGTTTGTTTGTCGTCTACAGGCCACATTTCTTAACGTATCATCTTGAAACTTTGCATACTTATTCTTTGTACCCCAAGAAATATCCCTATCGTTTTGGGTGCATGCCTAACTCCCAGGGACAGAGCCACGCCCAGTGTTTGTGTGTCTTGTGTTTCGCCGACAGGCCACAATTCTTAACAGATCCTTTTGAAACTTTGCATACCTATTCATTGTTTCTCTGCTTGTTGTCTACAGGCCACGATTCTTAATGGATCGTCTTTGAACTTGCGATATGTATTCCTTATACTGCTTGTCCTAAGGACTGCAACTATTGATGTTGGAGCATGACCCCCTCCTCCAATCCTCCACCCACTTTTTGTTGATATTTTGTCTGTAAATGATATAAAGGTTGCAATTATCAAATTTGGATCCAATTTGGAATGATCCAGCATATGGTTGTACCTATATATATTGGTCCATATCCAACTCACAGGGGCAGAGCCACACCCAATTTTTGTGTTTTTTGTCTACAGGCTGGTATTCTAAATGGATCATCTTGGAATTTGGCATTTTTATTCCTTATACTGTAAGGAAAGCAACTATTTATTTTGGTGCAAGTCTCGACCCCCAGGGGTGTGGTGCCACACCCACTTTTTTGTTAGTTTTTATTGGTAAATACTTTAGAGGTTGCAATAATTAACAAATTTTGTTGAAATTCATCATATCAATCATTTCAATAACAGGGTGGTACCTATTTATATTGTTCCATATCCACCCCCCAGGGGCAGAGCCACACCCAATTTTTTTATTTATAGTTTACAGGCTGCAATTCTGAATGGATCTTCTTGGAACTTTGCATATTTATTCCTTATACCGTAAATACAGCAACTATTTATTTTGGTGCATGCCCCGACCCCCTGGGGCAGTGTCACACCCACTATTTTGTTAATATTTTGTCTGTAAATTTGGCAAAACAAACCCAACGCCTAGCCTTCTTTGCCTCTTGTCATATTACAGCCATTTCATATTTCATTCTCTTCATTTTAAAAAGTACCATATCAATCAAACAGGAATGTGGATGTATATTGCAGTGTTAATGATGCTCTTGTTTAGCTTGTGGTCCCTCTAGAGGTCACAAATATTTTGTGAAAATCGGACCAAAACTGTCGGACAAAATGGCCGCCCCTCATACGCAAAAAGTGTAAACTTCTGGTATATCACGGTTGTGGATCCTCTAGAGGTCACAATTTTGATCTGATTTTGATGAAACTTGAAATGCCCGTTTATAACCCCAAAATCTTGGTTGCTTTCGATATTCGCGCATATCAGATCGTAACTTCATGAATTATGGTCCTTGATTCTACAAAAAATCACGTTTTTAATTTGTGGTCCCTGTAGAGGTTACAATATTTATCCGATTTAAAAAAAAAAACGTGTGAACATATCACCGTTACACACTAATGATGGTTGAGTTCGAATTTCCTGGAAATCCGGAACAAAACAGCCGGACAAAATGAGAGCCCCTCATACGCAAATAGTGTAAAAATATGGTATATCAAGGTTGTGGGCCCTCTAAAGGCCACAGTTTTTATTCGATTTTGATGAAATTTTAAATTTATGTTTATATCACAAAGTTCTTGGTTCCTTTTGAGATTCACGCATATCCGAACGTAACTTAATGGATTATGGCACCTGATTGTTCGAAAAATCACATTTTTAGCTTGTGGATTCTATAGAGGTCACAATTGTTTATCCGATTTTAAAATCTGTTTAAATATATCACCATTCCACCATAATGAAGGTTGAATACGAATTTCGGGAAAATCGAAATGAAACTGCCCGACAAAATGGTATGCAAATGGTGTAAAAGTATTTAATATAAAGAATGTGGTCCTTAATAGAGGTCACAATTTTTATCCGATTTTGATGAAACTTATAACATATCTTTATATCCCAAAGATCTCAGTCCCTTTTGATATTTGCCCATTTCAGACCATAACTTTCACTTTTGTTTTTGGCTTGTTCTCTATACATCTCTTGCAAAATGTGAGTGTCTTGCCTGGCAACCGCTGGTGTGTTGATCTAATGGCTAAGTGTGGTGAGAACATTCAGTGAATTAACAATCCAGTAGTCTCTGCTATTAACGACAGAAAAAGAAGTTGGCAAAGGATAATCCAAGAATTTACATAGGGTTTATTGTAAAATGACAGCAACTAAGTGATGGATAATGGCTGAAGACTGTCCATTATGTAAATAGAAAGAACAACTGAGGGGCGTTAGCCCCGAAGTTTTTCTTTGTATTTACATAATGGACAGTCTGAGGCTATTATCAAACCTAAGTCTCTAACTCAATATCATCCAAAATCTTCAATATTGAAAACACAAACTATTTGTCAATTTAAATCAACATTGATGCCATGATCTTACTGGAAAAAAAAGGGCTTCTGATATCCAATATTTAAGACAAAATAAACATTTTGCCATTGTACCATAATGCGTGTCAGCCCCAGTTCTAGCAAGAGACTCGGGGAAGGAGGCTAGACATATTGTACCAAACCAAACGGCGTATGTAGACTGGAATAACCAGGCGCTAGAAATTTGCATTCGATTGAGACTGCGGGCTTATTTCGCGGAACATAACTGATTTGAAATTAGAGTAAAAACGGAAACCATTGAATGTATATCAGTTTATATACATTCATATTACAGTATTATATGAGTTACGACCCACTTGTGTCAATTTAAGCTCCTTAAATAATGGATAGTTTTCTAAAACAACAAGTCATAAAATAATGGATATAAAACAACATGCACATGCTCATGAATGCATGTGACTAAACACTCCAGTCATACAATGCAAGCATACACAGACAGTCCAAAATATTCGACATGGAGACATGTTTATAACGCAGTCAAAATTAAATATTAATAATGAGAATATATGTGATAAGCATTTGGACACTGATTACATTGGTTATGTACTCGATATGGAAGATAATAGTCGTAAAAATTGTGATGTTCTTGATATGGGGGAATAATAGCCGTCATAGTTGTGATGGTAAGGCTGCTCACGGGAATGATTTAGATATTGATAATATTCTTAGTACTGTGGTTAATATGGAGGGTACTAGCCGTCCAAATTTTAATTTAAAATTTAATATACTCTGATTTAAGTGGCAGGAC